ATCAAAGATTTCAATTCCAACCATGCCACGCTGCCTGACAGGATAAAATTTGTCACTGCTGTTCCCACTCAAAAAGCCTTTGGTGGCCTCAACATTTTTCTGAAGTGATTTCTTGCTGGTGTTCAAAGAATTATGCTTTTTTATTGCGAAGGAGAATTAGGCCCATTTTTTGTGCAGCATCAGGCCAAAATGTGGTTTAATCCAGCCCTGCCTACCTGATCTTACATTTCCTGTAACCAGCTGAAGTTAGGATAAACCTTTTTTTATTCCATTCTGCTAGAAGGAATTTCCACTAATTTTTGCTTAACATGAGAAGTAAGCAAAGTTTACCTGCTGAAGTCTGGGAAAATGTGATCCAACATGCGGAAAACCGTGTCAGTGAAACTCGCCGCTTTCCAACTTGCCACACACCCAACCTGCTGCAAGCTGTTCAACTTGCCGCTACCACAACTTGCCTCAGTGACAACTTGCTGCTGCAATAAGTCACCAAGGTTGGAAGTTGCTGCTGCAACAACTTGCCGCTGTAATTACTTGCTGTTTTATAACTTGGCGCATGAATTGCAGCAAGTTCACTTGCCACGGCATTTTTTCTTTCTTTGTATTTTTTTTATCTTTCTCCGTGAAAATTAAAATATTTTTTTTCCTCATTCAGTGAAATATGTGGGAATTCCCACATTCTTCCACTTCTTAACTAGGCATGAGGACATGATTTAATCTCATCTATCTGGGTCTTTTCTTTCTCTGTGAAAATTACAATATTTCTTTTCCTCATTCAGGAAAAAAGGAAATCCCACATTCTTCCATTTCCTAACTAGGCATGAGGACATGTTTTAATCTCATTTACCTGGGTTTTTTCTTTCTCTGTGAGAAATGAAATATTTATTCTCTTCATTCATGGAAAAAATGAATTCCCTTTTTTCCATGAAAGGAATAGGAATGTCTAGTATAAAAAGATGGGTGCAATGCCTGAGGAAGGGCAGTTCCTTCATGGTTTTTTTTTTAAATAAATGCCCCCTGCTGAATCCTTTTGTAAATACCGTCTGAAACTTGACCGTAGAACCTTTCGAAAAGATTTTCATAAGGGTTTACAACTTTAAGTATCAACACAAAAAGGGGAACCGGTCTTACATATGGTATTTCACGTTCTTCTTCGACTTGCTCCAACTTACAAGAAGGATGAATGTGTTCAGAAATTTTCAAAAATGCTTATAGCTTTGTCTTGTTTACCACCAGAAGAATTTGTGCTGCTTTTGAATGTTTGAAAAAAGAAAAGGCATATCCAAAAATCCTTGATCCTATTTATGAGTATTTTGAAAAAAATTATATTGAAAAAAAATTAAAATGGCAAGCAGCACCCAGCTTTGTTTCCAATTCTAACTTGGAAAAGAAATATTGTAATTTTCACAAAGAAAGAAAAAACCTAGATAAATGATATTAAATCATGTCCTCATGCCTATCTGAATTTTTTTCATCAAGTACAGCAAGTTGAAACAGCAGCAACTTATAACTGCTGCCAGTTGTGACTGCGGCAAGAAATGATTGCGGGAACTTGTTGCAGTGGCAACTTGTTACTGCAGTCACTTCAAGCTGCGGCCACTTGCAGCAGCAGCAAGTTAGGGTGCAGTGACTTGAGGTGCGGCAAGTTCAACTGCGGCAAATTTCACCCGCATCGCGGAAAACAGAGTCTCAGAATAAGTTACAACGTCCACAGTTCGGGACATGCTGTACAACACACCGCAGAAAAACATCAATTATGAAAAACAAAGTTTCGGAAAAATTCCTTCCAGCAGAAAATTCTCAACCTCATGAACTGAATTTCATTATACAACTTTTTCAAGCGATCGAAAAACGTCGAAAGCTATCCCAACAACCTTCTCAAAGATAAAATCAAAATAATAAAAATCGAGGGTAGAATGGCAAGCTCAGCAAAAGAAATCGAGGAACACCTTTGAAGCAACGGTTTTTTCCCTCGTATATTACAAGTAAAAAAAAAACAAAAAAAATCACGATTGATTCCGTCAGGCGCAAGAACACAGTCGAATGCACCATTCCCCCTCAGTATTCTTCTTTGTTCTGTTTCCCCTCGATCACGAAAGCCTCAGTATTCCGTCAGTGCCAACGAAGAAACTCCGGGAAAAAATTTAAGACAAGTGCTTCACCTCCGCGAAAGATATTCGAAAGTGTCACTATAAAACACGCAGATTTTTGCCAGAAAATGGATCTAGTGACAATAAATAATCATAGGAAAAAAAAGAGCAACTTGTTCAGTCCAGATTTGGCACAGACTTTCGTGATCATAGTCGCATGCGCCGGCGTTGTATTGATCATATACTCCAACACCGATTCCAAGTTCCCGAGAAGTGCAACTGAGGCAAGGCGAAAACACCCCCAAAACAAAGTCGTAGCTTCAAGCAGTGACAAATTGCATCAGAAGGACTTGAAAGAATCACGAGCAGAAGATGAGGCAAATAGAAAAGGTAAAAATTTGGAACATCCACGCTTGAAAAACTCGGAATCCTTGGAAAACAATGAACCCGAAAAATATGAAAAATCGTATGAAAATTTAAATGAAAAGGATGATAACGGTGCAGAAAATGAAGAAAAAGAGGAGCCCTATGTCGAAGAAAATGAATTCCAGGAAACAAATGATGACAGTCTGAAAGTAGAAAAAGAACAAGAATTTGAAGATAATGAAGAAGTCGATCGGTTACCAAAAAAACCTGAAGAACAAGAGGAACGAGCAAAAGGAAAAGAGACAATTGTATCCAATGCAGGTAGAAAATCGTCACAAAAAGATGCAGTTGAAGAAACAAACGGAGAAGAAGAACGCAAACAATTCGAAGATGACCTGACGTCTGAAGATCCTCTTGAACCCGAAACAAAGGATAGAGAATTTCAAAACCCCTCCAAAAATAGTAATAACCACAAACCCCAAGAACCAGAAGAATATGACCACGAAACATTGAAAAATGACGAAAAGGCACAAGAGCTTGAACCCGAGAATCTAAAAACTAAGGAGGAAACAGAACGTAAAGCAATCGTATGGAAATCGAGGAACAGAGCTCGATCAGAGGTCCAAAAAATAGATAAAAACGACGCAGAAGAAGATGAACTAGAAAAGCCTCTATATGCTGGAACACGCCTTCGAATAAACTCGGACGCACAAAACAGACCCCAATCCGAAGATCAAAGAGCAGACGAAATCGACGCAAAAGAAAAGAAACAAAGTAATTCAGAAGACCAAAATGTCGTGAAGGATCGCGCATCAAATAATCAATTAAACGGTACTCAGACAACCAAAAAATTATCGAACAGTTTCCAGGTGGTTGAAACAAAACGTTTTCATCCTGATGAACAAAAAGAAGTTTTGGACAAAGAACCCGAAGAAAATGAGCAGAAAGACGTTAGGAGAGAAGACCAGAACAGTGAGATGTCAAAGCCTGAGCATCCGAAACTACCTCAGGACGACCAGGCAAGTGATTCGCCAATACGTGTACTGAAAAGAAACATGATGATTGCAACTGGAAAAGCTGATAGATCATGGAGAGGCGACATAGAAGAAAACGAAAATCCTACAAATAAATTCCTTGGAATAAGAAACGACACACTTCGCTCAGATAAAATCAAAAACGAAGACAACGAAGAAGATGAACCGACAGACGTACTCCAACGCGAAGCTCAACCATATTCGAATCCACGTAATAATTCCGGATCTGAAAATCAAATCAAAACACACACGGGATTGAGACAAGGGCAACGGAGTGCATTATTTCAAAATGATTCGATCACTACAGATTCTAATTATAAAAACAAAACTGATCACATCAATGGCCTACGCCCACTTTTGTCAAATAAATCGAATTCTTCCGTCCTCGGCACAATTGGACGGAATTCTTCACTGCTTCCCGCTAAAGCGGAAGGAATGAACAGCATGAAATCTGACCACGATCAAAAGTTCTCCGCAGAAAATTCGACCTTGGTGAATTCACCTCGATCCAATCCCGCAAAAGGTAAGTTAAATCGCTTCTCGCTGATGCACAAACACTCAAATAATGAGATTGTCTTGATACATTCCAGAAATTCCATCCAACGCAGCGAGAAATCCAAGTGTTGAAGGCATCAGCATTATTCCTACAGGCTGAAGTAGTGCGCGTGCCCCTATATGATTTGGCGTGTTTGCGTAGATCCCGTTTTTGACTTCGTTAAGTTGGAGAGTCTTTACGCAGAAGGGCCTTTTTAACGTCATTCTCAACACGTGTTACGAAATGTTGAATAACCCATCCTCTGCACTGATTCAGCCATCATACGCAGGAATTCAGCCATGCCTCAAGTCTCATTCACGTCATCGATTTGTGACCGCATCGCGCACGTATAAAAGACCAATTATAACCTCTATGTTAATAATCTATAGATCATTTCAGAAATGCAAAGATCATCCAGTTATTGTTGATTGCAACCTTTGATCATTACGCCGAGGATGGATTTTAATTCCTCCAACAAGCAACAGAATTTTTTTCTACTTTAAAAAGACAGCATACAGCACAATATTCCTCTTCTGTATGCACATGGCAGAAACTGCAAACCTAAACTTTCATATTCGAATAAACTACAACGACTTCCTACTACGTGTTGTTAGTCACACACAAAATATCATCGGAGATATGTGAAAAATGTACCCCGTCATTTAAACGTACGTGTACGAGGTTCGAAAAACACTGTACACAATCATTACCATTTACCATCATAGAAGCTAAACGAAACATACGACAGAAAGAGGCACATGCCGCCATTTCGTCTGACTCACTGCATCTGCATGGTTTCCCAGCCATGACAACTCAGAAACATTTTTCAAAATCTATAAATAGGCGTGGAGGGCTTTTGCAAAGGATAATTTATAACTATTATAAGCTTTGTGAATCATTTCCAACTCTTCCCGATGAAATTAAAAAGAACACTTCTAATTACTACGCTTAACGTATGCAGTATTGAACTTGCCTTGTATTACTGCTTCAAATTTGCTAATAATGTGCTACCGATCATCTTGAATATTGAAATACAGTATACGAGACAAAATTAGATGCCCGAGAAGTAATGTTCAGTGCATTACGGATATTTGAAAATTACAAGAACTTTGAGGATCTCCAAGACCGTTCCTAACTCTGTATATGAGGCATCCTCACTATTTTGGTGACAAAACTATTTTTATACTCAATTCTCAAAACTCGGCTTTCGTAACAACTGTACTCGGAAAATGCATACCATGCTCTGTTTGTTCTGGTTCAAGGCATGAACCGTTATTTTCCGGAAGTGAGGTGTAACTGGTGACGTTTACATTATTCTTGTAAGTGTGGAAATCAGGAAGAATATCGATCAAATGCGCGAATACTTTCTCTTGATGAAAACGTAAAAAAACCTGTAAATTATTTTCAATTCAGAAACATTTCACAAAAACAAGCAGGAGTAATGGATGCAGATAATAGTAAAACTCAATACTGTATGTCTCCCATGTATCCGCAATAATCCAGAATTTCAGACTCCAGACTAAAAGCATCCAAATACAGCAGCAACACCTTGCAGCCTTTCAGGAAACAAAAATTCGAACAGTATAAGCACTTCGAATGCAGATCACTTCACGATTGAAAACACTGCTTACAATTCGCGTCGACTCCAGGTGCTGAAAGAGAGCGAAGGATACAAAAATGAACACGGTAAATAATTCGTAAATAAAGGGTAGATGAACGCAGTAAACTGAAAAAACAAAACAAAAACAGCACACGTTCAACACCAACGGCCTGCATATGAATCAACTCAAGAATTTATTCATCACCAGAACAAAAATCAGCAAGCCGAATAGTTTCGCGATGAAATTTTCAGATACCGAAGACTTCACTTCCATTTTTCTTACCTTCATACAAAACGAACACAGCAGCACCACGTCACAAACGAAGTCGTCATTCACGGACCGATAAAAGAAATCGTTGAACTAAGATTTTTCAGATTTCTGAGACTCAGAAAACATAGCGGCGAAACTGCGCGGACGATTGAAAAAAATTAAGAAAACCAGAATTCAGCGTTTTTTGACAAATATTTGATCTTACTGAAAAAAACAATATTGCAATCACACGCACATTGCCATGAAATTTCCGCAAGGNAGTTAAATCACTTCTCGCTGATGCACAAACACTCAAATAATGAGATTGTCTTGATACATTCCAGAAATTCCATCCAACGCAGCGAGAAATCCAAGTGTTGAAGGCATCAGCATTATTCCTACACCGACTTCATCACGCGCACGGGGATATACTAAACCGCACAAACGCATCTAGGGCAAAAACTGAAGCAATTCAACCTCTCAGAAATGCGTCTTCCCGGAAAAATTGCAGTAAGAGTTGTGCACAATGCGAATGTTGAATAACCCATCCTCTGCACTGATTCAGCCATGCCTCAAGTCTCATTCACGTCATCGATTTGTGACCGCATCGCGCACGAATAAAAGACCAATTATAACCTCTATGTTAATAATCTATAGATCATTTCAGAAATACAAAGATCATCCAGTTATTGTTAAATGCAACCTTTGATCATTACGCCGAGGATGGATTTTAATTCCTCCAACAATTAACAACATTGTTTTCTACTTTAAAAAGACAGCATACAGCACAATATTCCTCTTCTGTATGCATATGGCAGCAATTCTAAACCCGAACTTTCCTCATCGACTAAACTACAACGACTTCCTACTACGTGCTGTTAGTCACACACAAAATATCATCGCAGATATGTGAAAAATGTACCCTGTCATTTACACGTACATGTACGAGGTTCGAAAAACACTGTACAGTACACAATCATTACCATTTACCATCATAGAAGCTAAACGAAACATACGACAGAAAGAGGCACATGCCGCCATTTCGTCTGACTCACTGCATGGTTTCCCAGCCATGAAAACTCAGAAACATTTTTCAAAATCTATAAAAAGGCGTGGAGGGCTTTTGCAAAGGATAATTTATAACTATTATAAGCTTTGTGAATTATTTCCAACTCTTGTCTTGAATTGAAAACAAAACTCTAAATACTACACTTAACGTAAGCAGTATTGAGCTTGCCTTGAATTACTGCTTCAAATTTGCTAATAATGTGCTACCGATCATCTTGAAAAATGAAATACAGTATCCGTGACAAAATTAGATGCCCGAGAAGTAATGTACAGTGCATTACGGATATTTGAAAATTACAAGAACTTTGAGGATCTCCAACACCGTTCCTAACACTATATAGGAGGCATTTTTACTATTTTGAGGACAAAGCTATTTTTATACTCAATTCTCAACACTCGGCTTCCGTAACAACAGTACAGTACTTGGAAAATGCATACGCCCTAAATTAAGCCCTTTGTTCTGGTTCGAGGCGAAAACCGTTATTTTCTGGAATTGAGGCTTAATTGGTGACGGATACACTATTTTGGGAAGTGTGGAAATCAGGAAGAATATTGATAAAATGGGCGAATACTTTCACTTAATGACAACGTAAAAACACCTGTCAATTAATTCAAGTTCAGAAACATTTCACAAAAACAAGCAGGAGCAATACATGCGGATACTGTAAGAGTAAAACTCTATAGGTCTCCCATGTATCCACAATAAACCAGAATTTCAGACTCCAGACAAAAAGCATCCGAATACAGCAGCAACACCTTGCAGCCTTTCAGGAAACAAAAATTCGAACAGTATACGCACTTCGAATGCAGATCACTTCACGATTGAAAACACTGCTTACAATTCGCGTCGACTCCAGGTGCTGAAAGAGAGCGAAGGATACAAAAATGAACTCGGTAAATAATTCTTAAATAAAGGGTAGATGAACGCAGTAAACTGAAAAAACAAAACAAAAACAGCACACGTTCAACACCAACGGCCTGCATATGAATCAACTCAAGAATTTATTCATCACCAGAACAAAAATCAGCAAGCCGAATAGTTTCGCGATGAAATTTTCAGATACCGAAGACTTCACTTCCATTTTTCTTACCTTCATACAAAACGAACACAGCAGCACCACGTCACAAACGAAGTCGTCATTCACGGACCGATAAAAGAAATCGTTGAACTAAGATTTTTCAGATTTCTGAGACTCAGAAAACATAGCGGCGAAACTGCGCGGACGATTGAAAAAAATTAAGAAAACCAGAATTCAGCGTTTTTTGACAAATATTTGATCTTACTGAAAAAAACAATATTGCAATCACACGCACATTGCCATGAAATTTCCGCAAGGCAATCAGTTTCATTGAGAAAAATTTCATTCGTAAAGCAATAAGCCAAATCACTTGATCATTTTTCTCATCAGACATATTTACACACTTTTGAATTCTTCAGGCAGAATTTTCGATTCAAGTGAAATCTGGAATAAAAAAAAAAGCCTAACATGTTTTGAAGCTTTGCACCGAGAAAGGGTTGTCCGATATTAAAATCGCATCTTGAAAATCGTTCGAACAGTAGTTCAAAAATGGTATGCTCCAGTCTAATGCATTCTCCTTGACTTTTCAACGTATATTCCCACACAGATCGACTGGTTTGAAAATATTCATCAGCTCTCTGGGTTAAAAATAAAAGAATCCCACCATTGCTTATCGTGGCACAGATTCATCTTCAAACTCAGGATCACCATATAACGGAGCATCAAAATCCTTTTCCGAACTTATGAGGATCAGAATAAGAGATTTATTTTCGGTAGATTCTATCACTTGCTTGCATCATGCCAACAATTGAAAATTTCAATTTCATCTCCATTCTTCATCTAATCCATGATTTTAAAAAGTACTGTACAGGTAAAAACTTTTCACGGAAGTGACTAACAAAAAATCCTTGGTATGACCAGATGCATTAATTGAAATGGCGATAATTTTGCTGTCAACTGTAATACAGTACTAGAAGAAGTGTAAAATCGGTCTGCGCACGAGAATCCCGACATCCCTCGCAATCAAGCGCTCGATACACAGTCACGATTACATCAAAACACAGTCTTTTTTTCACGGCCACGGCACGATATGAGAGAGAAACAACGCCAAAACCGTACATTCCAACTTTTTCTTCTGCAAAGCTTCAGATGCGCGTAAAGTTACAACACCACGCTTTCATTGGAGATTTTCAAGATTTCGGATTCAAATTTTCTATTCGGTATCGTTCGCGTTGAAATTCGTCATGTTATTGAAGGATTGAGACCAGGTAGAAACCACCCCAGTAATACTAGTGGGGGGTTCCCTCATTCGCAGAGCAGTGCCACGACCACCAATGCCTTCGCGGCAGTCGGGACACCGTGACGACTGATTCGGCGCTCCGCAATCTGAAAATACCGTAAAACCAAATTACGAGCAGAAGGGGGCCTCAACAGTTCCTGAGCAGTGATAAATATTCGATGAATTTCGTGCTTTATTCATCACAACACCTGGATTTAAAGGTTGGCATATACTGTGCTGCAGATGTCAATGGCAGTCGAATGTGAATTTAATTCCCCTGCCTTTACCAAACTGCGTTTCGCTGACGGGTTCCTTGCTCTCATTTCCCCGCATTGCTGTCGCGAAGTTTTTTTTTCAATTAACGTCGAATGATAATTTGATCCAAGCACATTGACATGCAAAAGTTGTACAAATGATGAAGGACTGAACGGTGCACAAGAATTCAATTTAATGAAGAAGCGATACATAAAAATCATTAAACTTCAACGATTATCCCGCGCCTGAATTACTGCATAAAGAAAATAATGCCCTTCCATACCATAATTGTGAAATGAATGAAAATCACAGGAATGAAGACTTTCAAAACTAAAAGAATGAACAAACTCACCGCCAATAATATAAGCATGTCCGTTGGAGCATGTGTTCCAACTACCCCCTTGACAGCGAATCGCATTCAGAGTCAGCCGTTCTTCTTCAAGATTCATTTCTACGACGAAATGCTCAGCGTCTTTGAGTAATCTTTTCATTTCCGCTTCCTTATCATCCGTGAAACAACCGATGTCGTACAAAATAGCCTTGACTTGAGAAACCAGCTCGGATGAAGGATAGTTTTGCTAGAAAAAATATATACACACCAGAATCTCACCGATTTTTCCCCCAACTACAACGATTTTCGCAAGTACATAAGAACGTAGTGACTAAAAGATAATACTGTCACACTCACCAGCATTAATTCCAGAAGCGGAAAGTAACGGAGACGCTGGAACTCAGCCGAAATAGCTTTCAATGTCGAATCATTCAAGTGGTCTTTTTTCGCCATCACCAATTCTGCAAACTAAAAATTCATAAACGATTGTTGACACTGAGCAGGTAACAGAGCAATCGCAATCTTCAACAGATTGAAATCATGAACACGCAAAGGCTCCTCAAAAAGTGTTCAGTCACTTGAAAGTGAGTCAAAAGTTTTCATCAGCTGCTAGGGGTTCATGGTACAGTAGCTTCATTTGAAATAAGTTGGATTCAAAACCCTACCAAGTTTGGACGTCGGCGTGAATCTGCCACACAAGTTCCGCAATTCCGGTTATTTCAATAGATTTTTTTAGCAGGATATTTCAAGAAAAATACGGCAAAAATATACGTGGTTGCGTGAATTCCCTCCCTTTCAGCTGTGTGCCCTAAGTGGCCTACGACTCTGATTACAATGAAGTACTGTACGTGGAAACCGATGATGAAAAAGTAGTCGTGATTAATTCTCATAATTTTTACGAATAAATTGATTTTATTCTGTGCCTCGCTCTCTGGGTACACAGCGTAACTGTCGTGGAATAAAAGTAAGCTCCAGACACGCTGAAGCCTGTATATTATTGCTCCACTTGAAGAAAACACATGTATCAATCAAGTCTGGGGCATTGTACACTATTTAAATTTATTCTTCAATGAACTCTTCAATTTTCAAAAATTTGCTGCACAGCAGCCTAAATGAACTTCTAGCATTTCAAAATCGTATTTTGACAGCTTTTAAAATGTTTCCTGTTCACTTCCTCGCCACATTTTGTGCATCCTTTGATCTTTGCTATTTTATAAAAATCAGCTGGTGTATTTTTAGAACAACAAACAGGTTTTTTTGCTTGTTACTTTGTTGCTGGGCAATATTTCCAGCAAGTTTAGAATTATTTTGTGTTGCCAGAAATCAGAGACTGAGTGTTCACTGGCAGTTATTTTCGGCTCAAAGTGTTTTACTTTGAACATTTTTAGCCTGCTGAAAAAAATGCTTCAAGATTGCAATCACTGTGAAGTATTCATTCATCAGAAAGCTAAGTGCTGAACATCGGTTTTATTCCAAAAAAATAAAATTAAAAGAAACGGTAAACGTCACAGTGATCAAGCAGAATAATAATAAAAATTAGCTCCTCAAGTGCTTACAAAATACGGTACGTGACGCCGCGCGGACTACGGACAACCCTCATACACCCAACAGAACTCGAGGTAAAAATGAATCAAATACCACCTACAATAATTTAACTGATGCAACTCACCTTACGAAGCTTCAAATCGAACCCTTTTTTGAAAGTAGGCAAAAGAGAAGCGTCCCGTTGACATTTCAAAATCAAAGCGGCAAGAGTTTTCAGAAGATCGAAACGGTTGGAAATACTGTTCAATTTCATTGCGTCCAGCCTTCTGAACTTCCGTACAGGCGGTTTCTTCCTAGTTGGATCTTTCACGGTATGGTACACAATTTCGTCGTGAATCCGATCGAAGATTTTCTCTCGCGAAAACGCTTCCTGGATCATCTTCCCAGACGAAGTGTCAGCTTTATCTATTGAAATGCAGGCAAAATCATAATACTGTATATTAATTTTGAATTATTCAGCGTTGGAGAGAAAGACGTAACAAACTTCGAATTCACACAAGGAAACAGATTTCACTCAAGAGTTGCTGATAATGAAATAACAGGATTAAAAAAAAAATCTTCGGAAGAGCTCAGTTTTTCATAAAACAACGCTATATCGGTTTCAGTCAACAGATTTTTCACTGGGATACTTCATATCGATAATACTCTAATTTTCTCGACAATTTACCTTCCTTTTCAACTGAATACATTCGAGAAGCCGGGCTGGAAAAAACTTCGCACAATTCGTGCATGATTCTTAACTTGAACGAATTCGGATACGTCTCTTAAAATCGCCTTTCCATTTTTGACAGCATACCTTTTAAACAAGGTTTTGAAAGAACGACTTAAATTTCAAATTACGTCAAAATGAAGAAACAAAATATACGCGGAATACCGGCTGGGCTGCAAAAAACGTTGTGACTATTTTCCAGCAATCTTTCGGACAAAGGAAACATAAACCCCAGGGAAAAGCGAAAAAATATTCAAAATACAGTACTGTACCGATCAATTTCTCCAGGATCTTCTTGATATCATCATTCTTGCCGAAAATTCTTTCTTTAACAGCGATCACATTTTTGAGGGCAGCATTAACCTCATCCTTGTATCGTCGAGAGGAGAAAATAGGAGTTTTGCAACGCGGACAAACCCTTGGTCCGATTATGTCTAATGGCATTCGCATCCACTGGTCCAAGCCGGCAACTTCAATGACGTGTCCGCATTTCGGAAGAACGAGAAATCTTGAAAGAAACAAAGTTTTCAAAGCGTTATTCCAACCGTTCAGGAGGATAAATATCCACATAAAATTACTGTAGTTACTTTTTGCGTCTTTTCAATAAACAGCAGCAGAAAACAATATTTTTGTTCATACAGGAAAACAGACCCTAACTGTACATCACGTTTAGTGATGATGAATTACCGGTATTTCGAACTTTCAAAACAAAGGAATTTTTTCGAATGAATATTGTAATACTGTATCCATTTCAAAATGGAATCACGAAATCACCTTTCATCCGGTTCATTGCTAACGTCATTCATAATACAGTCGAAGAACTCCACTTCGTCTCCAGAGCATTTTCGACACGGGGGGCAAATTTCTCCGCAAATCCCAACGCATTTGTGCTCACAAGGAAGATCTTTTTCACAAGGTTCGTCACATTTTTCGTCGCCTCGGCCACAGTCCTGTGAGCATTTCAGTTTGCACGGCTTGTGTGCACAACCGCTCTCACATTTTTCCTGCGATGAAAAATATACACATTTCGGGGGCTGTAACAGTTATGACTTATGAGTTCATTAATCATTATCGTAGGCGCAGTTTTTTTTTCAAGTACACCGTATCTGTTTTGGAAAAAGGTTTCCTTCAATTTATGCGATCTGTGTCACGGTTTCCTCATCTAAGATCCGAAAATTCAATAAAAGTTGAAAACGCTTTTCTCAAATACTGTAGGAATATTTTCTTCTGAATATAAAAGGCGCCTCTAGAACTGAAACCAACGATTCCCGCGAATATAAGGGCTGCTCATTACATGCGATTCATTTAAAAATTATACGTTGCCTTCAACCAAGTTTCTATATGACAGGTTATTCTTTCTCATTTTAATAAAACGTCAGAATTTAAGCTGTCTCGCACAACGAATTTTTCGGTCAAAACAAATCTTGAACATCAACGTGGAGTTCAAGACGCATCTCGACTTTTAAAACAATTTTTTTATGAAAAACGCGCGTCTACCTGCAAGAATGGGACAGAATACCAATTTATTCGCATTTTCTTGACCATTAAAAGACGCCTCATGAGGTCAAATAACATACATTTTAGCGCAGAATAATTTGCAAATTACTAGTTTTTTCAAGCGAATGTGATCTATATATAGGTCCTCTGTGAGCAGTAAATTACCTTTTCCAGAGATTAAAAAAAAAAAAAAAACTCACCAAACAAGGAGAACACGGTTCCCCACACAGCTTTGAGCACGCAGAATGAGGACAGGAATTTTCACACGGTTCTTTGCAAGGCGGACAGTTGAAACTACACGCAACCTTGCAAACATGCCCACAAACAAGCTGTCGTCCGCAAGGCTCTTCACACGGCATATGAATCCTGCCTTGTAGACAGTCAGAACACTTTCCGACACAAGTGTGACCACATGCCAGAAGTGCCCCACAAGGATGATCGCAGTACTCGAGTCCATCTTCAACGGATACGATTTGGCCACTGGCAATGATGTGACAGGGTAGTCTGAGTTGATGCCCACATCTGAAAATGAAAAATTTTGATTCAAGTAATCTTTCTTTTCCATCCAGCAGCATTCTACACTCACTTTCCGATCTTTCCGACATTCATCAAAACACCACAGCTAGTGGTGCAGTCGCGAGAACACTTTTCTGCACACCTGTGTCCGCAAGGCAAAAGTTTCTCGCACTGCTTTTGGCAATCTGCGTTTTCTGGAACTTTGCAGCAATGCACCGTCACGGAGTGTGAGCAGTCAGGAATAATTTTCTTGACTTTCACGAAACAGTTCCCACATGATTCATTGCAATTCTTTAGGCAATGGTGACCGCACGGTAAAGTTCTTGCACACTGACAAAATCAGAAAATGAACGAAAATTATGAAGAATACAACTGAACGGTTCAAGAAATAACGATAAATACTCGAAACGCAAGAAAACAATAGCATTAGCTCGATAACAAACTAAAACCAACCTTAGCCCTACATTGGACCTGATCTGGTCGCAGGTAACAATGAGCTTTGATGACATGGCCGCATGTCAGTGTCAAGTCGACAAGCTCACGGCATTCAGGACATGGAGATTGGCAACACTGGGCTGCAGAAATTAGAAAAAAAATCAAACGCTTGCGTGAACATTCCGGAGTACTCATACAGAAAATAGTGGACTGATTTTCAAAGAGCAATGCGAATAAAAATAAAAGCTACGAAAGCTGAATTTGGATTCACATGTTGTTTCACTTTATTTGTAGAATTATTGTGGCTTTTCGCATGTCGTACCATCGTGGTTGCTTCGGAAATTTGAAAAATAAATCAAGGAAAAAATTTGTAAAGTGGTTTAAATCCGAAAAAGTTTGTTTTAAGCGTGCAATATAAAGAATACGAAAGAATGGAAAGCTCCATTTAAGAGGAAAATTCAACACAATGCGAATAAGTTAGCGACTCCCGTGTCACGTAATATGGTTAAAATTAGTGATTTGAACTTGATGCACAAAAAGTTCCAGAATTTGGGAGTTTCAAAAATTTTTACACCACGTGAGTTTCAACGAAACTGAGCTGTTAATTATACTGTACCTAAAAATACGTCAGAAACAAACTTTCCGCAATAAATTCGAGAAAATGTGGGTAGATTACCTTCTTTTTACAATTACGCTCTGGGGACATCTACACGTCGCATTCTTATCCTAATATTCCATAGTACAGTACATGTACTCAGTCATCACATGGACAGCAAATAAAACATATTACGCCACACTAAAAATTCAGTAAAATTTTGAATGAACACAAAAATCGAACAGAATATTTACCTTTGCATGAATTCGCGAAGTGTATTGAAATGGACGTTATGATCCCCACTTTAAACGACACAATTTACGCTACTCAAATAATAAAAATCAATTATAATACCTTTGCACGGATGATCCCTTGGACACGTCATTCCACAGGGCTTTAAACACTTGAACAAAAGGTGGTCCGGATCATTCGTGACGTGACAATATCCTTCACACGCATGCCCACATTCCAGTCTTGCAAAACACCCCGTTTCGCATTTCACCTGATATACATTTTAAAGCGATTGTAAAAATGAAATCAACACATATTCTTTCAGTTTTGAAAACGCGATTTAAAACAACGAATTCATTTGCAGAACAAAATGAAGCATTCCCTGATTTCCAGCTACAAAAATAAAATACAATTCAAACAATTTTAAGTCAAACTCGGAGATACCCATAACAAATTCGTCTCATAGCCTTTTCGAGTAAGGGAAACTACTTTCGTCGGAGAAAAAAGAAAAGAATAATTATAGAACGGTGAAATTTGAGATATTCTGAACCTTGATCTACATTACTTGATAAAAGCACTGATAGGATGCCGAACTTGGATGAGGCAGGGGTAAAATAGTTACTTCCTTCCTTTTAAAAATCAACAACTTTCATGTTTACTGCTCTTCTCCTTCCTGGGTCCCCAGAATTTCTGTCCGAAGGCCTCTCAAAATTTGAGTTACAGAGATTTCAAGGGAAGGCCTTTGAGTTAGAGAGGTCTTTATATCATTTTCTTCTTAACGGAATTCAGATAGGCACTTTGGAACAAAATATTATTCCGGAGGTTATTGACTTCGAGAGTGGTACATACCTCAGCGAGATTTTCGAAACACTTCACATATTGCCAATGACCGCATGGAACCAGTTCCCGATGAACAATCTCCTTACACGGGGGACAAGGCATTTTCCCACATACGGATCTGCACTGATGACCTTCAATCTCTGGACATCGTCTTTCACACGGTCGTCTGCAGGAATATTCTTTCGTTGTGTGATGCTTGTCCACCACGTGACAAAGTCGTTCGCACAAATGGCCGCATGCGTCAATCAATCCGTTACAAATCTAAAAAAAAATGTACGCAAAGGTCAATAAAAACCGTTCGGTGCGCAAAAGATTAAAGCAAAGGTCGAATGAGGATCCTCACTTTGTTGCAACCCCCGCTGACCGGAAATTCACTCGGTTTGAAAACGGAAGCAAGCTGATCTGGGTGATTCTGACAACGCAGCAGCAATGCTTTCCCGATCTGGTTTTCCTTCGACAATACATTCTTTATGTTCCTCCATAACTGGCTCGCTGAACTCAACACATCCAGGTTTCCAACAATGAATAGTCCTTGCTTTGCTCGCGATAAAGCAACGTTCACTCGGTTGTCCGTCTTCAGAAACCCGATGTTTCCTTCCACGTTGCTTCTCACGAGTGAAAGCAGTATAATATCGTTTTCTTCGCCTTGATAATTGTCGACCAATGTTATTCGAACCTTTGCACACATAGGGTATCCGGAGATCAACTAAAATAAAATGAAGGACGTTGAACAAGTGAAAAAAAATTCGATTACAGATAACAATCGGTTATGGTTACAAAAATTCATCAGAGCAGTTCACACCTCGTCGCACACTGCGAAGTCGGCAATAATAATCGAAATTGAATACGAGCCAGTATACTCGTAATTTTATTGTCAACGCTTTTCCGTTCATAGTCTCTTGCTTTTCAACATCAATTGCAAAATAAATTGGTGCTCAAGCTTTCTCCAAAATCTTCGGGAAAAAAGAAAAAGAGATATGAGTCGCGTTCTGTTCATTGAGAGAATCGATGTCTAAATTTATACTTTATAGCAGACTCGAAGAAAGAGGAAAATTGCTCACCTTTTTGAAGATGAAAAGCTGTCCCGAGTAACCCGTCAGGATAGTGATTTGTTCATGCGTATACCCTTGCAACAAAAGGTACCTACACAATGCCAGCAGAAATTCCGCCTCCACCACGTTGCTCTTGCTTTTCAGATCCTCGTTCTGAACAAAAAAAAAAGCATAATCGCCGTCATCAGTGACAAGGAAAATCACTCGACTTTCTTTGATTAGAGCTCGGAAGAACAACTCCGAAAGCCTTCTAATGGAATTATTTTTTAAATGGTTCATGAACTCACTGAATCTTCAGTGGAGTGGTGTGTGACGAAAAACACGTTTTTGTCAACGCCAAGAACATCATCGTACAACGTGACACTTTCGTGATCTTGCAAATCTTCATAGATATTCTGTTTGATCAAATTTGAAATTTCTGGTCGCATTCTATGTTGCTGTCGGAGACGTTCGTACGGCACGCCGTTTTTCACCATTCTTTCGAACAGCGAAACGTCCAGACCATAGTTCTTAGCAAGCTTATACACTGTGGTCGAAGGTCTCAATTGCTGTTGATCCCCTGCAAAAAATTACCCTTTTTTGCTAAGCCCATCGGGAGATTTGAAATGACGAAGGGATCTTTTACCGATCTGGATCAGGTGTTCGCAGTGAGTAGACAGGCAGCACACAACATGCGATTCCAGAACTTCCGCAGCTTCTTCGATGACCACTATATTCACAGAGAGAAAATACGATTAATCTGATAATAAAAATCCGAAATTTTGATAGATTAAAATGAAAACGTATCAACATGGATGTTTTCGGTCTATATCTATGGCTCTTAGGCAAGGCAATTTGACTTGCACTGTGATTTTAATTTCTTACAGCAATATACTGAATTGCCTTTTCTAAAATGTTTGCTTAGTGAAAAGATCAAGAAAACGAAGTTTTGTACATGCATAACATCATCACTCGGAGAAAACAAGCTTTCCACCAGCCAAGCTGAAATTTTCATCCATTTACGGTAGTCTTCATGCTGCCAAACGTGAAAATTGTCTTGAAATCCTGTTCGGCGACAAATTTACATAGATCTTGGGAAAATGGCCTAGAAATGTCAATTATTCGGCGAATATGGCCCCGCAAGTCGCGGGTGCTCTTGAAGAAAGCCCTCAGCAAATGAACAGTATTGTCTCAATAAGTTTATTCGGATCCCACATCCCGTTCCAGAATTTAATCTGCCTCGAAAAGTACCCATCATAGTATCCAAATGAACGTCATTTCAAGATACTGGCAGAACGACAAACCATCCCGAGTATATGTACAAAATTGCGAAAAACACTCACGAACTTTCGCGTTCATGTTCTGCACAACTAGTATGTTCCGAGCAGCGCCAGTTGTCGTCATCCCAACAACATCCAAAGACCGCGTATGCTGCAACAAAGCCCCGTCTTGGGCCTCCTTGTAACTTTCAACCATAGTCTTGTACTCTTCCATTTTGGCAATAATTTTTTCGCCCAGGATACGGACAAACTCGTTTGCCCAATACCGATAAAGCAACCACCTGCCTCTTACGCGGAGGTTGAGCCAATTGTTCTCGTGTCCGACTGATGCCTCAGGGGGTTTGGTCAAGCCTAAGTTTGACGGTAATTTGAGAAACGCAGAATACGCTTCCAAAGCAGCCTTCTTCATTTTCAAATCTTCCAGCTGCGAATTCCATTCCCTCAACTGCAATAAAGGGTGTTTTTGTTACGGTATTTACTCGAGTAGCACATTTCTTTCTCAAAACTGAGAGGAAAAAAGGGTGCTAGTCAAAGGAGGAGATACATTTCTCAAACAGGTTTAGAAATTTTTGTGTGCATTACATTTGAATCTAATGGGAAATTTTGGGCCAATTTTAACAGAAAAACTCACTGTAATAGAAATAATTAAAAATTGGTTGAATCCAGGATCAATCATGTCCAAGTCCAAATTTTATGTTCTTTTTTTTTCAAAACATTAAGGTTTCAAAATTACTAAAAATGGGATGCACTTGGGGATACAATTTCATCAAAAGTTTGACTGAAAACCCCTGGTGCGCGTCGTACTTGAGGGTGCGTGTTAATCGAAGTAAATACGGTATTGTTTTTTAAGAATATATGCGTCAGTTATACTACAGAGAGGATCTCGACCGGGTAAACCATGACTATAAATAATGTAAAACATATTCAAATTCCAACTAACCTCTTGAACCACTTCTAAAGGTGGTATGGGAGTGAAAGTTTCCTCCGTTTGCGCATTTTTCTTAGGCTTTGGGACCTTCTTTTTTGCTTCCTTCAGGCCCTCCTCTGCCTTTTTGATGGCAATTTTAAGTTCCCCAGCAGAAATCTCGCAATGAAGACGCATGCATTCGTTCGCCTGTTCTTTATTCAGTCCCTTGACCTTACGATCAGCATCGTTGATGGATTCAACTTCCCGGCGTTGCATCTCAGCTGCAGCTTCATCTTCTAAATCAAAGTCTACGGGGTCTATTTCACTGATTTTCCCTTCTTCAACGTCCTCATCGTCGTCGTTCACAATCTCAACTCCAGCGGGCAGAAGGTTTTTCTCTTCTTCCAGAATTTGGTTTAAAAATTTTTGCGACACATTTTCGGAATCTCGGTTGAAACCTAGCCAATTGGCTAGACTGAAATCCGAAGAGAAACACGGGGGAATATCAATCCCGAAGCGACGTAAAACTTCAACAGTAAGGACTCCAGTTCCCGATGAGATTCCTAAAAATTAAGAAACGCGTGAACCAAAATACGGTATGTTCGAACATTTCATTTTTGGCGTCATCTATCTGTAATCCAGCCGAGTCATTTTTCTCACGGAAATCAGTCTTGGAATCAAGGGAGAGATTCACCTCGTATAATTTAGCGTCTTAAGTCCCACTAAATTTCTACTATAATTACATATTTGTTGAATAAAAAATTATCCTGTTTCTGCGCACCAAACTCGGGTTTCCGTCAATTTTTGATTTGGATGAAACACTGTGAGAAGAAATTTCAAGAAGGAAGTTTAATCCATAATGTGACTAGCTGCAAGTTTACTGCTTCCAGCGATAAAAGGTTTTTTTCATAATTATTATTGCATTGAGAATTTTTTTTTTCCTTGATACTTCCGTTGTTATTTTTCTATTGAACAAATATTCCTTCAGTACTTTCTTGAAGAATTAATCAGGAATTTTTCCAACAAAAAAAGGCACCAGACTATTCATTCCATGTACCTTCACGACGTGTACGCTTTCGTGGATGTGCAACCAATTGGCCACTTTAAATAGCGTTATCTCCTTGAATAGATTGTCTTACTTTCCAAATATTGTACACTGGGTCAACGCATTACGAAAACCTAACTTTAAGATAACTGTACTTTGCTAGTGATTTGTTCCGATCACAAAGAGGTCATAACTTATAACATTAAAATGTGTTTTTTTTATACATAAAATTGTAGATTTAAAATTGATTAGCATGAAAGTGAAGAAATAAGAACTCCTTACTCACAACTTCCTAAATTTTCAAGATTATGAAGACAAGAACATGTGAAAGAAAACTCATCCTATCTCATTTCCCTCAGTTTTGGGCGATAAATTCCGAAGTTTGAAGTAAAATTTTATAAATTCAAGCATTTCAGCCACACACAAAATTTTAAGCGAAGCAATTTCAATATGAGAAAGAAAACTCATCCTATCTCATTTCCCTCAGTTTTGGGCGATAAATTCCGAAGTTTGAAGTAAAATTTTATAAATTCAAGCATTTCAGCCACACACAAAATTTTAAGCGAAGCAATTTCAATATGAGAGTCATTTTTTGCCCCAGGAATTTTCTTCTTGAAAATTTATTCGCGAGGACTTTTCGCTATGCGGGGGTCAAAGTGCAATGTACATCGTGTTGAAGTACCGTACATGAAATAAAATTAACCTGACGTACAGTTAGTTTATCGGGTGGTGCTATAACTTTGAAAAAAAAAAAAAGCTGAAAACATGATCAATACCTTTTCTCAAGACCTCCAGTTCACCCAAGAATCGCTCAAGATCCCGCATACGGTGCCCAATGTCTCGGCTGACTTGAAAAGCGTTTCCCTTCGAGTTCATTCGCACCGTTCGAACTGTGAATGGCTCTAGCAAAATGCTCTTGGAACGTCCACCGATCCGCAGGATCTTTTTCGTGAACGCACTAATGCCTTCCAGAAACTGATCCAGGGCATGATTCGTGAAACAAACAACCAAGATAGGTCCTTCATCAACGATTTTGAATTGATTTCGACGAGCAAGGAAAAGAAAACTCATCCTATCTCATTTCCCTCAGTTTTGGGCGATAAATTCCGAAGTTTGAAGTAAAATTTTATAAATTCAAGCATTTCAGCCACACACAAAATTTTAAGCGAAGCAATTTCAATATGAGTCATTTTTTGCCCCAGGAATTTTCTTCTTGAAAATTTATTCGCGTGGACTTTTCGCTATGCGGGGACGAAGTGCAATGTACAGTACATCGTGTTGAAGTACCGTACATGAAATAAAATGAACCTGACGTACAGTTAGTTTATCGGGTGATGCTATAACTTTGAAAAAAATAAAAGCTGAAAACATGATCAATACCTTTTCTCAAGACCTCCAGTTCACCCAAGAATCGCTCAAGATCCCACATGCGGTGCCTGATATCTCGGCTGACTTGAAAAGCGTTTGCCTTCGAGTTCATTCGCACCGTTCGAACTGTGAATGGCTCTAGCAAAACGCTCTTGGAACGTCCACCATAGGCGTCCTAGAAAAAGCACTTGCGTGATTACGGAAGGTCTTTGACTAGGTCCCGTACTAAGCACTTTGTTTGTTGGTTCTATCCAGGAAGTAGTTGCTAAAACTTAACTAAAGCTGCTCGTTCCTTCGTTTCCACGAGCTTCAACCCAATGAATGTTTTGCCCGTTCCTGGAGGACCTATGCAGAGATATCCACAAATGTTTTTAGGCGGAGTACTGTCCTGTATTGTCACAAAATCCGATAGCAATCTGGCATTTTACATAATTATTCCAGTGAATTCAGGACCCAATATATATATTCCGGCACCCTTTGAATTTTAAAATTGACGAAAAATACGTTCCAGTTTATCAAACGCGTATTTTCTGGTTTTTTCATCACCAGCATTAAATGAACACAAACCGGCAGAACAAAAACTCCACAATTTTCAAATGACCGTATGTCCTCACCAAAAATGCGTTGAAAAAATTTTGTTCAGACCGGTTTTTCATCTGATGCTCACTTATAATCGTCCTTCCTTGGGAGCGAAGAGTGAGATAAGCAACGAAAATCCAGAAAAAATTGGGTGGATGCACAAAAATCAAATTTTCAAGGTAGCCAAGGATCAAAAATGGCGTCTGTAAATCTGCATGGAAATACAGAAGAATCGCGTTACAACGAAGTGTTTGGAACCTCGAAACAAGCTGCGTTATGAACAAATATATAGTCATTGAACCGAAAGCAAAATAACGTGCAGTTAATAGACAGGGTCACCATAAAAACAAATTCAATTTAAAAATGAATTCGTTACAACGAGGTTCGCGGCATGTGACGAGATTCTAACATGAAACAATCCTTGCTTGATAAAAGTTTAGTGCATGAAATTTTTGAACATTTCCAGGGAATAGGTTTCACCGCGAAATAAGCCTATTCCTAGTAGCAAACGCGTTTAGTGCTGTCTCTACATGTTTAAAGTATTACGTTTGCAACAGAGTTGAGAAGTATTAATGGACGCGCTAAAGTTGTGTCTTTAAGCGAGCTGATTCCATTGAAAAGAATTGAAGACACAAAAAATTAGACTAGACGCGAAAGCAAACATATTCAAAGACTGGACTATATGATCATACCAAATTCACTGCAAGAGAGACATTAATAGTATACTGTACATTTTGCAGTCAACGAGTCCAACGGACATATTTCTTAACCCACTAAATCCCAGGACATTTCTGAAAGCGTATTTCTCATACATCCTTTTTGCTGTGAAATTTAAACGGCACGCAATCTCTACGTCTGCGTCTAACGTGGAAGATCATTTTGCTCATTTCATCATCCAAATTCAGGTTAATCTAGAGCTAGATGGGGAAGTTATTTAGAAGCTTGTTGGCCTAAGCAGCTATTATCGAATCTTTTGGTTGGAACTTACTCCCGCTTAAGCGCCCACTCTGGTCGAAACTTACGTAACTTGACTCCTTCATCAAGCCCAAGGCTCTCCGGTTCCGGCCATTGATCAGAAAACGGATCCCCAACCAGTTCCTTGCCGTTGTGAGTCAAGGGAAATACTCCCGACTTTTCGCCGAAGTGATCCAAAACATATCTTGGTACAGAAGTTTCTTTTGTGAGGTCCACAATGTACTTTTTCATAGGATATCGATCCAAACGAATACTTTGTAAAGAAGAAAGGACGTGTCTGTATGCCTCAAAGAAAGCAGCACTCTCGACGACTAAAAATTCTGGGACATTCGTCCACGCTTTCAAGTCAAATTGGTCGCTTTCGGGTAGTATTCTTATGATGCCGCGTTTCAATTTTTCCACATCTCTTTCCACAACGGAAGCAAACATCACGGTTTTAAAGTTGTCATTTGTCAAACAGAGCAGGGAACCAAAAATCAATCTCTTGCTGATTTCCCATCGCACTCGACTCAAATTTTTCAAAGAGAATTTGAGATCAAGCGTGACGCCGATTCGGTCGAAAAACTTGCCAGTGATGACTCCTTTCTCGTAAATCCTGACATCTTGAATATTACGAAAGGCTGCAAAATTACAACCATTGCTTTGAATACGTTTCAGAATCTCAGCTACTCCTTCTCGCAAGGGTCTCACGAAATCCTCCTTCATGAGACGGAATTGCACGTCGAGGTAATGATCCACGTTCAAATATCGCCCAGACGTGATGTTGGCACGCAGAAACGGCTCTTCTTTGCCCAACAAGTCCTCCAGAGAGGGAAGCACAGGCGAAGTGCGGAAATCATCAGGAGCTTCTTCCAAATGACTTCTACCATGCACCGCAACTTTTCTATCGATGGCATGATCAGGCATTTGCACACTTCTTCGCAGGTCTGCCAAATTTTCTCGAACACGCTTCATCGTGAGGGTTAGAGCCTCATCCGCTCCCAACTTATCGTCTAAATCCAAGACAATCATTCTAACAGAGTTGACACACGCTTCGACATTCATGGCTTCATCAGCAGGGCATAGTCTAATGATAACATCAAACAATACCACTTCCGTGCACAAAATATCTCGCGCATCCTTCGGTTTCGATCGGCACATTGACGGTAACGTTGTCAAATTAAATTGCAAGAGGGAATGGAGAAACTTTGAGTGCAAAGCCAGGGAAATTGCGTTTCCAATCGTGAGTCCGAACCCTTGCAACGTCAATGCCTTGCAAAGCACTTTCAAAATGCACCGAATTCTTTCTGGATGGTCTTTCAATCGTTCGTCTCGCAAGGCGAGCGGAAATCCGGACATTTCGTTGACCACTGCAAAAATCGGCGCCGGATCTTGGCCTTCACATAGCTGTTGCAGATCTTTCAGGCTCATTGGGTGATCCCGTTCACGCTTTTTAGCGTTCATGGCGGGATTTTCCTTTTCGGGCATTCCACGGGAAGCCTGTGATTTGAAATTTGGATCAGAATCGTGCGGCTTTTTGTTTTGTCCCCCAGAACCCTGACAACCACGTCGACGTCTTCCTCCACGGTCAGTTGAATCACCGGAACCCGGTTTTTTTTCGGAAGGACTAGCTGCTGCGGCAGTTGCTAAAGAAGGCATATTTTTCCCCTGTGAACTTCTGGGAACACCTTGAGAATGTCGCAGCTTTTTCCCATGAGATGCAACTTCTTTCGATCCTGGAATCAAGAGGATCGGGTTACATTGATGGCACATACAATATTTACGAAATCGGTGTACTTTCAAATTGCATCACCTCATACTTCGAATATTTTCTGACCCACTTCATTTCAACAACGGTAATCTAAATATTGTACTGTAGACTACAGTAGAGTACTCTACTGCTTTTTCAAACAAACAAAAAACGAAACGGGCGTTTTATTCATTTAAGATTTTTTGGCGCTCATTTGTTCATTTATTTCGGGCTTTCTGTACAGAGTGAAACAAAACAATTACACGGAGAAGGAATGAAATGCAGGGTTAATACGGTATTTTGGAGATGGCAAGTATACTGCATCGTTTTCTGAAATCTCTGCGGCAAGTCAATGTCCAAGATATTCCAGCACGTGAGCGTTTCAGGGGATTTAATCTAATAGCTATCCACGCTTGGGTTGGACGACAGTGAACGCTTCTAAATTCAAGTTCGGCTTCAGAAAAATGGTTAGTATCACACTATTCTTAGCAATTATGCTTATAATAAGTGGTGTCTGAAAAATGAAAAGCGGGTTCATCAATTTCGTTATCAAGAAAACGCTCGAACTACCTTCGAACGACCTACAATCGAAAGCCTATACACATGGTAACCCAATGCGTCAAACTAAAAATTTAATTATGGGATTGCAGTAACGGAGCACATAGCATTACAATAGAAAAAGATGCGCATGAAAATGGACATCTGTCAAAAGAACACAGCCCGGATCAAAAGATAACTGTAATACAAAACCGACACGACTAAAAACGATTTGAACTCCCTCATGAAAATATGTCGAACGCAATCGATCAGAAATAAAATCATAAAGATTCACTGCTGGTACGTCTCTATAAAGGGTTAAAGGTTATGAAAGAAGCAACATCGAAAGTCACAAAAACTGGCCTAGTTTCATAAAGTCAAGCGGTGAAGTATTTCTTTCCAGCTTTAGGGTACAATTTAGTCTATATTCCGTCCGGATATAGGCGTTGGAATGTTGATGATTTTTTCAAGCGAACCTTCCCAATAGAAACGAGTCCCATTTAATAAAGGCGGCTTGATCAGTGACGTATGTTTTTCATACAAACAATATAAAAATCGACGATGTCCTTTTTTCATGCAAAGGAAAAAACCTGTAACCTTCCCCGTGAGAAAATTCCGTCGCAAGCGAAGAAATATTCTTGAATTGAGTTCCAAGAACGGCGCACCAAAAAATAAAGTGGAGCTATCTACTTCGTCTAGGATAGCTCCAACTTTGTTCCTTTCTTCCACAGGTAGCTCATTGACATCATCGTAGCATATGGAAGTTTATCCTCACCTTGGATTTGCAAGCCGCTATTAGACGAAGGACTTCCAGAAGGGAGTCCAACTTGAGAACCTTCCCCTAGGAGTATCATCGTTGGACGAGCTTTGGCCGTAATCCGAGATGGGTTTGTTTCACCTTTCTCCTTGGACATATTCAGGCGTGAAGTTACTTTCGATGGGCTACCGCGATCAATCACATCTTCCCAATTCAAAGTTGAGGCATTTTTCAGCTTCACAGAACACCAGTTCGGTTCCTGACTTTCACGCACATTCAATATTGCCAAACTGCTACACAGCTCGGAATACTGGTGATAACGTATCCTGTCGAAAGCACTCCTCAATATGCCGTCACGGTAATATCAATGGAACATATGTTCTCAAATTAATATCAAAAGAATAAAAGCACTTGGACAAGAATTAACGCGGAGAAAAGTATCCATCCAGACGAAACGCGACACTGCTGAGAAAACTCCCTTTCAAAAACACTTGCTACTTACATTTTACTGAATTCATTTTTGGATACAGGTATTTTGTACCTAATTGATTCTCCCATTTTCAGAATACATTATTTTTCCTGAAAGTGAACGCGGTGGAATGCGCTTTTTTCGTATCTACTTACACAGGGAATCTAGCCAAATACTTATATTACATTACTGTACATGCTTTAGGACGTCAAACGCGGCAATACCCTTGTTATCTTGGTTTCCGTTGAATATTAATCGAAATACGAGCATGTTTAACTCACGGGTTCACATACAATATGCAACCCCTATAGCTCTCATCGAGCATTCTGGTGATGTGTCTCGGCCAGAAAACTCGCTTGAATAATCTTGCTAAAAACTGAATTCGAGATTTTCTTTGAATGCCACACTTATATAATGGACGCCTCGTATTTTATGTTTTATACGCTGGATTCGGGTTGTAATGAAAAATTCTCTTCGGATGATGGACTCATAGACTGCAGGAATAAATTATGGTTACAATTCTGCGAAGTATCCTTCAAAAGATGGACACGGTGGTGAAAAGCTGTTGCAGCTGGTGACATTTATTAGGTTTTTTAAACTCATTAAAGCTATTCTGATACAGAATCCAATCGGTATCATTGCGACGATTTTAGAAATGGATATGATTCCATGAATACTGACTTCACGCACAGTACTTAGGACTTCTCGGGGTATAGAACTGATTCGTCACTCATCTGCCTGATTCATTACTTATGGATGATGCTGTTCATGCCTCTAAAACGGGAATAATTCACGTATAACCATGAACCAAAGCATTGCAGGGTTCAGAGAGCACGAATTTCAAAGCAATTCGCGACTTGCGAAAATGGCACTTGCCCAGCATCTTTCATCGCCATGATTGGAAAAAAATGCATCGTGGATAGTTTGAAAGTTGACGGACGTCGGCAAAGGCTCATTCGCGGAGCGAACGAATTCTATCCCCTTGTAATAATGACGAAGCGAGTTCCCGAAATCTACTCCGCAGTACGTTTCACGTATCAAGATTCACAAGTACGGCCAATATCACCACTTAAAGTTCACATACGCTTTATCCCCAACACGAATGACTCTTCACTCTTCGCCGAAGTTCACCACACTGAGATCAACTCCTCAACTTCTTGGATCATTTTCTTCCGCGCGCCTGGTACGCGGGGACGTACCGGCCCGTGGAAGATCCATGCACGGCAGCTCCCTGAACAGAATATTTTTATGTTCTGAGCAAATAAATATAAATACGAAGCTGTGAAATAAGATTTAAAAATTAAAGAGGAATCAAATTTCAAAAAGGCGCAAGTGTAAAAGACATCCTCGCATTTGCTAGAGCAGTGCATGTCAAGTTTTGGCGCTCCATGGTATGTTAACCTTCCTGCGATCACCTGATGAGGCATGGTCATGGCTTGAATGCACCCTGTGCGGGGCAAATGAACTGGGCTAAAATGAACATGTAAACGGGAAGTGTACCTCAATTGATACGGTATACACATCAGCCATTATTCCTTATTCGTGTGGGATAATAAGATAGATATCGCTATTGAGATTTCATACAATCGAATGCCTCAATTGCACCATGTCGTATCATTCAGACCAAGAAGTACTGTAGAGGGCAAGATTAACACAGTTGTTCGTTCAGGCACATGATCACAGTTCAGTACACAATTCCACTACCTCAATGTGCAGTACAGCATTTCTTTGGCATCACTTTCTCTCTGATACTCTGAATCACAGTTTCGCAGTGAGCCCCACATTTTTAACGCGTGCAAGCAACGGAACCCAAAAAAAAAAAAATCCCGGACGCAAATTCTAAAAATTCATAACTATCTGACGGCTGTCACCTGACTCAGGAAAGTCAAATTGCGTTTCGAATCGGAGAGAAAAACACACGCAAGAAGAAATCTGTGTTTGAATAACTGAAATGGATCTCGTGACGATCAGTGATCATCGGAGAAGAAAAAGCTCCTCTCTTTTAACCCGTGACTCTTCGCATTTTTTATTGATTTCAGTCGCATTAATTGGCGCAGTGTTTCTCATCTACACCAACATGAAAAAATCGTCGTTCTCGGAAAGTGATGTTGGCTTCAGACGAAATAACCACCACAATAACAAAATCAAAGTCGCTAATCGAATTCACGAATCAGAGAAAAAACGCTCAAGACCAGAATCTGATGACAGTGACAATAATAAACGAGAAAAAATCCACGATGAGATGAAAAATAACCCATATGATTCAGTGGAAGAAAACTCTGTCAACAATAAACACTACGAAGCGCGGGAAGTCGAAACAGAATTCCAAGATACAAAAGACAAACGTCAAAAACCCGGAAGAGAAGAAGAAAGATCCCACGAAGAATACAATGATGTTGACAAGGAAGCACCTAAAAAACACGAAAGAGTGTATCAAGATACACGGGATGATGGAGCTGATCCAAAATCCCATGACGAAAATTCAGAAGGTGAAAAACATTATGACGAAGAATTCGAAAAAAACTTCACTCCAGACTACGACGACGACAATAAAAACGAATTGAGTCACAAACAGATGAACGAAGTACAGAGAAATGCAGATCAAGATTCACAACGTTTTGGAGAAGAGTCATTCAAAAGAGAACGGAAGGACTTCCGGCACAAATCCGCGAAGGGTCGTGATGATGATGAGGATCTTGAAAATGATAATGATCGCGAGGAGGATTCCAACTTCCAGAAATTAAACAATGATGCAAAACATCCTTCAGATGAACAGGAAGACGACGAAACAAAAGAAGAAAATAAGTCGATAAATTCGATGAAAAAACAACCATCAGAAGATAAAATAGTGCCTGACAAAACTAACAGTGAAAATGTCGCCCAAGAAATTCCAGAATCCGGGAAACAAGAAAAAGCCGGCCGTGTTTCACAAGCTGACGACGAAGAAAAAACTCACGATTTACCTGAAGAAAAACCAAGATTTGGAAAAGTGTCAGATGACGAAGGCAAACGTGAATTCAAAAAACAGAAAAAGGCTTCTGATAATGGTTCGAAACCAAAAACAGCTGAAGATACCCGCGAAAAAATGGAGCATGTTTCTCAAGACAATGTATATGCTCCAGCAGTAAATAATCCGAGTTTAGAAAATCAAGAACCTGAAAAGGATGATAAGACCAATTCAGAATCCCAAAACCAAAAAAATTCAAATCCTGATTCACAAGAAATGGCAGCATTAAAAATAAAACAAGCGGATGCAGCAGAATCTCAAAACACTGGCGGAGAAGCTGGCATAAAAGAAAAATTAATCGCAGGTGCACATAAATCTCTCAGAAAAATTGAACAACATCTAGCCAAAAATGTCGATAACCTCGAACCAATAGAAGAGCAAAATGGTGAGCACGGAATACAACGAAAAGCAGACCAAGAAAAGCTTAAACCAGAACCAAGGAATGAAAATGAAATCCACGAAAAAGTTAAAAACCCTGCTTCTGACGAAGCCCTAGAAATTCTTGACAAAAAGGCAGGAGAAAATCAAGAAAGAAATTTATGAAAGCAATCTAAAGCGTCAATCTGTTGATTGCTAAATCACGAAGGAAGAACGATGTACAATTTACAAAAGCGCAATCAATCCAGAGAAAATTATGGACATCCTGAACTCGGATCTGCGAAACGAATCAACATTAGCCAGAAGGAGAATAAAAGTTCAGAGATCTACAATTTTTCGGGTTGAACTTCGAGTTTTCAGCGCTGTTCTCCACTAACCTTTACTAATACTTTGCAGTGTTTGTTTCAAAAATAAAACAAAATGAAATGCAGGGTTTATTATGTCTTACTAAAATTTTTAAATATTGAAATACTTCCTGTGATGAGTCTGCATTTGGTTTTTAGATGTGACGAGTTACAGGTAGCCATAGGACATTTTTTTCTATTCTTGTTGGATTTAAAATTTATTTTCTTGGCTTTCTCAAAAACGTTCCATGCACTGATTGCAACAACTTTTTCTCATGAACATATTTTTCTCTATTATCTTCACTCAATATACTGTATGTCGAAACAGTCTTCCCAATTTTAATTGTCTTGTCATTGTATTTTGATATCTAAACGTGGTTTAAATATCAAAGCACGCAAGCGCCAATTTTTAATTTCCACTCCCTTCGTGGCAATATTTTTCCCCCGGAAGATATAATTCTGAGTTTCTCTGGGGGTAACTATACTCTACGGTATTGTACCATACAATCTCTTCCAGCATTCTAAGAGCGACATCTATAAAGTGGTTCATAAATATTGTTGCTGGTTTCAGCTGTTCCGCCATGATTTCAGTCTCAAGCATATGTTAGGACTTAGGAGTACTTAGGACCTTTTAAAGATCGGAATGTAAGAGGAATGTTACATAATATTCAATATAAGATATCCGTTTGTGACGTATTAACGACACATACAACGATTATATTAAACATAAGTTTCACTTACAGTCCGCGTTAAAAAAAGTGAATGGCACATTGGAACAAGCTGGTCTGTGCAACAATATGGTTTGCAGCATTGCAATATGTGCCCATATGGCATTGTACAGTGGGCCCCCGACTTACGACGGGCCCATGTTACGTCGGTTTCAACATACGACGCCTATTTTTTTTATAAAAAACCCCCGACTTACGTCGGGGTTTCATGATACGACAGCTTCTGAAGTTCTTGAGCTCCCTCACACCAACTGTTTTTTTTGCACCATACATGCACCAATGGTTTTCCTGGGAGGAAAAAAAATTTTTTTGTGCCAATTATTGCTGAATAACTGTGTTTAGGAGTATTTTGAATTTTGTGTGTATCTGTACTGCCCTGTGCATTTCATTATAGCTGAATAATTTTGTTTAGGAGGAATTTAATAATTTGCCAGAAAATTATCCATTCTTGCAATTTTAAAACTCGACTAAATGTTCATTCCAGACATTTCAAATTTCAAGTGTGTGAACCAAGCCCTCCATCTGTTGAAATGGCACCTAAGAAAGTTTGAAAAGTTACATCTATCCAAGTGAAAAAAGAAAGGTGTAAAGAAGATGAGAAATTTTTTTTTGAAAAGTGTTCAAAATTGTGAAAACCATTCTCCTCCTACCCTATTTCACTACCCTACCACCTATCACTTTTGTTTTATACAGTCTTTCAAACATGTCTTGTGTCTATTAATGCAATTTCTGACAAAAAGTTGAAATATGAAGGTAATTTTAGTTTAATATTTTTTTTCTGGAACAAATTAATTTATTTATAATGTAACCATAAGGGAAATATGGTTTCAACTTATGACAGCCCCATGTTATGACATCCATCCTGGAATGGATTGATGAAGTAAGATGGGGGCCCACTGTATTTTTATATGCATCAATATTTGAATCAATTATACTGCAATATATGATAGAATGCTACCCACGTCTCTCTTGAGAAAAAAATTTGCACAATTAAAAAAAACGCAAGATCAAAAGATAGCAATGTTTGTATGCAGACAATTGTAAAATCGTTCGTATAATATTGATTCTTACTGTCAAATTTTGCTCACGTTATCAAGATTGAACGAGAAGCTATAAAAATAGATAAATAAAATAACCCCAAACGTGATTCCAAATTTGTTAAATACTTTTTATTTTATTTTAATGACACACTATGTGCAGAAACTTGATCACTGCCCTTTGAATTTAGGAAACGTTTCTTTCTTCTTGATCATACAGCCCCTCAACTGACCATGTTTGAAGAGATGGGGAGTTTCTCATTAAAAAATGATTCATTACTCTGCAAGAAATTTGAAGAAAAGGGAAATCCTCGCAATGTTATCTTTTCCTATTCAAAGCAATGGAAAAAATCAGCAAAACTTCTCAAATTAAAAAGTATAAATAACGCGTTAGACATACACAAATACAGTATTCTGCTCTTTTCCGCGAAACCAATATTTAAAGGAGAAGAAAACTGTCAAATTAATGCAAATACGAGCGGTAGAACAAGTGCAAGCTGTTTTTAAAAATAGAGGTAGCAAAACAGGAATTTTTGATACAGTTGAGTTTGGTTTTACGCAGAAGCTGAAATTCTGGAACTCAGAAAACTGACGGAGTAAAAATATAGAATAAGACGCGGGAACATCTCACTGGTGTTTTTTTTCAACAGAAATTGATTCCACACCAATGCAGACACAATGAAATGTTATACCATTCCAAATTGCATGCATTAAAATATTCCGAAATTCTTGAATTTAAGTTCAATTTCAAGACAGTAGCCCTATATTTATTCCAGAGATATAACACGATTTTTCAAAAATCATAGTTTCTATAAATTCTGGAATTTGCTGACAAGTGTATATTTCCAGAGTCATTATCCTGATGTTGGGGCATCCAGACTTCGGGGTTTCACTGTAGCTTCAAAATACTGTACTCAGTTTTTGGACGCCCCGGACTAATCAACCATTTTAGCAATCCCTCACACTCAGTGTGAGGGGGAATGTAATTCCCCCTCACACTGGTCAAGTTGATCAACAGCACAAGGACCTATTTTTTTCGATTAGTCACATACAGCGCATGGTAATTTTTTATGTACTTTCTAGAGCAATGAAAACCGGCCGAATTCCGGGTTTCAAAATCAAAGAAATTTTATGTCTCAAGACCGCCAGAAGAAAAAAAGTAAAAATATTTATATAAAAAACACCAGCCGCCGTGTGTTGAGAGGATATCAGAGCCCAACTCCCTTCCAGGCCCACTTAGACAATCCTTTTTTCGATGAAAATTTGCCGGCACTCACGTCGAGTTAAGTTTCTTTTACATGTTGTCCCAGAAAACGTAAGAACACAGTAGAAAATATTCGTTACAATGCACTGCTAGAGATTCAACAGGAGCGTCGAAACCGTCACGATCCGTTTCTGAAAACTACAGGTACTTCGTGAGGCTCGAAGACACCATAATAGACAACGATAATGTGGAAAACTACGTAACTGTGGTCAAATTGTCGCCCGGGGTTCAAGTCTCACAATATGCACGACCGGTGAAAATTCCAACCGCACACACTTACGACGGTGAGATACACTGCATTCCAACTACTGTGCGTTCACTTCATAAGGCACGACTTGATTCACTTTATACAAGGCATGACAGCGATCTTGGTAACCCTGAAGCTAGTCAGGAACAGTCAAAAGATTCCCGAAGTGCTTCCAGTCATCGGAAAGTACAAGATCTTGAATGACTGTCCACACGAGACGCTGTTGCAAACGTACCCGAAACTCGGACTCAGCGACGCGATCTGCGCGGAGCACATTTCCGGCCGACTGTGTCAAGTAAGCATCAATCAATTTCTATTCGGAAACACTTCCTGAAATGCCACCATGATTCACACGAACAGAATTCACTTCCCGGAAGCGCACTGATGTGCACGAAAAAGAAAGACGCAAGGTCATCCATGATCGAGAGACCTTTCCTGTGCGGAATGTGGGCCCCTCTGACGAGCATCAGCGGAACGTCGAAATTTTGCGCTTTCAGACGAATTCTGCCACCAACACCGAAACCGTAAGTAAAACTTTCGATGCTTCCTGGCAGCGCTCGCTGAAAATTAAAGAGAATCATTGAAAGAGGCTCAAAATAAATTTTCTTTCTAGCGTCACCAGCACACAAAGGGATACGTCCACTGTGCTTCGCTAGAACCGAAGTCTTTCCGGTAACATTCCCCGCAAGATGTCGTGGAGAGGAAATTTTCATCTTTCCGTACAGCTGTACAGTCAAAATACTCACCTGAAGATTCCCGAGAAATCTCATGAACTCTAATATTACGAGACCCTCACAGCATGGAACTCAAAAACATTCCAACGGATCATAATCATCTGGGTTCGACATACTGGGAAACACGAGAATCGACGCCTCTGAACTTGTCGAGAATATATATTTTTTCAATTGCCCAATTAAACCACATTCATGCAAAGTATTTCACGAAATAATGTGGCAACACCTACGATGTTAATATCATTATTGTCAGGACTAACAGGACACAAGTAATGAGACTTCCATTCGAGCATCCAAAGTTTTTTTCAACTGAAAGAATTTGATCCCTATTCTTGAAGCAGATGGCACAAGAGAGAACTTATGTTCACAAAAGAATTACTCAGACAAATCTGGAAGCAACTACAGTAATTGAATGTACGGCTCATTTTTTCTTCTCATTACAGTACAGTGAAACGAATCCTGGTTGTCTGCGCAGAACTTAGCCTCGTCTGAGTACATATACGTTCGTGCTTCTTGAAGTGACCAAGAGAAACAGAATTTCAATGAACATGAAGTCTGATCTTCACTTTTATTTAGACAAATTGCAATCAATTCTTTAGCTTCCTTTTCTCGCAAGATAAAAGGCCTCGGCAGTGAGAAGTGAACTCAAAGAATTTTTTTTGAATAGAGGTATTATTTCACCGCTCAAGATTTATCACAATAAACTGCATTGCTCATCACGGTGGGCCACAAAACACGTGGGAGAAAATTTGATCACAGCAACCACAAATCAACTTTTTTCAATCCACGATTTTACATATTTGTTCATGGAAAACACGCCAAAATCAAGTCTTCTGAAATAAATTCTGGATTTAAACAGAAGTGAGAACACTATCTTAGGCATTCATGATGTCCAAGGAGTCGTATTTGATGCCGTCTGAAGACACTGCAGTCTCTCCTACGACCTGAAACAATGAACGTTTTAGAGCGCAAAACCTTCATCGTGAACTGATTTTGAAAGAATCATAGATGGATTTTGTTCCAGGCAATATTCGCAGAAATTTATCATGGCACGAACGCAGTGTGAAAATCACAATAATCAGAACTGTGCGACTTGTTCGTCAAACAAGGAGATAACCAGCCCGCGGTAAAGAAGAGCGATCACATCAGTCGGACCTTCCCCAATGAAAAAAACGTAAAAACCACAGCACGTGTTCAACCCAAAAAAAGTGAAATCTTCAAGCAATTAAACAACCTCAGTTTTGGAATTTCTTTGAAGAATCGGCAATAGCGGTTTCGACGGCTGCTTTTGCAAGCGTTTGCTGAATACATTCAAGTATACACCAATCGCGACTAGAATCCCCGACCAAACGTAGCTGAAAGCAAGAATACAGAACTTTTATATTCGATTCGTGCCAGACGAACAAAAATGAAGAACTCACTTCATCGAGAAGGGTTTTGCGAAGACGAGGAAAGAAAGCACCAACGAAAACACCTTTCGTAGATTTGTGACAGTCACAGCGACTAGAGCGTCGAATTGCTTCACGAGTACCAGAACAGTTTCAACGCTGATATATCCTGTCACGATCAATGCCAACAAAGGCAACCAGCAGTCGGGATTCTGTTCCCAAAATACAACCATTCAGTGCTCATTCTTTCAATCGAACGCTTCGAAAACCTTACCGAGAAAACCCATTCAATTGCGGGAAAGAGATTTCCGATCAATAAAAGATAAAAAAAAATTAAGCACCCTCCAACCGCAAAAGAAAGGCACATGATTTCAACAGATGACGCTTCGTAATTCTTCATGGCTTTCTCCTGCAGATTTCCAATTACGGCATCCGCAGTTAGAGCACTATAGTAGTACTGTTGAGGACTTTTCGGTCTATAACAACTTTAACTACTTTACTCTCCTCCTTTTCTTCAAAAGACTAGCATGGTTACTACACCTTTGATCCTCTTTCGACTGACGGGTGCTCGCACAAAGCAGCTAATCCTATGGACATCAACACACAAGCTAATACGTCCAGCAGTCCATATTTCTTTTGCATGATGAAAACGCCACCGATCATGACGGGGATCAACTTACACGATTTGAATATCACCTGTAACGTACAACGAACACTGGAAGTGACCAACGGTCTGCATTTAATACTTCATCTCACTTGAGTCGGATAATTCAAGTACGCAAGTGCACTGTTCGAAAATCCTATCGTGACAACCGATGAGACACCCAGCAACATCAAGGGGAGCATCGGGATACTGCGAAAAATGAAGTACAGAGCATCACATGCATAACAGAAGAAAGATGAACGCTTACTTCCTCCCGATCGTTTTCTTGGTAAGAAGAGCTTCGGTCCATGAAATGAATGAGTATCCAGCAAACAACAATAAGCTCAAAAACCAACTGTGATCGCTCATTTTCTTACTGACCAGGATAAGTTCCTTCACATGGGAGCAAAAAATCATTGAATTGATTAGGTACCATAATCACTTCGGAAAACATCTTGACTTACCAGAAGATATCCATAGATCAGACTTGAGATCAACACAACAACACAGCAAACAGCAAGCTGCTCATTTCGACGCAATCGAGTTACATCAATGTACAACACCAGTACCCGCCTTTCGGGGTCCATTATCACAGATTATCAAGCCTCACTCACCTTCCACGGCACAAAAAAAGACACACGAACCTTTCACACCTCTTATTTAAGAATATCATTCCTCAAGGTTAGCGTTGAGTGGAAGTTATACCATAACGTCGCGTCACGTGCAAAAGACACGTCCGATCTACACAGCTGAAGGATCATAATAGTCCATGTGAAGGGAAAATTCATGCGGAGGCAGCCGTAATATTTTCCGTAAACTTGGTTTGGATACCTCTAAAGTGACATTACTAACATGAATGCGTCAGGATGGCCGAGTGGTTTAAGGCGCCAGACTTAAGATCTGGTTCTCGTTATGAGAGCGTGGGTTCGAACCCCACTCCTGACAAACTTTTTTCTCCTCATACCGCTTCTGCAGTAAAGTACAGCACTTCATGTAGAAGTACAGTATATGGTTATTGTGGAGCATAATATACTGTACTTGTGAAGCAGGGATAATGCACTCTCATACTTAAAGGAGTAATGATAGGATTTTCGAACAGTGCACTTGCTTACTTGAATTATCCGACTCAAGTGAGATGAAGTATTAAATGCAGACCGTTGGTCACTTCCAGTGTTCGTTGTACCACACGCTCGTGGGCAGTCAGCTTTCTCCTAGTTTCCACATCATTGGTACGATCAGAAAACTTCTTTTCCTCCTCTCATTTCATCAATTTCAACAATATCTGGCTTTTCAGGAGTTGTCATGATGATATATGTGCTCTAACTGCGGATGCCGTAATTGGAAATCTGCAGGAGAAAGCCATGAAGAATTACGATTTATATAGCTGATAAAAAATGTTTGCAGTTTTATTCCTTTCTTTTTATCTCAGGAGTAGTTGAAACAAATTGGGATACCATCCTGAGCCATATTTTACTGTATAGTTTGTACAACTGCAGCGGCATCAAGTACGGCATATATGGGTTTATTAGCAGTTATACACTTTGCAAAACCCTCTGATTTTCATTTCATAATTTAGGTACAGCATTGTTCTGGAAGTTTTTTGGGTGAAAACAGAACACTTTCCATCACATGCATATATGAGGAATTACAGTGAGACCCCCACATGCAGACACCTCAACATAGGGACATTTATTTTTGAATAAAAAATCATAAAAAAAGGCCTGACATAGTGACACTTACTCAATATGAGGAAATTTCATGATAAAATTGCCGATAAAATTTAGGAAAATTGACTTTTAATCGGTTTAATTGCAAGAAACAGATATTTCCAACCTTAATATATATGTTAGAAAAATTCTTTGGTGCTTTTCCCATCCATTCAGCTAATTTAAAAAATTCTCTGTCTCACAGAGGGACTTCCTTCTCTTTTTGTGACTTGAATGTTATTTTTACAGATGCCAACATTTCAATGAACTGTACAGTGGTACACTATTCAAGGCTCCAAATGTTCTTATTGGGTTGAAAAGATATTCACTGAATCAAATTCAAGTGGCAAACAGAATTTTTTTCAGGGAATTCTGAAGAATATTTCTTTCATAAAACACAAATTGAAAATTATATAATGTAAGTCTATTGGAAAACAAGACTTGACTTAAGGACAATTCAACTTGGGGACACTCTTGATGCACCAATTATAACTGCATCTGTGGGTCTCACTGTATTTTAAACTGAGGCAATAAATAGGCCTAATCCTTAATTATTGATGTCAGCACAACCTAAATGTAAGTGGAATTTATTTGTGGCATGTGAAAGAATTAGCACTAATACCATGTAATGTCAATATAGTGCTAGCTTTCCAGCACCTGTCCACTATTCTAGTATACAGTGAGACCCCAAGATGCAGACATAACCAGGGCCAGATTAAACCACATTTTGGCCTGATGCTGCACAAAAAATGGGCCTAATTCTCCTTTGCAATAAAAAAGCATAATTTTTTGAACACCAGCAAGAAATCACTTCAGAAAAATGTTGAGGCCACCAAAGGCTTTTTGAGTGGGAACAGCAGTGAAAATTTTATCCTGTCAGGCAGCGTGGCATGGTTGGAATTGAAATCTTTGATTGAATTTTCTCCTGGCTATGATTCCTTGTCACTGCATCTTCCTGTTTCTGGCCATATTGGCCATGATTTCCTTTTTCTATGCAGAAATGATTGTGGGCTCTCAACTGATTTTCATGTCCTACATCTGGTTTTCAATGGTTTTTATATGTGCAAGGTGCTGAAATTGATTTATTGGTGCCTGATTTTTTTCATCATGAAAACTTTTGCCTCTTTCCTGTTTTTGCCAGATTTTCATAATTGAAAAAAATTTGGATTTCCAAAATTGAGAAATTTTTTCAAATTCTCCAGGGGCCTATTTTTCCTGTGGGCCTAATGCTGCATCATCAATAGCACCCAACTTAATCCGGCCCTGGACATAACTGGTGCATTAAGAGTGTTCCCAAGTCAAAATGTCCTAAAGTCAAGTCTTGTTTTCCCATAGACTTCCATTATATAATTTTCAATTGGTGTTTTATGAAAGAAATATTCTTTAGAATTCCCTGAAAAAAATTGTTTGCCTCTTGAATTTGAATTAGTGAATACATTTTCAACTCAATAAGAACATTTGGAGCATTGAATAGTGTATTTCTGTACTGTATACATTGAAATGTTGGCATCTACAAAAATAACATTCAAGTGAAAAACAAGTAGAAGTCACTCTTTGCTGGAGGTCATTTTTTAAAATTAGCTAAATGGATGGTAATTTGGTGAGAGAAATGCCCAAGAACTTTTCTTAAATCAATTTTAGGGTTGGAAATATCTGTTTCTTGTAATTTGGCCTGAAATGTATTTGCAATTTTACCACAAAATGTCCCTATGTTAAGTCAGTGTCCTCATGTTGGGCCTTATTTGTTAATTTTTTCTGGGAAAATAGGTGTCCCTATGTTAAATTGTCCGCAGGTTGAGGTGTCTGCATGTGGGGGTCTCACTGTACAATATATGCAGAAGAGGTTCATTGTCCTCCTCATTGGCAAGCTGTTTTCTCATTTGTAATGAGGCTTTTTCATTGTTCATCAATGTATACAGTATATGATGTTTGCCACCCATTATCAGTATATAGGCATGAAGGCTTCTAGTTTGCAGGTGCTCTGATCTATCCGTTTGTTCCTAAATTGTATACTGTACATGCAAACATGTGCTCTTTATATTTGTACGGAGTCATGTTGTGCTGTGTTTTCAATGAATTGCAGTACTCATTTTTCTGGATTTGAGACTGGTTATATGATTGCTTTACTTTATTCTTGGATTGAATAAACAAATTTTGCAAAAAATATCTTCATCAACCCAGTGGAGTCATTTATAAAACAAAATATTAATAAAAATATAATAAAACACCACACAATATTCAACTCACTGTTGGATGTCATGAATATGACAAGGGCAAAGGCACCATCTCTGTTGATTGGTATGGTTCCCGATAAACTTTAGTAAATTTCTTATTAGGCTTCAAGTTTGGCATTCATGATGCAATTAGAGAGTGAAACACTTATTGCAAAAAATAAGCATGAACATTTATGTCACAGGACAGATTGTACTGTGCTCTGAAATAATACTTATCACAGAAATGACTCCGAAGAAGAGAGTCATGTCGAATTTTACACAGCCAGATCTGCAATTGATTCTTCAGCTGATATTCATTTGCCAAGTTACTCACATCTCACCTTTGCAAAAACTGCCTATTTTTTTCAAACATATATGAAGTTGAGCAACAGTGAAGGGCAGTTGAATACTTCCTTATCGATAATAATTAGGAAACTTATTGCGTCACGGGCAAAGGGAACATTGCTGTATTGTCTTTCATGTGCAAACAAAAATAAATCTTCAACAACCCAAACAACGATCTCAAACAAATCTTTCTCTGCACAGAGGACATGTTGGATTCATACTTGTTGTAAACCATTTGAGCTGCATGGTAAAAAAAAAAGAAGAAGGAAGAAGTCAAAATCACGAAGCAAAATCGTAAGATTCATACAAACTCACCAAGCATCCCGAATGGAACTTTTTCTTGCATGTTCTGCACGCTTTCTTTGGGAGCTCGTTTGTAGTTCCATGTAAAATGTTGTAGCAAATATAACATTCCTCGACGCCTTCAAACCGCTTCCCGACGTTCTTCTTCCATATATCAATCGACTCCAAAATTGAAGCTCGCTGCACATGAATTCGAAAATTAGCATTCGAAAAAAAAGACGCCTTCGCTTCAATCCATTCTCACTCGATGCGTCAAATGCATGCTCAGCTCCATGACCCATCTTGACCAGACTTGCTTGGAAACTCCAAAACGTTTGCTGGCATCCACTTGCACCGGCGTCAACGGGAAATTGGCAGGTACAGTCAGAACCAATTCCAGGAGATTCTCATCCACAGTGTGGACTACGACAATTTCCCTGACAGTCTCCCGTGCCCGAATCTACATTCAGATAAAAAAAAAAAAATTAAACAGTTGGACCTCTCTAATTGGAACTTTAAGAGTCCAGCAAAAAGTTCGTGTTTGGGAAGTTTTCTAGTTCCGGAAATAAGCACTTCTGTCGTGGGAAGGATACAAGAAATGTAGGAAATTATAAATGGTGATATTCTGAGCCTTTAATTGCCTTTTAAATTAGTTGAAAAGATGCTGAACTTGAGAGGCAAGGGTTCATTTACCCATTCAGTCTTTCCCTTCTTTTCGAAACACACACATAACCATTTTATTGATTTTCTCTTTCCTGTGCCGAGAAAACAATAGCCAAAATAACTCAGAAAATTCGAATTACGGAGGTTCAAGAGGAAATCAATCAAGTCAGAGGTTTTTAATGAAAACAGTATTTCCCGAAGTCAGACAGGGACTTGAAAAGGTTCGCGTTATCGAGGTTCGAATGTAAAAGTGGACTCTCTGTCTCTACAACGATTTTTCTCAGTAGAACGAATTTATATTCCGTTCCACAGGGTTCTCTCCGCATGTTATACGAATTCTTCACATCAAAATTCTCTCTACAACGCATTTTTTTTAATGGTCCCTTGAATTTCGTGTTGGAGAAAGAGAGAATCCAACTGTACTCGTGTACAGGTTTTACATGACATGATACCTGTCGGGTCAACTCATAAATATTTGACGACCATTTGAAGTCAAATCATTTCGAATTTCACCATGCCCAACAGTTCGAAAAGAATTACTGTATCGCTAAATCATACAGTATTGAACTTCGCCCAAACAAATGTCTAAAAAATACAAAAATAAACTTTTCAAATGCTCGGAAAAGCTCTACGAAGACAATAGGAACTGGACAAGGAAACCTTCGAACTTCAATTCAGAGACCGTAGTCTTCAATTCAGAAACGCGACTGAAATCTATGCACTGACTTGAAATTTCATCCCTATAACGTCAGAGACGATTGCACACATTGGCTAGCAATTATTATATCATGAAAGATTTCCAGAAAAAAAAAAGACTGACGTGGTACGGGAAGATGTTTTTATGCGTCAACGTCGTCAAACTAAGTTTGAATATTATCACTCAAAAGCAAACCTGACTAGTACACAAAAACATTCAGCACTAACGCTATTTTGGTTGAAAACCAAGAAAATAATATTTCGATAATTTGCTCTCTTACACACCAACTAATCAAAATAAGTACTGTACTTACTGATGAATCACCAGCTGCGCCGGCCCCAGTTTCAGTCGCTTTTTTCGATTCTTTCTGGAGCCGCTTAGCTTCCTTCTGAATGATTTTCAGCTCCTTCGACCATATTAATGGCGAAATGTGCCGTGTCGTGAATTGAGACACTTCATTCTGTATACTAGCATTCGACAGGCCCATGAACCACTGTCTCATAAAAACTGGAAATTCACTCAATGCGCACAGATACGTTCTGCATGCGCAATGCGCTATGGTATCACTCTTCGGCAGCACTGAAAAAAAAAAAATCCATAAATGAAACACGGATAAAATTCAGATTTGGACAAAATTGCGTCAGTTTGCAGAACATAAGGTGGAAATCTCACAAAATCTGATATTTTGGCATCAAAAGAGACAAGAAAAAGTCTAGCTGAACTGTGCACAACTGATAGGAAAAACTCAAAAAAAAAGAAGCGCAAATTTAGTCTGTTTTTGTTTTTTCATCAAAAAGATAAATTTTACAACGAAATTTAATTTACAGTATCTTCTTTGAATATAAATGGCTCAATTTGTTCAAAAGATAAAAAATGTAGAAGAATATTTTTAGAAAAATGCTGGAAAAGCGTCCATATATCGAGACATGTTCTGGATATCGGGGCGTCAGTATGTCGGGGTCCCCTGTAGAACGTTCGAAGAGTCAAGGAATATCTTTCAACTTATTGCTTTTTGGAGAAGGAAAATAACGAAAAATGTTGCTTGAAACAAGAAAAGCTAGAATTAAAATTTGTGTACGCTAAAAATACAACTTCGACCCAATTAATAAAAACCAATAGCAGCTCAAGAAAATAAAATATGATATAATTTCTTGAATGTACCTTAAATTCCGTGTCAAGCATAACGAATTGCCTCGTGAACGGGAAAAGACAGAACTCGAGTAAGACGCGCACCACGGTTTTTCAGGCGAAGATTTTCATAAAATTTTATCCCAAAGTAAAACGCGCACCCCATTTTTTGTGACTCTAGATCTGCAATATTCAGACAAAAAACACCCAGATTCGAATTTAGACAAGAATTCATCCTGAATTCAACTAATTTTAAATTACCGTATTTCAATTACAAGAAGTTTCAATGTTAAAATTGGTCCAAAGTTCCCATTATAATCAATGCACACCTAAACTTCTACAACTTTTTTTTAATGTTTACCCGCCTATGACGCACAACCTATTTTTCCCTCAATTTTTGTGAAAAAGGTGCCCGTGGTACTCGAGTTCCGCAAATATGGATTTTTCGGTAACATCAAACTTCTATCAAAATTGATGCAAACAGATTGATTCACCTGACACCACGACGTCGAATGGTGGCATAGGTGTTCTAACCATGCTACCCACGTCATCTCTGCTCGTTTCGGCACAAGCCCGGACATTCGCTTTCCAACACGCATCGGAAAACTCCGCCGTGGGTGGCATGAGACGGAACAAATTATTCCCCAGCTTTTCAAACTCCTTGTGTTGAAGCAGAGAACAAGGATAAACCGTGGAACCGAATCTAGGATCAGAAAATCCGTCAGAACGCGTTTATTCCATCACAGACGGGGAAAAAAACCCACTGGATGCCTTCCATGAAGGACTCCTTCACCACTTCGGGAACTTTCGACCAGAGATTCATCCACAAATTCCAGCTCAGCAAGTATCCTCTCGCGTATGTGTAACTGTCGGTGAAAGGCTGGACTAGACACACTCCATCTCCAACCTGAATCAAAATAATCAACCCCAATCACGTCTGTTCGAATAAAGAGAATCCCAAGAGCACACATACTCTGACATCCATCAACATGGCATCAACCACTTCCCTGGTACTCCTCATCGTCTCAAGCAATTCCGTCGGTGGATGCTTGAAAACTGGGGGATCTCCTTCGTATTCCACATCCAGACCCACAGTGGACTGCACTGCCGGTATGTGAGACACATTGCAGGCTAACCAAGACATGTACCTAAAGGAACAGGACACGAGGCATCAATTACAAGCCTATTAGGCCTGATCAAAAAAACGAAAATTTCGCGTTTGATTCTTCGGCGCGAGACGTTTACTCGCGCGAAGACTCACACGAAACATACTTTTTACGCACACGGTACATTTGAGATAGCTTGACGATACGAGCGTGACTTTCACTGTTCGTGTTTTGATCCATTATACGAGGGGTCTTACACAAGTTCTGGGAATAAAAATTGAAACGGCATAGGACTGCAATGAAATAAACGATTAAAAAATATTTAGCACAAGAAAAAAAAATTCAGCCCTATTTTGACAGATACCATTTTTGCAAAAGTCACCCTGGCAGCTTTCTGCTTTTCACACGAAAGATGAGGCGCAAATCTTTCAGATTTTTTTGTGTACCCCAGTATCTTTCTTCAGACAACATGGCAGGAATTCCAAGAGTTGCCTTCAGGTCTTCCGAGGTAATTCCAATAAAAATTTAACTCCATCAAAAATTTAATGGAATGGCAATTTCATTAACAGCCGCCTTCACAGCCGTCCACCAATTGGCGGCGGTGAATGAAAACGGCGGAATTATATTGCAAGAGCTAGAGGCAACTCTTTGAATTACTGCCATCTCGATTTAAAGAATTCTGAAGGAGAAGCTGGGCTACACCAAAAGAATCTGCGAGAGCTTCTCATCTTCCGAGTGAAGAGCAAAATTTTGCCAAGGTGACTTCTGCAAAATTATTCTGCAATATGTAAAACAGGGCTAATTTTTTTTCGTGTTCCAAATAATATTTTTTCGAAACAATATTTTTGTTTTCGGCTCAACCTTCCAATTCGTTTTTCCATTCCGAGAACCTCTCTTATACCCCTTGTTCTCTGTTTTATATCTATTATTTCAAATCTTCCACGGAAAGAAGATGCTGAAACGTTTCACCGGCGTGAATTTCCGTACCCAGATAACACCTTGCGATCACTTACTTGTTCAGCAAAGAAAACGCGGTTTCCTGGACGCAGTGATTCGAAGATACGAGGAGTGGCATCAATTCTCGCGAAAATTTCATTGGCCCCTCTGGACCGTCCAAGAACACAGAGTTCCTTTCGAGATATCTCAGAGGCATGACTCCAACAGCGCCACAAATTGCACCAACATACGCATCTCGGAGGCCGTCAACCAAATCCACAACCTCTTCTCTTTGACTTCCGTGTTGCGGAATCGTTGCTAGAAAGACAAAATTTTCACGATCGTGAACAGACTTCGAGATTCAACAAAACGAACGTCAGCTCAATAAATATACAGTAAATAACTTGCCACAACAAACTTTCAGGAACTGCCAAAAAAAGTTTGTTACATTGAATAATATTTTATAATGAAATTTTCAAAATTTATGTCAAAATTTTGCACCTCAGACCTGCCTTTAATCAATTGGACCTTGCTTTTCTGGTATTCTCAGATTTTTGATTTACGTTCAAAACACAGTGATTTTCTGAAACATTTTAGCTTCTATTAGGCATTCAATCAGTTGCACCAATCTCTTCATTCTGGAGGGATGATGTGTGGAACCACTTGGAAGCATGTTCGTCATTGATTAAAGCTTCCACCCATATTAAAAGAATCAGCCAGCCACATTCAGTCACATTTCGGATCAGAAAATTTCAGACTTTGCCAGTCTTAGTCAGGAAATTTTCCCTGGAGAATCGACTCAAGATTCCTTAAAAAAAGTTCAGTATTGTGCTGGAATCGGGAAGTTTGTCATAAGATTGTTTTAACATGTACTCGAGTCCATGGGGTTTCTGCTAGGGCTTGAGAAAAAGGTTGTTAGACTGAAAAAAATATTGTAACGCGATTTTACTGTACTGTATTTATAAATACGTTCGGCATCAAAAAAGTCATCTTTCTGACTTGAGTTGAACATAAATCAGATTAAACAACTGTTCTAAGAATAAGGTGAACATTTTTGGAGAGCCTCCGACTGTATCACATGAGATGAACAATGTAACACCCATTGAGACGAAATGCGCTCGAATCTACAATAATAAAGTGGGACAACAAAGTCCGTTCAGGATATTAAAAAATTTTCATGATGCACAAAATTATTCAACATTCAGACTGAATCGTGAACAGTTCCAATTGAACTTTAAATACATACCGGCAAGCTTCAAAAACGCAGGATAAATGACAGCATAATAAGTGTCGGCGGTTTCACTCCACACTTTGCAAAAGACGCGGGAGATGAATCCCGGCGTTTCACTCAAAATTGATTTCACATTATCGAACTGATGCTGCATCGTCTCAGTGAGCTTCCACACCAGCTTGTAAACCTCAGTTCCGAAAATAATCAACCAGAGTTCATTTTTTCCTATGTTTTCCCAGGTGTCTGCAGAAACAAACTAAAATCAGGCAAACGGATTCGGGCATTTTCAAAATGTGAAGCACAAACCAGCAGTAAAATAACTGTTGAGTTCAGCCATCCATCGTGCAGTGATGAGAAAGACTTTCTGAAACACGGACTCAAGCTCCAGATCCCACGTCGTCCATTGACAGACGATTTTTTCCATCGAAGTGCACAAGGCGAAATGACACTTGATCTCCTCAAAAGTTGAGTTCCTTGTCAAGCTTCTGCAAAATAAAATAAAAAGAAATGCGATCACCAGCTTTCACGAAGTAAAACACGATAAAATCGCATCCAGCAAACGGATCGACACATCATGAGCAAATCACAGCCCTTGATTGCAAAATGGACGAAAACTCGATTAAAATTACACGACAGGAAAGACCCTAACCTTCGGTTGTTTCGAGGCATGATTTTGTCCCAAACTTCAGTCAATTTTTCGAGCACCATAATCGCTGTGTCTTTGTCTAGGGGAGAATCCTTACCGCCATAGAAAGTCGCACCTGACGCAACATGTTCCGCGAAGAAGTCCAACTGAATATCTACCGTATTCACCTCAAACCTCAACGAGTTCTTCAATCCCAAGATTCGTTCTTCCGGAGAAAGAATCAACCCGGCTATCACCTACAAACAACAGAGGTGATTGACATTTAATTGGTAAATCAAGGGAGGAAAATATAACACACACACATGACGAAACGGGGCGGAAATGACGGAAGATAATTCTGCAGTAGGAATCGCATTCAAACGGAGCTTCTTCATGACTTCCGCAGCCATGACGCAAAGCTTTGCTACGGCGTCGTCATTTGCCTGATCTTGCACGGCACCTAGTGATAAAGATGCCAAGCCATTCACCAACCAATGTCCTGGTTCCATTGCCCTGTCACAAATTGAAGTTGGATACACTCTGTCAACAAATTCTTTTTACAACCTCGTCTATAAAGAACCAAAAAGGACTTTAATTTTAACTTGATCGCTCACTAAATCTTTCGTTAACGCCCTCGATCTATAAAAGCCACGCGCCAACAAAATAATGCTCCCAACTGGTCAATTTTGCATTAAACAACGCTTTGTGCGAAGCCAGCCATGAAATGTCAACTGATGAACAAGGAGTTTCCAAAGTCAGGCTAAAATTAAAACAAAAATCCAAAATGGTTGAAGAGAAGAATTGATACAAGTCTCAGTATTTATCTCGCTCTTGATCATGGCTTCGGTTTGAAAAGAATTTGTAGATTTACACCAATTGCAGCATTGCTTTGATGATGTACAGTGGGACCCCGACATATGGACGATTCAACTTAGGGACACTTGAAACAGAAAAAAAAAATCTGCCCAAACATCTGGACAATGTTTCAAGATACAGACACGACACTTTTCCAAAGTTTACGGAAACCTTGGAAAAAAATATTTCATTAAATTCGGATACATCTTGAACAAATTGAGCCACTTATTTTTCTCAAAAATCAGAAACAAATTTCTTTATAAAATTACTCTAGTTCATATTGAAAAACAGGAAAATTTTGTGCGTCTTTTTTTCAGAGTCTTTTCTCTATCATGAGTGCACAACATGGCTAGTTTTGTTCTTGTTCTTTGCTTTTTGAACTCATTCTCATGCAAAAAGATAAGATTATGCGTGGTTTTCTTCCGCAGTTATTCTCAGCACCTTGAAGTTGAAAAAAAAATCGGGGACTTCATTCCTAGTTTTTGATGAACAGAAAAACCAAATAAATACGGTCCCGTTAAAACCGTGATCCCACGGAAGAACAAGTCCCAAGCACCAATTACGTCCGCATTTCGGGGTCCCTACTCATTTATAGAAGAAAAAACGTTGCCCTGAGGCTGCTGCAGACACTCAGCATCAATTCAGTGCAATTAACTTCTGCCGTAACGTAAAAGCGTTTTCTCGAGTTCAAGCAACCCTGTTGAATTATGGTAGATTAAAATAACTGGCCAAACTCATGAAGCAACACTTGGAAATAGAACAGGACTTACATGGTGATGACCTTCTCAAAGGCGAGAAGCTTCACTTCGTTTGACAAGAAGACATCGGCCAAAATCGCCGCGCAATCATTTTTCATCGACTTCGCCAGATCATTCAATTCCTTTAACCAGTTCACCGGAGCCGTTAACCGCCAGAGGTATGAAAGGCTATTCACGTATTGCAATGCGACCCAAGACACAGCTATCACTTTCGTCAACTGATCTTCACAGGCGACTCCGAGTTCCTTCCAGGAAACAATGATAGTCTCTGAATCGTGTTCTTCCGCAGTCGTCCTTTCTGTGACTTGCTTCAAGTAGCCAAGAACGAAGGCGGACGCCACAGGCATTTTCAAAAGTTCCGGCTGGAAAACATGAAAATTCAACTTAAACTCTTCAGACCGGAACAGAGCATTTCCCACCTTTTGAATTAATTTTTCTGAATAAAACGGCAGACCGTGGGAATCAACCCAGCTAAACGCGACGCAATCGCAACAGAACGACTCGAGGTCCATTCTCTCGCCGCAAATTTCGACTAAGTTATAAGCGAACTCGGTTCGTCGCTCATTCGTTGGAAGATGCTTTGTGACGATGAATGCGATGTCAACGAGAGAATTGATCGCTCTGCGATGGGAAAACGATTTTTCTCGTAAAATCTCCATCGAAGCTTCCAGTCGCGAAAGCAAGCGGGTGACAAAACCATCTCTGGCGGTCTCGCACTGCGAAAGAAACATAAATAACACAGGCGGTTAGAGCAAATCAAAATTAAATTTAAAAAATAGTCGACCCTAATTTCACTCGAACTTCAGGGAACCAGCGAACAAATTCAACATGGGGAGGTTTCCAGTCAGAAAGAAGAATTCCAGGAAATTGTAATGGGGGATTTTTCGGGGCCTTAAATTGCTTCTTAAATGAGTTGCCAGGATGCTGAACTTAGACGCAAAGGTTCATTCGCCCAATTAGTCTTTCACTTCCTTTCAAAACGCATAAAATTAAATTTGTATCGCTTTTATTTTTCTTGTATCAATAAAATTACAGCAAGAAGGCAACCGAAAAATTTGAGTTAAGCAGGTTTGAGAGGGAAGTCCTTCATGTAGAGGATGTTGTTCGTGAATTTCCTTCCAAGAGAATTCAAACGGAGACTTGAACAAAATTTGACATAGCACAGGGAGGTTCGAGTTACATCGAGGTTCAACTGTACATAACGTTTCTGGAAACTTACAACTAATACAACAACAAAAAATACTGGTCATTAAATGCACGAGGGCTGCTCCATGTCTGGACGGAAAATAATATTTCTGGACAATCTAGTTTCTATAGTAAATCTAGAATTTAAAAAAATTCAATTTTTATTTTAAAAATGGATTTCAGCATTAACTCACGTTCAGAATAGCTTCAATGGTCCCTTCAACAGCCATGAAAACCTTTTTTCCATCATTGGGATCACTGAGTAAACGATTGCTATCCAAGCCGAGGAACGAGACACTCATAGCAATATCTTCTGCAACACTTCTGCCATCTTTTCTCAGGACGGAGATCAGATTAGGCGACACTTTCAAGCTTAGCCACGAGGCAAACTGAATCAGAACTTCAACATTCCCTTCAGACGCCAAATCGGCTATCCCGGACGACAACTTTTGTACCAACTTTTCGGTAACTTCTGTCGGGAACACTGAAACAAATTAAATTTAGAAATTTGATATTCCGACGCATTGTTAAGTTTCCTCTGGGAGTACCTCGACAAAGGCAAAAATCTCCAATTTACATGAAATTTTTACCGAGGAAACACGCGAGAAAAACGTTAAAGATCTCACTCTACGTAAACTTTGAAATATTGCTGACTTATTTCTCTACACTTTAATTCATATAAATACGTTGCTCTAATTCAACTCCACATACCTCGTCTTCATCAAATCTGCCATTAAATAATAAAATATTCCTCATCTTGACGAAAACCCATACACCTCGCGGAGGGTAACAGAGTGATTTTAAATATTGAATCTCTAGCATTCTAGAGCTCCGTGAACTTTCATGTTGTATGCATTCCATTGAAGAATGATACATATCCTGATGGGAAACAAAATAGTGACAGAGAATTAAATCTTGATTCCAGTGAAGTGGCATAAGTGAAGCTTTGGATTATCAAATGAACGAAGTTGTATTCGGGAAGCGGGTTGCTTTTAAAGCATCGGTGTTTTCCAAAGAAATATTGATTCAATTCATCAATGAAAGCAAGCTTAGCGTAAATCTAGAATTCACGCAAAAGGTACCAGATGAAAATAATGCGCGTCTGGAGGTAGTTCAAATGAAATAGATGCCTGAAAGTTCAGGAGGAAATTCGCACTTTCTCGGCATTTTCAGTAGGATAAAAAACAAGATTTCCCGCTAAATTCGACTTTCAAATACGCTTTACCTAGAATTTTTCAACTCAAAATTAAATTTTTGAGTCGTCATACGAGTCTCACCTGAAGTTCCTCTACTACCCAGCACAGTTTCAATGATTTTCAACTTCCTCGTATCCAGCTCTGATATTGTATCTTCGCCCGCAGATTCCGTATCACATGAAACTGTGCTTTCAGAGGGACGAGATGATATTGTTTTTGCTTCCGTGATTATTTCTTGTATAATTTCCATCAGCAAAGTATGGAATCTCGAATCTTGCAAGACCAGAGCCGAACATTTACTCCGTTTGTGTAACGAAATCAAAGACTGCGTCGCCTCCAGCAGAAACGGGGCTTTCTTCTCTTTGAGAGCCTAAATGAAAGAATGACGATCACCAACATTTCAACAAACAATTTTCGTGCGACAATTACCAGAACCAAGGGTTGGCTAGCTAATAAGTTTTGAGACTTTCTCGAGTGCTGTGACCCATCGGAGTTCGACCAATTAAAATTTTTTTTAAAATCACATAGCCCCATCATTTGGCACCTCTTCGGTGCTGTTCAACATACTTTCCGCAGTTTTCAATGCATTCTTTCATGCGATAAATCCAACTATCAAAATAATGCCAAAAATCGAATTCTGATAGTTGAATAGGCACTCAATGACTTTTGGCTGTTCCCGACAAAGAAGAAGGACCTGAAAGGGATTCATTTTGAGGACAGGAACAGCCTCATTTCCCCAGTCAAAGAGCAGCATAATCAACTGAGGGAACTCGATTTTTGGCACTGTCTCGATTGTTGGATTTATCGCATGAAAAAAAATGCATTGAAATCGGCGGCGAGTATGTTTAACAGCACTTGAACGTTGCCAAATGATGAGGCTATGTGAGTTAAAAAAAAAAATCGGAGTTGTTGAAACTTGGAACTCCGTTGGAACTCAAAACTTTTGAACCAACCCTCATACTGCACAGTACAGTACCTGAAAAAATATCGTCCATGATTCATCAGAAACATCTTTGACATTGAGCAGCGCCAGCATAACCGGAAAACAATCCGGCGGAGTGCAAAAAGGCAGGATGTCACCAAGCAATTCGGCCCTAGAACCCCGTAGAAACAAATCGTCGTAATGAACGAATGCCTCAATCAGGCTGAAGACCATTTCAGCTACTCCTCCGGAGTTTTCATATTCTGGGTCCCTCATCAGCTTCAATCCAATTTGCACTGTTTCGGCAACGGTTGCGATCACAAATGGAGGCAAGTCGAATTTCACTTCTGCGGATAAAATCAATCGACATGAATTCGAGCATACTATCATCTTTTTGTGGATAATCGCGTCGCATGATTGATACCAAGATACATGCATTAATTTCACTCAAACTACAATTGAAACCCCCAAAGAAATCTAACATTGAGGACAAGAATATTGACGTCACTTTCCTCCGTAGTATTTCTGCACTTCGAAAGAAAAGAGGCGCGTGTGATTTTTTACTCATCAGTTGAAGGAAATGCCTCACGCAGAGGAATCCTGCTGTACTGCACAGGGAGACTGATCGTTTCATAATTTGTAGGCAGGGTTGGAAATTAATTTTGCAACGAAGATGTGCTGATGCATTTTAGTGTAGCGTAGAAATTAGGGGCAAATTGTTCAGTACTGTACCTATGGTTTTTTTACCAGAGACCAGGGATAGTTGGGCCTTTTTTTGTGGTTGTTTTCTTAAAAAAAAAATGGAGGAATTATATTTTCTGCCCATCAACATACATGGGTTGAAGAAATTCCTTTTAGGTGCTGGCCTCAGGAAGAATTAAAGAAAAATTCTATCTTCTAACAACATGACCAATCATTGGCATGAACAGTTATCAATAGATTGTCAATGGTGAAACTCTATACATTTACACAGAAACCTATTACATTCATCAATGGAGAGACTAGAACACTTCTGGCTGGTATAAGTGAGACACCCAAATGTGGAGACCCTGACATGCAGACAATGATATAGGGACATTTATGTTTATTTAAAAAGGCATAGAAAAGGTCCAACATATGGACACTGACTTGACATGTCGACATTGCATAATGAAATAGCGAAAAATTTCAGGAAAATTAGTTTTATTTGGCTTAATTGCAAGAAACAGATATTTTCAACCCCAAGATCTATGCAAGAAAAATTCTTTGGTATTTCTCCCATCCATTCAGCTAATTAAAAAATAACCTATAGCATAAAGAGACTTCCTTCTCTCTTTGTGACTTGAATTTCATTTTTACACATATCAAAATTTCAATGTACTGTACTGTACAGAGGTACATTATTCAATGCTCCAAATCTTCTTATCGAGTTGAAAAGATAATCATTGAATCAAATTCAAGTGGCAAATATTTTTAAAGAGAATTCTGAAGAATATTTCTTCCATCAAACACCAATTAAAATTATATAATACAGTATAAGTATATGGGAAAACAAGACTTAACTTAGGGACACTCTTGATGCACCAATTACGTCTGCATCTGGGGTAGTTATTGTCACGGAAAAATGGACCAAAGTGATTTGGAAAAATTTGTGCAAATCAAAATATGCTTGCAGAAAGTTCAATTATTATGTTACATCAAAGCTACAGAAAAACATTTTGATCAGGGATACGAACTCCAAACCTTACTCTAACCACAAGAGGCGGAATGAACCTTAATGTTTCCTTCATTTTGTTGCTTCAAAGAATAGAAGATATTTGCGAATTGAAAAGGCTAGAAGAAGCTAGAAAACCTAAAAATTTGAATTCACAGGTTCGCATCGCTCCCTTCTTTGGGGAAGTGTACACTTGTAGAACAACTGGTTCATTGTTTCCCTTTTCTTTGTCACTCTAATGCATCAGCACCGAAGCTTTTTAGTTGAAAATGGCATGCAGAAATGTGACTTCTTGATGATTCCTTTCACTAGATAAGTCCTGATAATTCTGCTGCGCTAATTTGCTGTCACTACTTAAATTTTTTCCAATTTTGCCAGAAAAAAAAAAACGCTGAGTGGAAGGAATAAGCCTGGGATTTTAAATGCAGACCGCCATTTTCCTGGTAATCGTGATAGAGTATAACACTATTCTGGCCACCCTAAATTTTGTGCGTCCTTATTAATTCATATCTGTAACAATATTCCACCTGCTGACAACTCAAACCAGAGAAGAGGTTCGACAGCCGTCAATTAGGATTGTTCAGCAAATTACTGATATTGCGGCACCAAACAGAAACATGTTCTAATTCGCCTATCCTGTCTATGACAGGAAGAAAACAAATTCGGATAACGAAACTCGCACACAATATCACTCGTAACATGACTCACCAACTGCTTCACTGTCCTGGATTTCCTCTGCAAATCTGATGCCTCGAGCCTTTCTCGCTCCACAGTCTCGACACTTGAGGGAAAAAAAAAATCTTGACATGTTTTTACGACACTTCGGGGGTCCTTCACGAGCGACTCTTCCAAAAACTAGTCGCAGTGGTTCCCAAACTTGCGAAGAATCTTCTACGCGCAACACTTTTGAAAGTTCTGCTGCGACAGCTGATGCAGCATTTTCCGACCTCGCCTCACATATAGATTCCTCGATCAAAACCACAGTTTCGGTGGCAACAGTTGGGATCGATGTCGTATCCAATCGAAGAGCAACAACCGTTTCAAAGAATGCTCTACACACTGTCCTCGTATCCACCGGACTCAACGCTACTCGTTGACAGAATAAACTGGGTCGAAAAACGAAATCAAACAGTTCATGAATTGATGTTCCTCAAATTGAATTGACAACTGGGTACACACCCTTTCCGCAAATTCTGCAAGTACTCCGAGACAAATTTCTGCTCATCTTTGACAAATTTTCTCAGCACCGAGAACATCTGAGGAACGTATCTATACACGGATGAACAACTCCCACGTCCACCATTGCGAAGAAAGGATAAAAACTTCGGAACGACGACGCTTTCGGGATTTCCGCAGTCCGTCCATTTCTATCGGGTGGAGAATGTTAATTGATAGCTCAGCCGTCCAACTCAAATACACCATGGGAACTCACTTCGTAAATTGTTATGAAATGCACAAGGCACGCCCATACAGCATGCACAATCCCAGGATCATCGCTATCTAACGCATTGATAGTGGATTTCAGCAATCGAGAAATTTGTGCTTCATCCAACGTCAGTTTGCAGAGATCGTGGGACAACAAGAGATGCATCAAAGAAAACCAGGTCCCAATTATCTAGGAACACAGCACAGATATCCATGTAATTCGGCGATCATCCAACGAAAAGAGAAGGACAAGCCGCAATAAGCCAATATCACTAAACGGAATTGAAAATTATTCCTCTTTCGTGAAAAGTAATTGATCTTCGGTTACGCAAGTTTCAGCGTCATTAATCCAGGTAGATTCTCTCAACAATTTTGTCTACAAAGATTTTCTTCGCAGAACGCATTTTTATTTCGGTCCCAAAGGGACCGAAATGAAACCACGCATCTATTGATACAGAGGTTCTCTACGACGAAATTCTCTCCACAATGCATTTTTTTTCTGATTTCCTGAATTTCGTTGTATAGTCCACCTGTACATCAATGTTCCAACATCATGACATACCGATGGATGCTTTTTTCGCTTGGGTAATTCCCAGAACGCAGGATCACGAAATAGCTCTTGGTAGCTTTGCAGCACTGGTTCAAAATTTTCGCTGTTAAGGCCAGTATCGTCTTCCGAGAATATCATTTTCGACATCCAGGCGAATCCACGAAGAGAGGATACTACGTTGTATTCCCACTGCGCGTCGTTCTCGTCCGCAGAAGAGCTGAAAGGAAAGAACCATTATGCTGACCATTTAAACTTTTACATCGCTAGAACTCAGAACATGATATCCTCTGAAAAATGTAACCATAAACCGTTTGTAATTCAAATCGGCAGCTCGCAATATCTCATGAGGAAACCGTATTCCAAGATGTAAGGACAGTACAGACTGACATGTGTAATAAAATCCAAACTTTACTCAAGGCATTGTTCACATGAGGGGTGAATCCTACGTACAAATATTTTACACCCAGAGAGACGATTCAAGGCGCGACAATATGAAGACATAACGTAAAAACTGCACGTGAATCTTAACTTTTTTAATGCACTTCATCTTTGGCAAAGACACTCCAAATTGTTTGTAACGCGAAAAGCACTTCGCTCGTGCTTGGCAAGCAAGTCCATTACAAAAATATTATACGAGATACACTAGATAGGGTTCTGCATTGAGGAAAAATTTAATTCACGAAGAGGGACCCAAAACGTGCAGATTCAAATATTTACCCGGACTGCGATGCATCGACAGGAGCAAATAGATTCTCTCGCAGATACTTGAAGCTCTCCTTTGAGCAGAAAACAACAGCTTCTCGCTGCTTGTGTGGAGGAAACGCCGCAACGAACGACTCGGATGCCGCAGTTTGAGCATTGTTCCATTGGTCGCAAATTCCGAGGATCCACGGACCCATCAAATTTTTCAGCTGAGGCGCGATCTAGGTATGAAAAAAAATTAAAATACATTCATTTGAGTACAGTACTATACATAAAATACCCTGACATAAGACAAAAACATACCCGCTTTTTTAATCGAGAAACCAATTTCTCATGAACCCGATGGGCGGTTTCCCTCAGTTTTTTGTCGTTGTCCAGCGCGCATCGCCCAAAATATTTGGGCCACACATTTAAAAATGCCAGAAGCGCTTCTTCGAGAGCATCTGGCATCAAGTTTAAAATTTCCTGAAGACCCTGTTTAGAGAAAATAACCTGAGATCAAACTTCAACAAATGGAAACGCAATGCATGAGTCGAACCTTCAATCGGGTGACTACGTCTTTCTTTGAAAGTTTTTTGCAGGCGAGCTTCCATTCAGCATCCATGCCATTGTCTCCAGCTTCAGCGGAGTCTGCAGATAAGGCTTCAAACCCAATAACGCCAGTTGATGCACCTAAAACTTCTGCTGCTCGACCACTACTTGAGGCCTTCACAAAGAAATCAAAATTAAAGCTAGAATCAAATTTGAAGCAGAATGTGGAAAAATAAGTTCACCTTCACGTTCCCCTTAGTTCGTTGAGCGACCTGTTTCCCTTTCCCCATGGTACGTAACGAGTAACCTAATTATCAACAGTAAACGTAAGAATGTTTCGAGAAGTAATTTTTCTGCGGAAAGAAAAAAGTTCAATGCCTTCAAAATGTACCATCCATTCGTTCAAGAAGAAAGAATCCTCAAAAATGAGTCGGACAAATAATGGGAATCACAAAATCGAGCAAGCTCGATTACCTCCTTACACACGACAGACAAAACATTCTTCGCGATCATGATAGGCTGCGCGAAAAATCACAGAAAAAAAAAGTGGACGAGGATGGGTATAGAATACGGTTTCGACAATGGTAGAGATATCCAACGATAGAATATCAAGATGCGGGGGTTTCGGTAGATGAGGAAGATTCTGCTTTTCTTTTCCTTCTCGCTCTTATGTCCGCCAAAGTTTGTTCAATCGACCGAATGTCTTTCTTGTTTTCCGTGGGAACTATAAGAGAAACGAATGGAAATCATACTGTCACACGAGATAATATTATTGCACCACTCACCAAACCCGTAGTGATTTTTTGTAACAGTGACTTTGGATGCAGAAAGTTCACTCCCAACTATCCTTTCGTACTTCTTGCGATATCCGTCTAGTTCGGTGTCTTTCGATTTGTTGCGTCGTAGAGGCTCGGGAATTTCGTACGTATCAGCTGACCCACGTAGCTTCGCAGCGGCAGCAGGATTCCATGGGCGACCAGAGCGGATACACGAGAGTTCTCCGTCGCAAGGGGCGTCTTCTTTCTTGAAGAGCATCACATGCGGTTCACTGCCTTCTTCGCTCGGAAAAGTATGAGCAATCAATCCAACATTCTCCGCAGCTTCGTGCACAATTTTACGCGCGATTTTTTCCATAGGTTCGAGTTTTAAACGAGTTTGATTCGCGTTTTGAAGAAAATCGTCAATAATCTCGTCGATGCCATTCTTCAGGCTCTTCAGCCTGTCACGTTCCTCGTCCAATGCCTTCTTCACTTGAGCCTCGTGTTCTTTTCTAACCCGCTTGTCCTTCTCGCTGACGGGCGGTGGCCGGTCCATTGTGCTCAAAATGCTCCCAAGTAGGTCCATGATGTTTTCCACAATGCAATCAAATCATAAGCAAAAATGTGGACAACCTCACTCTCGTGAAAAATTCACATATGTCCAGCTGCCCACATACCCCTGCACGTGTTGCGGATTTCACCTCGAACAGCTGGAGGACGAACTGTGGGACAATTACAGTATGGGTGTACAGTACGGGCGAGGTTTTACTACAGTATAGCTTCACCACTGTACCGGATTCCGAAATTCTTGAACGTCTTATACTCTTACCTTGCATCTACTGTATTCAGTAAAGCAGTTTCGAATTTAATAGTTGAAACATGATAATCCCTCGATTCTATCCTGTTTTTCTTCTTGAAATGAGCAGTAAATTGCATGCGACTTTTTGTAAGGGAGAGTCATCATGGCGTCAGACTGACAAGGGTCATGCACAGTATAAGAAGAAATCGGGCTATGCGCCACCTGCTCTGACCCCTTGCTGACCAGTGACCAGACATTATGGTACACTTTCAAACTCAACGCAACTCATTTCCACGCTGCCCCTCCAGAGGGCTATTCCCTACCACTCCATCCCTCAACACCAAAAATGAGTGACTTCATGAACTGCGCATGCTTGCAGATACCAATTACATGTTGAAGAATTGTGTAGGAGTAGGAAGATAACGTAATATTCAATACAGTACTTTCCTGTTATCTCTGTACCTCATTCCTAGACTGCACTACCATACAGACAAATCTTTAGGACAAGTTCATAATCACAAGAACCTACCAGAAACTGTGAATTTTATTTTCTGCATTCTGCTGAAACTGATCAGGTTATGTTATTTACAAATATATTTTAATTAACATAACCTGACCTAACCTATCTTTACCTAACTGCCTCCTAAATATCAAATATCTTTAATTAACATAACCTGACCTAACCTAACTTTACCTAACCGCCTCCCAAAATCAGTTTCAGCAGAATGCAGAAAAATAAAATTCACATCTGTTGTGTTTATGAATTTGTCCTAAAGATTTGTCTGGATGGTATAGTGTGGTCTAGAAATGAGGTACAGAGATAACAGGAAAGTACCATATATTTTATTTATTTTAAAAAGGTGTTTTTATATGTGCACTATGTTATTTGTCCCTTGGAGTCTCTGTTTACATTCTACACCACCAAGCATTGCAGTTGAAGTCACTCAATGAGAGGCTGGCGCTCCTAGGGGTGGCGTGGAAGAGGTAGCGTTGAATGGAGCTGCGTTGAGTGGAAGTTGTACCATAACGTCGCGTCACGTTGCTGACGATAGCTGGGTTGAACGATGAATCAGATGCCGAATGTACCATTCGTTCATGTCCTCGATGCGACCTATAAGAAAGGCATGGCAACGGTTACGGGGGCCAAGTACTTTCTGTGCCGACGTCGGGTATGTTCGTCACGTTATAAGAATGCAATATTTCGTCGAATATCGTGCCCAACGCAATCACATTGAATTCGTTCGTCGTGTGGCGTGTTTTGGTATCCAATATTCGGTATGATTTCCTGTTCGTCGGCTATTCTGAACGTCGTAGTGAAACAATTCGTCACGCTGCTTACATTGTCAATAATAACGTGATAGTTGGACAGAAATAGTTCGACGCATTCCTGAGAATTTGTCTACTAATACGTCCTCGTCAATTCCTGATGTTGGGCAGATCCGATTTTTCAGCAGACGTGTTAGGGAGAGTTGACTCGATGAAGCTTTGAGAAAAAAGGAAATTTCGTCGCTGACGATCGTGAGGACAACATGTTATTGTTACCTGCAAGGTCCACGTTTCATGAAGTGCTACCAGATAATTCGAAAACTCGATGATTTTTAAACTTAAATTTACCCTGTATAGTGAATCACGCTATGCTCACCACCTTCAACTTTAGTGACGAATAAAGTTTAATGACGAATTTTTTTCTGCTCTTTGAACAGAACTTCGAGAAAAAGGTTTCTGTGCAATCATCGATATGTGCGGAATGACGTGTGGAGTTCTGAAGTCGTTGCAAGAATGTTCGGGATGCAGCATCCATGACGCTTTCATTTTGAATCCTGACAATTTACGGGAAATGCATCGGATTCAAACAGCCGAAAAAGCTTCGACAGTTTGCTGTGGGTCTTTTGGTCTTCACATGGCAATCAACAAACCGGTACTGGACTCATTGAGACCATCTTGATTTCTTGGAAGACGTGAAGCTTCAACTTCATAGAACAGACTACCCTTCAAATGCCGTGTATCGGCGAAACGTTCCACTCGGGAGCAGAACAGCCTAAAAAGGAACTCGTTCGAATCGAAAAGCTCGAACACATGGAAGAAAAAAATATTTCAATACTGTATTACCTGAATGGATTGCGGGGGATTCTCTGGAATCGCATTTCTGACATTGTTTCCATTAATGGTCAGATTCAACGTCAGCTGAGATTCGAGCTCCAGTCACAACTCCGTTCTATCTGTGAGAGACTCTGTTTCCAGATTTTATGACGATCGTGATGGACCGCCCGCGAATTTGCGAAGGGTGAGCAGAATGACTCTCCACTAAGTCATGGTCTCTGTTTGCAATTCGCTATTTTTCCGGTGATGGCTCTTGTAGCGATCTAAAACAACATGATCTGCAGCACAAAGGATATCAGCGTCATTCTTTTCAGTTTTGCCGAAACCTCGGGAAGGTGTGCTGATATTCCAGTTTTGTCTAATTTTTCGTAATTTCGATTGAGTTGATGTCGAAACGGAAAATGTTCCTTGCTTGGCATATCAGTCCACTCTTGGTCTTCTTTATACTTGAGAAGTTGAACGTGAAGATGAAGTGGATTTTGTTCGGTGCTACGAGATTGATTGACGCATAACGTCACGTAACCCGAACAATTCCTTGGAAGATCTGAAATCTTGTGAAGAAATTGGCACAGGGCTTTATGAGATAGCTACACGTTTAGCCGTTTTTCATGAAAATGAGATTCTCAGTAAGAAGTATGTCGGTTCATTCGGGATTTTTGTTTCCTATTACGTCGAGAATACCGTTACGTAGACGATGCTATGCGTCTTGTTTTCCCCGGGGTATTAGTTATGATTTGTCAAATTGTGTTGAAAAGCGTGCCCAAACCAACTCGATTTTGTGCTTTCTTACGCAATTTCATTAAAAATGTGTCTGCTGAAACGAGTGTGTTGAACGGATCACCTTTCCTGTTCATCGATGGTAGAAACACGACTTTGTCAAAAATAAGCTCTGTATGTGTCCTCTCTATGTTTTCAATTGTTCACCGAAGTGGTCCGATGATCGCATGCCGCGGATTTTGAATATTGATACAGTATATTTTCTTATGTGCAGTCAATAGTTGCTTTGAAATCATGAGTTTTCAGTGGACTCTGGTCGCATGTTTTCTGTACGCAGAAATCGCTGTCCTCTGTTTCCTCATACTACCATGGATATCTGTGCAGAGGTACAAACAATTCATCAAATATTTTTCGATTTGTTCGTGAGCGTCTTTTTCACTTGCAGATGGCGGAAGATTCTCAAATCCAGAGTCCTGCTTGGTTTGGAAGCTCAGAGCGGCATTTATTTCAAAGTTCTATCTTCGTTGTTGATTCTGCTTTTGTTGGGTGAGAAAATCTCTTGGAATTCGTTACTGAAAATTTGTAAATCTAAATTACTCTGCTTCCAGATGCCGTGCGTGAGATGTATTCATATTCGCATGTGAAAGTGGACCATCATGTCGTACAAAGGGATCTTGATCAAGACATGCAACTTAGCATGAAAACTTTCAGGGCTCAAAGAAATTTTTACATCTCTGGCTTCTCCCTTATCCTATGGATTGTTATTCGTCGCCTGGTCACGATGATTCAAGATTTTGCTCTAACTGAGATAAATCTTGAGGCTGCAACTCGACAAGCAGAATCCGCTAGCAAGGAAGCTAATCGCTTGAGAGAGCTAGCAGACGAAGGTGATGAAAATCGAGAGAATGTAAATTCGGAGCTACACGACGAAATCAAAGATTTGAAGAAACGCGTGGATGAATTGAAACTTGGTGAGTGCCCTCAGTTTATTTCAACCGGTTGAAGGTGGATTCTGAGAAATACAGATATATTGCAGTAAGCATTTGTACTGTAGTTTTTGAGGGGTCGAGACTGAGTTCTCCAATGATATATGTTCAGTATACAGTGGGGCCTCAAGGTGCGAAATCGATTGTTTCTTGGACCTTGTCCTCATGTCGTGACATACGCATGTAGGATCACGTTTTCCGATAGACTTCAAGATTTGGTTCTTCTGTCGGGCAACATTATGGAAACAGGCATCAATATGCGAAAGACTTCCATTTTTGTGATTGGATAAATACAATATTTCAAAAATGAGATAACCCAGAATTCAGATGTCAACATGAATCAAACCTTCTGGATTTAATTAATTTTGAAATGTTCTGATTTTTGTACAAGTTTCTGTTAAAAATGTCCCATCACAGTAAATTAAATTTAAGTTTGAGTCACTCTTAAACTTCCAACATGTTTTGTAAACTAAATCTCTACCTTTGAAACTCGCCCACTTTTTTCCTCTTCTATTTTGAGAAGAAAGGTGCACGTGGTACATTAGCTAACTCAATTTATTCAAATTGCTGAAGATAGAATTTATCAATTTTTCTAAAATTTTGGCTGTGTCTGTATCTTGAGACAGTGTCCAGATTTCGGGGCAGATTTTCTGAGGCTGAAAGTCTTATCGTCCATATTTCGGGGCATCTGTAAGTCCTATACATTACAGTACAGTATTCAAAATATTGTACCCCATAATTCGTATAGAATCTATTTTGCTAGAAAAACTATTTAAATCTTGCGTTTTTATGTTCAAAGTTGGTATTACGCTGCCTTGCGGCAGGCTTGCCCGTTTTTCTGAAAACGAAGTAAAGGATGGACGAAGATGTTTTATGGCGTAATTTTGTTCTTTTCAGAAAATGAGCGTAAAGACAAGGAAGCTCGTGCGATGAAGTCTCAATCGGATGGTTTGGCAAAGGAGTACGATCGACTCATGGATGAATATAATGAGCTGCAGCAAAAACTAGCGGGAGCTGATGGAGACAAAAAAGCTGACTGAAAGTTCTTCATACCGCAATTGTCGATTGAATAATTTTTTGCTTGTTCGTCCAATGCAGCAGCTTTCTGAGGCCCGAATGGAGATTTCCTTGAAAATTTGGTCGGGCGACTAATGTGATGTCGGACGTCGTTTGCGTTGAACTAAGCTGCTCGTACGTTTGACCCCCTTTCCCCCCGAATTTTGTTCAGTTTATGGTTGTTCCTTGCCCCTGTTGTGATCAGTACGTTTTCTTTATCCCTTGTGTCGGAAATGTTTTTCTCCGTTGTTTTTCCTACAGAAAATCATCATGATCCCATCCTGTAGTGACGGGAAACTTTCGAAGTCGGCATAATTTTTTTTTTCAATACCATACTTCATTGCCTGCAGGGCGATGAGCATTCGCAGTGATTTTTCCGAGAGTCATCTTTTGTCGAAAATTGCTCTGATGGTAATATTGACGAACAAGTTCTTGAAGCGGTTAATTTTGTTAAAAATCCATCAAATTTTGTCGGTTCTTCTGATCATTTCAGGCGGGGAAACATTGGGTTACTGTGTAACTTAGTTGAGACAAGTTGTTCACGCTTGTTTCGCAAATAGAAGCATGGGTTTATGGAGATAATGTATATCCCTGGTGAAAAAAGTTTCTGCGTTTTTCTACCGTAGTTGAACTTGCCAGGTGGATTGTTGACTCATGTCTGCCGAAGTCCAATCGTGTCTAGTACTGAATGCGAACCATTAAAATGGTATGTCCATCCCAAGAAAGGAAAGTATTAAATGAGCGTATAATTATGGACAACCTGCAGTATTCCAAGCTCATCAAATGTACCTCAACAGAATGATGGTTATCACTGATCCATTCTGAATATTGTACTGTGTCCAAGTCAGAAGTTTCCTTGCCAAGTCTTTTATGGAATTGTAAGTGTTCAGAAGATGTATTAGCAACGCAAGAACAAGTTCAACAGATCAGTAATCTTGGCGTTTGTGCTATGGAATTCAGAAATTTCATAAGTCTTATAGACGAGAAGATCGCTCATCGTTTACTATTTTCTTTGAATTTTTATAAAGCTATTCCCAAGTTTCAGTCCAAAAATCGATGACATTTAAGCATTTCTTGGCCAAACGAAATGTGTCATGTGAAGCACTTCCATTGCACAAGCCTCTTTTCCCCCATGCAACTTTCATGATGCAGATTTTTTGGGCCCGCACATATTCCCGACTCGGGAGTTTCCGACGCCCCGCAAGCAGTAACTTGGCTCCGCCCCGCTGGCGTACCCCCTCCCGGACCTGGGTCTTTCCTTGGGTGACGTTCCCTTGTTAAAATCCTGAAATGCATTAGGGATACCAGTTTGGTCCACTTTCATTATTTGTTCATTCTGATGTTTTCATTATTGGAGGGGGTTAGCTTAGGTTAGGTTAAGTTAGGTTAAATTAGCTTAGGTTAGGTTAGATTGTTTTGTTAGGTTAGGTTAGATTAGGTTGTTAGGTTAGGTTAGGTTGTTAGGTTAGGTCAGGTTAGGTTGTTAGGTTAGGTTATAGGTTATAAGCATGGCAAAACTTTGTCATGAACAACACCATCCAATAATGAATGAAAATGTGCAGGATTTACAAAAACCTCCAGCTTTCAGATTATAAGATCCCTCTGCACTCTGGCATCTTCCCAGAGAGGCTCAAAACCTGCATTCCCTTGTTCAGCATATGAACATTTAACCATGGACAATCACCATCTTTGAGTTAATAAGCTCCCTCTGGCATCTTCCCGGAGAGGCTCATATCGTTGGTTCCCTTGTTCAGCATATGAACAAGGGAACGTCACCCAAGGAAAGCCCCAGGTCCGGGAGGGGGTACGCCAGCGGGGCGGAGCCGAGTTACTGCTTGCGGGGCGTCGGAAACTCCCGAGTCGGGAAAATGTATGTGCCCCTGGACTTGGATTCACTGGTCTAAATCTTGTTGGCTTGTTTTTACAACCGCTGTAGACGTGGTACCGCTTCTTTTAGCACTCAAGCTTTTATGACATAGCCTACTAATGACAGTAACTTTTCTAAACAAAGTTTAGACACGTGAAATATAATATTTTTTGGAAAATATTGATTTGCGAAATCAACTCACGAGTCGGGGAAAAATCGACCGCAAATACTGCCGCAAAATTGGCCTCGCCGACTGCAAAGCGAACGTCTCCAAGCCCGTACTCGTGCATACATGAAAAGAATTATGCAACATCACACCGCTTCTGTAAGGGGCAGTGAACGGGACTCTGCCGTGAGGATTCAATTTCTTCACATCTTCAATAATTCCTTCAGGCCCAGAACCCATGAGCCAGACATAGAAATGCGCTTCTTGCTCGTAGCACACAGCAAACTCCATCCCGATCAGCGAAGACAGTTCATCACTCGTCAGTGTCAAAAAATCCGCTTTCTCTTCGCTGTTCTTATCCGTCTCTGCGACTTTGCCTTCAAAGAGCAAGTTGTGGTAGCCAGGAATATACGTCGAACGCAGTATTATGTCCCGAATGGAACGATCATCCTCTTCTTCTGCTTTATCCCAGCCGGGGTCTCCCCCATTTACAGGAGTGACGGCCGGGGAAGTAACGGGGCCGATTCGCACCAGGGTTGAGTGCACATGGGCTTAAAGGAGTCGGAGACGGAGAAGCCGTTTGAGAGGGTGGTTTCAGTGGTAGCCGACAACCTTACGTTTTAATGACCGAAAAGAAGTCCGTTAAATTAGGTCTACTGGGTACGCCTAAATAAATTAATGAATACAGGGTCGTCTGGTTCATAGATCTGAGAGTTGTGAGTCTTCCATGAATAATTCATAAATACAAAATGACCGTATTTCCGCAACATGAAATATCGTAAATTCGAATATATATTTTGAATTTTCCAGCCCTACGTACCATGGTTGAAGAAAAGTTTGATAGTGAATTTAAGACACACTCCTACTTGCTTCATAATACACCAGAAACTTAGATTAGATCAAGAAGTGGACGAAGTCCTGAATGACAATATCACCTCGAAGTCTACACAATTCTCATTTGAAGAAAAAGTAAATATATAGGAGTATATGAGGCCAACATTGATTTTTTATACAATTAACCTTGCGAGAAATACTATGTACACATTCGAAAACCTAATCTGAGCAGTCGTGAAGATGTTTTTCAACATTCGGAATTTGCTTGATCAATTCTCTGCATTCAGATGAAGTTTTCCATTCAACTCAACCCAGTGGCAGAAAAAAACTGAATGAGATATCGTTAATTTGCTTTTCTGGACCACACAATAAATTAACTTTTCGCTTAATTTATGGAGTGGGTGAATGAAAAACGCCCATTCTAAGACGCGCCTGCATTACTCGTGGAAGAAAATCGTTACTAGTGGTCTCATACTGGGTTAAATGCGACAATGCGAGATCGATTTTTCTGTCAGTGAAACAATTTCTGAATAATTCAGACAAACATTTCAGAACTCACGTTGTTGGGATCAATTATGGGACCAATTATTTCTGGAGATTGCGCGATCGCGTCCGCAGTAGGCTCGAAGGCAGCGTCGGTCGCCCACCACGATTCATGCCACGGAATTCGCGAAAAGTTATTGCCGAACAGAGTATTGTTTTGTCCTTGCAAAACTGCCTCATTCGCCACATCGAGGGCATGTCTTCCACCAGATAATGAATGAAAATGTGCAGGATTTACAAAAACCTCCAGCTTTCAGATTATAAGATCCCTCTGCACTCTGGCATCTTCCCAGAGAGGCTCAAAACCTGCATTCCCTTGTTCAGCATATGAACATTTAACCATGGACAATCACCATCTTTGAGATAATAAGCTCCCTCTGGCATCTTCCCGGAGAGGCTCATAACGTTGGTTCCCTTGTTCAGCATATGAACAAGGGAACATCACCCAAGGAAAGCCCCAGGTCCAGGAGGGGGTACACCAGGGGGGCGGAGCCGAGTTACTGCTTGCGGGGCGTCGGAAACTCCGGAGTCGGGAAAATGTATGTGCCCGATTTTTTAGCACTGGTCTCATGTTACACAGGAACCCACTGTACTTCTTACAGAAGTGACACCTGGGCCAAACGATTTGCTTTTGCGAGCATGCAAGTGCATTCAGGTAGATGTCGCAATAGATCAAGTACAACTTTTATTTTAATGGCTCAAAACAAAAGATAATTCATCTCCAGAGCCAAGAATGTCTTCACTCAGACGAAATTGTCATGGATTGTTGATGAGATAATCACATGTTTCAAATTTAAGATCACTGTCTATCAAAGGCCTCAGTTTTTGCCGGATGAAATACCAACTGTGTCAGATAAGTAATATTTTGGATCTAATAAGGTAGGTACCGACACATAGTAAATGGTACTGTATCTTCACTTCGGCGCAGCCCCTTGCTGCCAAACTTGAAGTAGCATAGCAATGTACTGCAGTGAGGTACAGCACCACACTACTTATAATAGACACATGCACTATGTGATTACTACTGGAAAAAATTGATTAGAAGTGATATACTGTACATACAGCACTCACACATAGGAATCATTTAGTCAGGACACGGATTTTACAGCTGGGCAACAAAATACAGTACAGGAATGGAAAACTAGCTTTCAGAAACAAATGTTGCCAAATAAAAAGTATCTCTCTACTGAATCTATAAAATACGGGATAGCACTAGTGCAGGTCCAGGAGGAAAAGTGTTTTCACATGCTTCAGCCAAGGACACCATGTTCACCAAAGTATACCAGCAACCGCAACTGTTTACGTCCCCATTTCCTGGAAAAATTGTTGAAGGGCTCCACAACCTGTCCAGAATATTTCTCGTAAAAACTAACAATAAATTTCCAGCACGAAGAATTCAAATCGCTTCAAGAAGTGCGTCAGCACACTGATTTTTTTTCCCACAAAACCAAAAATCATCTCATCCATAGCATCAGTCACGACAATCTGGGTATCATCACTTCATCACCAAGTTGTTGTAAAGCGTTGGAGAAATCATCAAGCCGAAGACAAAGTAACATAAAAAGAGAACGCAGCGAATGTCCTAACAGGATAAATACCGACACTTGGTTAAATGCTGATGCGCGATCCATTCGAGATCCAGATAGACTGTCAATCCGCATACGAGCTCGTATTCAGTGGATAAAGTCTGGTGGGTAAATAATCGAATCTCGGTGGGATCAATATTGAAAAACGAATCCGACGAGGAAACGTCTAGAGAGGCAATAAATCTAGTAATGGCACGAACCAGGTGAACTGAATCCGAAGATATTGCAAAAAACGTTTGAAAATAAAATCGCCCTGCTGAAAAAAAAAAAAAACACAGATAAAGGATTACAAGTACAACCCTTTAAGCACAAGAGGAGTCTGTCAAGGCTGAAAATGTACACACGATTCCTAATCCATCGGCTGGCAACGACTTATGAACACAACTGTTACCGATGCATACACTGATTACAAAAATTAGCTTTTAGAGAGACATATTTTTCGCAATAAATCTCACATACGCAACAAAAAAAAAGTTCAATCACTCCACTGTTTGACTCGGTCGCCACTTACGATCACTGTCCACCGGGAAGCATCTGAAAAAATTCCCGTCTTTCCCACTCAGATATTTGCACCATTTTCTTGTGAAGGAGAAGAAACTGAAAAATGAAAGAGTAAGTGCATAAAATCGCGAGTTCATACTGGTATAAGACGCGAAGCTTTTCGATGCCACCCGGTATTCGCCTAAACGTCGAACCCCGTCAGAGGTGCGAACGACCAAATAAGAAATCACAATAAGCGTTTCATGACACTAATGGGACGCAAATTCAGCTTATCTTTTCCAGTACAGCGATGATTCTCGTCTTCCCAAGAAAATGCCAGCCAACGAACAAGAAATTCCTTCGTTCCCAGTCAAAAATACTGACAAACAAGTGACGATAAACTGAATTCTCGCTAAAAGAATGCTTCAAAGAAATGGTAAACACAGCAGCAGCTCATCCCACGGTGGAACAGAAGAATACGGCAAAACTTTGGACCGCCTTGCTTGGCCAACGAATTAAAGGGGAACACAGAATTGGTGTCGGGTTGCATGGGAGAGGTTGCTTCGAGATACCACAAAATAAATATTTTTGGCTGCGGCCGGAACACGGCCCGTCGGTCGGCTCGTGATCAACAACTCTTGTTTCGCACACCACGAGACATCTCAAGTCCTCGGCGTCCTCTTGTTCATCTTCTTCTTCTTCATTTTCTTGAAGAAGCAACAGCATCTGAAAACGCAGAATTTCATTTGAATAACCTGCATTACGTAGGTAGATACAGGAAGCACCTCAAGCCAACAATATCCGAAGACCATTTCTTTCACCATCATACTTGACTTCGCATAAAGAATAAAACAGATAATCCATAGCTTGAACAGTCGAACTTCTTCAAGCCAAACTTCAAGGCACCAGGAAAAAAAATCGACTAAGAAAGGTTTCGAGTTCGGGAAACGAGCATTTCTGATGGTCAAAGGAAATAAAAATTACAGGAAATTGTAATTGGTAATATTCTGGGCCTCAAATTGCTTTTTAAATGAGTCGACAGGATTCTGAACCTGGAGGAAATGGCTCATTTCCCAATCAATCTTTCACTTCCTTTAAAAACACTTCGAATTGAATTTTTATAGCTTTCCTCATTCCTGTGTCGATGAAATAATAGCCAAAAGAACTCCAAAAAATTCGAGTCATTGAAGTTTGAGGGGGAAGGCCTTTGAGTTAGAGGTTTTCAATGCATTGTTTCTAAAGGGATTCCAAGCGGGGAGTTGATCGACTCGGGGAGGTTCAACTCCCCGTAGTATGCAGAAGCAGTACATAAGGTAAAATTCCGTTTTCCTAGGGATCGAAACGCAGAACATTTTCGGACACAGGATATTTAATGGACGATCGTTAAGAGAAAAAGGGCTTCTTTCGGAAGAAACGTCCCGTTACTTCGAAAGAATTACTCAATTCTTTGGTGGGCAGTTCTCTGATTATGAGACAGTTTGTATGACAATACGGAATTACATATATGAGTGAATACTTTCAGCTTTCAAGTACAATTGAACCTAAACAACTCGAAACTCCCTGATTCGAATTTTTCCAAGTCCCCTGTCCGAATACCCTTAGAAACAATGCTGAGAAGATCTCCATACCTAGAAGGCTTTCTCCATAAAACCTTCTCGTTCATCCCTCATCTCATTTGAGAAGCAATTTAAAGCCCGAATATCACCAATTACAATTTCCCCGTAATTCTTCCTTTCTGCGGCTCTAATAAGATACCCTGATTTAATAGACGGCATAATTACTCTATGAAAAGGAGGTCAAAGCTTGGTTATAATGCAATTAGATCAAATTTCGCTCCTCGTATACAGATCTCCACTTACGCGCAAAAAACTCGGCGTTAACCCCGTTCAATCATATCTGCTTCCTCAACAATACTGACCTCACAGCTCGACGTTCATCATCATTCGGATACATTATATAAACGAATATATATTCTGTAAGCAAAATTACTTCTCGTCTTCAGATGTGGCAACTTCAACTGGGGCAATGGGCGCATTCGAATGCCTCGCAATCGTGTCATGGGTAGGATGATCCTCGTTCTGCACGTTTACAACCTGTGAAGAGAAAAAATCATCAACATGACAAGGCACTTGATGAGCGAGGCACTTCAAACATCCACGCGGCTTTGAAACACCCAATAGAAGAAAAAAAGAAAAAAACATTGAAACAAAACGCCAACAACTGGTGTTACCCAATTCAAGAAACGTCGCACGAACGTGCACTACTATCAAACTTTCACTCGCGACGCATTTTTCAAATCCTCTGTTCACACATTTGCATTTAAAAAAAAAAGCGGCCGTTCATCCCAGCGATCCAACGAGGATATGTATTTTTGTAAAAAGAACATAATTCATCACTGGAGTATTTCATAAAACGGGAAAATATTGAGCTGATTTCCAAACACTTATTCAAAAGCTAAATACGCGTAACACATTAGACTCCAGCAAAAGTTCAATTGCATTGCTTTTGATTCATCTTCGTTTCATACTTTCGTCCACGGCAATCATGCATGTTGTTACAGCTAATTGAAAATACATACAGTACGTTTCACGCATAATTTTTTCGAAAAGTTCCGTAAATCAATAATAAATGAGAATGGGAAACGATATCAGCAGTAAACAATACGGGCACATCGGAAATACGTTATCGGGAAAAAATCTCTACAAACAATCCAGGGCGTGCTTCTCATCTTTTTTTTTTTTTGAGTAAACGAAAAATGAGACTATTTCCTCAAAATGTCCTCGCCAGCATTCGTGAAATCATCAACGCCGAAAAAATCACCATTGAAAACAATAGGCCTATCGCATGAGAATTGGGAGGAATCAGGACAAATGAAACTAAAAGAAGATTTGGGAAAATCTGCGCCCGGAGCAAGAAACGAAAAAAAGTAGGTATTCAAGACTTTTATGGTTCCAAAAAAATTTCCCAATCGGACGAAATTACAGTGAAATAAAAAATATTTCTTTTTGCGTCTGAAAATCCAAAAACCGTCCCAGCCTCCGTTATTTTACCCTGAACATTCGACGATGATGTTTAATCTCGGTGATGAAACTGTGCCAACACAGGAAGGTTGTCCCAAGTTCAGCGAAGCCAGAAATATTCATTTAGTAGCAGTTCTTGAATACTGTAAATAACTTTTACGGAGAGGGATCATTTTTCAGAATTTATTCAGGATTGGTTGTCCGACTAAATTTGACAACAAAAAACCCACTGGAACGCAACATTCTTCATAAAATTCCGCCAAGCTTTGGTATGGGAAAAATCGTCTTCTTTCAAACGGACACTTCTCCCAAAAACTTTTCTCTCAGTTGATAGTCCCGAAGTATCCTTACGAACAACAAAAAGCGTTTCACCGCTCAATAGAAAATTAATTCGATGCACTATTTACTGAACATACGAGGATTCTCCCCCTGCCACTTGGCTTTGGGTATTAAATGAGTAGGTACCACTGTAAAAGAAATTGTATTATGTAGGCCATGCAATTGTAAGGTTCTGGGACACATGAACTGTCACTTGAGAATTTCTGCCCTTTACAGCCAAATCCGCACAGAAACGCGCGTCAAAGAATACGGCATTCAATCCGAAATTCGTCCACGAAAAATAGGTCGGTCGGGTAGCTCAAAAAAGTTAAACTCTACGTTTTCTTTGGAACTTTTACACTTCCCGAAATATACTGCGCAACAGAAAAATAAATAAATGCCTTGTTCAAAGTTCCTCCCGAACGATTCCTTCTTTCTCCCACGCAGAGACATCCTAGCATTTCCAATTTCGGAAGATTTCTTCAAGTAACTTTCACAGGAACTTACCTGTACCGAGGGAAGATGGTCTGCGGCAGCGGAGCTTATTGTGGCTGCGTAAGGAGCCGGTCTCATTGAATCAGGCCACGCAGACCCTCTCGCCCTCTCCTGGACCATCAACCAATTCCGCCGCGGCGATTTTAACCCAACGCACGAAGGAGAAAGAACATGCGGTGAATCATAGACACACGACAAAAAAAATAAAAATACCATTCGAGGAAAGCATTTCTGTGATTCAACAGGAAAGACACGACAAAAATAAAACACATACTATCACGAGCTGGACCGAAATTAATTTCTACGACTGGCAGAACGTACTGTACATACTGTTCTTGTAACTATGGATACACGTGCTGAAATCGACCATACATGGGAAAAGTCCATGGTAAAAGTCAGAACATATCCCCACATGCTTTTCCGAATCGTATCAGAAAATTGCTTCTCTTGCGATGAGCAAAAATAGGGTACGTGAAACCTTTTGACCAACCTACATACAATTTACTGAAAATACCAGCGATATTATTCATTTAGTGCGTTGGGTCTCCGTATCTAAAACAAAATATTCCATGGACAAAAGCTTTTCTGTATAGTACTTGAAAATTAGGCCAGCTTTCGAAGATACTGTACTTGCATAAAAATGCTTTAAAATGGACGGTCAATCTTCAGATCTTCTCAAGAACGCCTTCGGATTGATATTGTTTCTTCAACTTGATCAAAATGTAACGAAAATATGAAAAACAACGATCACTAACAAAAATACAGTTTCCCATTCTCTTTATTCTTGGAAACTGCTAATACTGCACAAAAACGTGGGAAACATGGGTTATCACAAAACTCAAAGAGCGTTCAGAAAATTATCACACTACTGCAGTGAAAATCTCTACAATTAAAGTGATTTTCAATTAGCCCATGACAAGAAAGACGAATGGTCGTAGAAAGGTAAAAATTGCTACCAACAAAAACCGCATTTTCGTTTCACACGGCGTCATCTCAAGTTTACTGGTTCCCATCAGAAGTTCCGAAGCATTTCAACAAAAACATGCAAGGGCTCGTTGGGTTCTAGGTGCGATTTTCACGACATAATAAGGAGAGTTTTCTACACTTTCCTACTGCAAGAATGTATTCATGAAATCTTATACGCCGATTTTAATGAACTACTGCGCGCAGAAAAACCAGGTTGTGAAACTTCCGGAAAACGCTGGCTTCTCCACGACATCGAAACTCTTTTACGCGTTTCTCGTCAAAAATAACGCACTATCCTAGACAATTTGAGATGTTTATCTAATGAAAAATAAATAAGTCGAAGGAAAATATCTCAGAAACCTGTTTGAATCGCGAAGGCTTCATGAACAGCGAAGGTTTCCGTTCTGTCACAAATCTAGCACTTGCGCGCCGTCCCACGTCGAATATGCCTCTCTAGATAACATCGGCGATCACGGGTTTTTACACAACTACTCTACAACCACTCACATAGTTCAGACCAAGATCGACAAAAAGGAAACATGTGATGAATCAAGTCACTGACCTTAGCCGGAGTCGGCCGTCTATCACAGTTGGGTGATACGACCACTTCTTGCGCCGTGGTCTGCTGAGATCCAATCGGAGTGCTCTGCAAAGTCACCAATGTCGGGGTCACTCATCTTTGGAATCGACAGGATGTTTTTATCAAACACATAAAGTACTAGATTCCTACGCAACTGCAACTTCTCCGACTATCCTGGGATCAATACTACGAACCTGAATATTCAATTTCAAACAAATTCTAATTCTGTGGAGGAACAATAATGATAAAATCAGAGTTCGAGATCAAGAAGTCAAGAAGTGCTCCGTGGGGTATACGACGGCAACATCTGAATCGCTCCATACCTCGGTAATCAATCGACAAAAATCCAGGGTGTTCGTAACTATTCCATCCCGGAAAATGTATCCAATACCCCCAACAAAGTGCGGAATTAATTCAGCAATCGCAAGAATAATCAATTCAGAGAAACTCCACAACTCCATCCAGAAAAGATGTCAAACCTAATGCGCATCAATATAATACCTCTCCCTTGAGGAATTGCACCAAACATTAACTACATTATTAAAATCGTCCGTCGTGAGGGTTTAGGATTGGTCACTGCTGCCCTGCTGTGCACTCTATATTTTTCATAACAGCTCTTGCCAGTTGCGACGCACGCTAATTTGGGCTTGCTCTTTTGTGAAATACTACAAACGTGAATGCTTATGTGAACAAACGGAAACACTCCCGCGATGAAAAAGATTACTCAGGAAAAACCAGTCATACCATTACATCGTACAAGTGCAGTGAAAGAACCGATAAAACTGATGTACCTCCTCAGAATCAGAATTCCTACGAGTCCTGAGCACAGATCTTCGCTTCCACATCATGATTAATTTCAACTTAAGCTGCGCAAAAGTTCAGAGCGGAAACATTGAAGAAAGTACATCATACAAATCGAAAGTAAAAATGGAACAACATGCCTCATCGCATGCATGAAACTAAATTCAAAATTCGATCAGGAATTTCATCTGAATCAGTTTCGCGTGTCCCTTCACGCAAAAAAGCATGCATATTCACAACTTTCGACTCAGAGAATTTGAATCGAAAGAGACGCTTGAATCAAATAGCATCAGTAATACAGCAAAACCTCAATCTCAAAATGAACAGAAAAATAAAATTATATTACAATGGATAGGCGATTTTTCTCACCGAGGTTTTTCCCGTCCACTCGAATTCCCCATCTTCAACGTAACCTTTACGTTCGAATAAATCTTGGAATAGACCTCGGAGGTACTCGTAATCAGGGGTCTCGAAGAAGTCCAATCGTCTCACATAACGCAAATACGTCGCCATTTCCTCTGTAAAAAAAATGAGAAAAATGCAGCGATGAATTTCATTTGTATACAAACGTAACAAAATGGCTTTAACGGTTTGGCAGTGGCACCACACGCAAATTCTACGAAATGTTTGAAGTTGCGGGAACCTTCAAATCATCCTAATCAATTAGAAGCGTCTGCCAAAGTTGATTTGTATCTCACCATTTATTTCGGAGAATGAACAGGGACGAACAGGAAGAAATCCATTTCTTACGAGCAAAAAGTCGAAAGAATACGCTACCTTTTCAAAACATAAGTTTAAGTTTACCTCATGAAAACTACGCAGATTTATAACTGGAGAAATTGTTCATTAGATGTAAGGTTAAGACAGTTCAGCGCGCGATTAGGTAAATAAGATGTGTGAGGTAAGGTTCGGTTAGACGGATGTTCGTGTAGCCATTCATCCAGTTCCTACTCATCCAAGAACGGAAGAACTCAAATTGACCTCGTGAATAATATTCGAAACCCGTCCGTCTCATACCTGGATGTCCTTCGCAAAGTTCCTCAATCGGCGTAGACCGCTTTGTGTCGCCAATCTTCTGATATCTTTCCTTCAAGGTCTCCGCACGAAGTCCCTGCCATGGCAAACTCCCCCGAAGAAAATACATGAACATGTGACCGAGTGCCTCCAAGTCATCGCGACGACTTTGCTCGCGTCCCAGATGAGTGTTGATGCTCATGTACCTAGAATTCAGAAGAGACACCGTTAACAATGACAACACATGACATCAAGTCAAACATACTAAGTACCTGGCTGTTCCAGTCAATGATTTATGCTCTCGGTAAGGGATGTGACGATTGGTTTCCGCGTCAATGTATTCCTTCGCTAGACCGAAGTCTGAAAATACACGAGGAAGAAAGAAGAGCATCAGTGCGCAACCTAAGCGTTGTTCCGAATAGATCAATGAAGCAGACAATCAAATTTCCCAGCAGGGTTAGAGAATAGTACCAATGATGTGGACAAATTTGTCTTTTGCAGTGGAAGATCGTCCTATCAGGAAATTTTCTGGTTTCACGTCCCGATATATGAGATGCTTCGAATGAACGTATTCCATGCGGTGAAGCTGCAGGAACGTATTGAATAAAGTTTTTAGTTACGGAAAGTCAAAATCGACTAGGGAAACTTACGAGCTGAATTGCTATCAGCAGCACCGTCTTCAACGCAAACTTTCTCCGACACATTTCGAACAGGTCCTCCAAGCTTGGACCCAGCAACTCCATGACCAATGCGTTGTACTTCCCGCAGGGACCAAAATAGTACACCTCAGGAACGCCCTCTGAAAGACGAGCATTAAAGTCACTACTGCCGGAGTAATTATTAACACTCTATACGCACCATGGCACCCGAGCATCCTGTAGAATCGGTACTCCAGATGCAACTGCGGAGCTTTCGATCGCATAGCTTCCAACTTGACCGCAACGTGTTCGTTTGTGTAAAGGTTCCGTCCGAGTCTCAGCTCTCCGAAATTTCCGCATCCGATTTTTTTCCCGACCCGAAAATTCGGACCAACCATGAGAACTCCGGTCTGCTGAGTCGAACTTGAGCCTCCTTGAAGACGAGCGGAGTGTTGATTGCTCGATCTCGGGGTCTGCTGCGCACTCATCCTGGATACCCTTTGGCTGTGCGGCGGTACCTCCTCCTTCATCTCGATGACCTCATCTACCGCCAGGGAATCCTTCGGCATTTGATCAAACTAAATTCAGTTCTCGCCCGGACATCCAGAATAAATATTGCGCGGCCAAGCACACCAGTCACAATTTTCCATACGGATTGCAAGTTATGGATGATGGCTCTAAAGACTGAACCTCCGAGCCACCAGCATAGCCTCTCAAGTTCCCAACACTATCGAATACAGCTTGGCATAGATGTCCGAAAAATGTGGCTCACGGTTCACCTCGTCACTGATGCAGATCAGAACCTTAAACCGTAAACAATGATTACGAACCAAAATGACTTAGAAATTTCCGAAATGGTCTTCTCTCTAAGCGAACAGGAACCAAATTTCAAAAAATACCGTGACCCCACATAGTCTTTGTACGAAAACTTTGCTTTCGATGCACTGAATAAATGAACTGTACTGATACATGGTCACGGTCATCGTGGTTGGCAGTCCTTTCAAAATAGATCAACATAACTCTAATGGAGATCATGGACTTAAAGCAATCCAGGCGGAAAAGTCACTATCGTTTCCAAACCTCACTATTATTTCCATGCGCGCGGCCATTTTCCTCTCCTACCGTTCTCTATCCTTCCCTCTATCCAGGTGGTGTAGTTTTTCACCCCAGCAGAACTCTTGGTCAAGGAAACTCTAGGCCGCTGGTGTGCAGTTCCCATGGCTCCAGCAACCCTGCGGTTACAAAGCGGCGGGATGTGGCGCGGCTGGCAATGCGGCACTCCTGGCGGCGCCGCACTGCTGGCCTGGCGCTGCATGCGCCAAATTTTGACCCCCTCTTTCTAGCGGATGCGAAATTACATGATGCGATTCTCGGACTATTCCGCCTTTATTTTGCAACGCGCTATTTTTCTTACAAATTTTTACTTATTGCCATCACACCGTTCTCCGAATGTGACTGGAACCCGATGAATTCCTTGCCGCGTGCATTGCTAAATTTTTGTTCGGCCAAATGCCTGAATTTTTCGTGTTTGTTTCGAACCTCAGATTTTTTACAATTGGTACATTGCTAATTTTATGATTTTGTCGAAAACCCTAACTGGATTCAAAAAGAAGAAAAATTGTACTACACAACTGAAGTTTGCTTCCAGTTCTTTGAAAATGTTATGACATCAACTCCACTGAATAGGGAGCTCTTGTATTACACTCACACATTGGCAAGGATAATTAACTAAGAACTTACGCGAAGAATAATCCACCCTTCTTTGATTTGCTCCTAATTAACAAATGTGTATCACGTGCTATTTTTCTATCAAAATATCGACTCGATAAACTATTGGGACCAAGTTTTTCTGCCACTTACAGGGCCAAAGAAACGTGAATCTTCATAGTAGGTATAAATGGCAGCCACATTGTTTCAAATCTGTTTTGACCTCTGACAGACAATAATTATTTCAGACAGAAATGTTTACGGATAGAATGGTTCAGATGATACGGACAGAAGACGAACTGCGATAAAATGTTCGCATCTAAGTTTTCCCTATTACCACCGAAGACCAGATTTTTATAGGCATTCAATGCTCTAATGAAATTACTGGGCGCATCTCTCACCAACCAGAAACTAGAAATAAAAATAAATAGAATTCAAGGAAGATCTCCTTCTTCATCAAGACTTTCGTAAAAAAAAGAAAAAACTTTCTCCGTGTCACAAAGGCTTTTAATTTGTTCACCTCTAGAACAAATTGCCCGAAATGGAAACAAGCATACAAATGAAACAACACACAACATGCAAATGTTCTCACATGAAAGCATCTTCACGATCAGCTCCCGACACATCCCCTTCCTCGATCGAGGCGAAATTCAGGTAGTGAGACGGGCGATGGATTTCGTGATAGAAGTCCTTCGGATTCGCCAACATCAAGTCATACTTCATGTTCGGATCGTGTCTCACGCCTGCAATTCAGGAAACAAAAACTCAATCATCAGTATGATAAGAGCTTCTCACGACCCAAAAAACGTTTTGTTATTTAAATAGGCCATACTTTTTTCAATTAGATAGCATCCAGTATGAAATATGAAGCATCCCGAATGTGACCCAATTCCGAACAGCAAACAAGAGAATGACTCAAGATGACTAACCCATGAAATTGTAGTTCCACGATCCATGCGCCGGGACCATGAAGAATCCCAGGAATCTATCCGAAAGGATCATCTGCACGCGTTCGTAATGCGAGGGTAAATACCCTTTCGGGTTGTTTCCCCGGTCCGTGTTGCTTCGACCCCATTCAAACCCGCTTGGAGTGAGTTTGTAAGCTGTCAAAGAAACTGAACCCGGCGTGAAGCTGCAAGTGATGACAATGGTCTTCTCGCCGTCCCATGCTGGATTATCCGACATGATCCGCGCGTGAGTCGTGATGTCGTGTGGCGACAATTGCGGCAGCTCATTAGGCTGCGTGTGCATCCAACCCAGGGGTTCCAAGTCCTTGAGGTACTCGTGGTTTGGCAGAGTATGGGGCAAATTTACGCTCTGATGAGTGCCCCACTGCGGCGGCATCACTACGCAGCGGATCTCCTTCACTTGAGGATTGTCCGCGGGGCTCGAGCCGTAAATGTACCCAGAAATCTGCGCAAAAAACCAGACTTCTATCAAATCAGAACTAAATAAAATAAAAATACTTGGCACCACCATTGTTTTAACAACGCAGCACCGACATTTTTGTAAAATTAATCGCTGCACATGAGCAAATGAAATTTTGAAGTTGCCCTCGTCCTCACAAGCCTTCACGCATACCTTATCGAAAAACCGATACTCTATTTAAATATTCCAACAAAAATGCTATTCCATCATTTCCACGACACTATTGACTTGAAAAACTTTAATGCAGCTCTTACTTGAAAATCGAGTTCAGGCCGCAGATAAAGAGCAAATTCTTAATAAGGAAAATCAGTCGATTTCCCCTCTGTGTGGGCCACCCCTTCTTCCAAAATGTGAAATAATTTTTGCGGCATATTCAATCAGATAACAGGTGGTCAAAAACTCACCTGCGCACGCAAATCAGAAATCACAATGAACTTCTTCAACACGTTCTTCGGTAAAATGTAAGTGTATCCAGCTTCTTTGATGTCATCTGAGGCGACGTAGATGTGGTTCGTGCGGAGATGAAGATTGGTCGCAGAAATAGCTCTCACACGCCACTCTGTCTTCGAACTAACATTACGAGGGAGAAGACAAGACACGTGGATTAAATTTCGTGAAATCACGGCAATACTGAGACCACGGACACACCTGAAAGCTTGGGTTTCGTAATTTGACAAGGTGGTAGTGATGATTTCGTCGCCGTGCTTGTTGACGGTACGCGTCGTCGTGGCTGTCAGCTGGCTTTGCTCTTTCGTCTGCTTCTCAATTTCTGCGATCTGCTGTCTCTGCTGGGACGGAGCGCTGATCTCCATTCCAAGAATTATATCACGAATTTCAGACTGAGTCAACGACGCCACGTTCACGCTGAAACACAAGAAAACCCACATCTTTAAAATGCGGAAGTTTATAGCATCAAAACATTCAATTCGATAGCTTTACTCAAAAAATGGGAATATTTCGGAGAATTATGAACATACTGGTACATTTACTTTTAATTATGTCAACCAAAATGGGAAGAGTTTGATGAATCGTGGTTCATCTCGTTTGTTAAGCACGACTATGTGAAGAATACGCATTATTTTACGGGCCTCGTGTCGCGTTTGTCAATGTACCAAAAAACCTATTACAGTAATTGTACCGTACTACGAAAAAGCAAAACCGACCCTTTCGTAATGAAGTACTAGACTTTCATGGAGTACTATTATGCGCACAAGAAATGCTCATAAAAAGGCGTGCTTTTGACATGCAACTGAGAATACCAACTTATTCTTTTTCCCGTAATCGGCGAGGATGAGATCCTTGAGCTGGACCTCAACGCGGATCCATTCATCGTCCGTCAGAGAAGGCCAGATATGATGGGGTTCGGTAATGGTTCCCTTGTCGGGTTTCAGGATCACCTTCGTCCTATCCGTGTTGACGTGTAACGCACGTTGAATCAAAATTAATCTCGAGAACGCGGTGTAGGATGAGATTGTCTTCAGCCAGTCGTCGTACAAGTTGAACAACACCATTTGCGGTTCCGTCGCTTTCAGGATCAAATCACCAATTTTCTCCACCTTCAGACAGGCTTGGAACGGCAACTGCAGTTCACTCCCCTTAATAACAATGTTGGGGAAATCGAGCAAGTGGACTTCCAGGGGATCCAACATGCCTTTCCTCGTAACGATGATTTGTTTAGGTTGTTCCTCCACAGGCAGAGAGCGAATCAAAGCAGCAACTTCTTCGGCGGTTTTCCACTTCGCCAACTACAAATGAGAGCCATTTCAATCAAACCACACTCGAAAGAGTCCTTTGCAGCTTAAAACAAAATCAAAACAACTCTTGGCTAAAATGCTAAAATTTCGTATTTACCTGACCAAGACGCTTCTGACCAGCCCACACAGAAGTATGGATGACTTTCAAAAACAGCTGTCCTGTTCTCGGATTGAAAATGAAGATGGCACCGTTGATCGGTTTCGTCGTCAAGTTTCCTTCGAACGTCTTGTGAATCGTCACACGATAAACGTTCGTGTCATCGACGAACCTGAAAAAATATGAATGAGCGATTAAAACCACGCAAACGAAACCGAACAGGATTCAGTTCTGTTAACCGAACAAATGTACAGACAAATTACAGCCAGACGAACATCGTCCGACTATTGAATCTGTCCGCAATTTATATACCACTTTGAAAACGACTTCAAGACACTCGCACCATCAATTTGCTGTGTTCTGTCAGGAAGTAGCTGGAGGTGGATTTTATTTTTAAAAAACTACTGTATATTTTTTAGCTGACATTTTAAAAGTGAGAAGAAAACTTAAAACAACTTCAACAAATGTAAAGGGTACATCTCGTACTTCGTGCGAAGTTCAGTCGGAGAGAATTAATATTTTTCAGAAAACTTGAAAGACCGAGAATGAGAATTCGATTCGAAGTAGTAAGTGCAAAGGCCAACACGGTTATTCTTTTGTGCACAACACGAAAGTACAGTAACTTTAAAATTCACAACCAAAGATGACCATACATTCATATTGCTTATGCTTCTTCGCGGAAAAGGCCAGAACAAGATCTCCATCTGCAATTCATAATAATTACAGTACATTATTCGTCAGAACTTACCAAATAATTTGATTGGAGAACAATTCTCCATAGTTCTGCGACGACAAATACGGCTCAGTCGGCTCCGAAGAATACAACTGCAGGCCTTTCCTAATTCGCTCACGCAACACGTACAACGCCGGGTTGGCTTTCATGATCTTTGCCATCGCCTGCTGCACCAAAGGCTTGGAGCCCGGGAACCAATTTCCATACGCAGAGTGCAAATTGTAGGCCAAATCAATTGCCAATAATACCCCAGTAGGAGAAGGATAAATTGACATGTTATCCGTCGTGTAGTCCAAAAATTTGGCTCTGGCATAACGTTCAACGTCGTGCGAGTCATAATCCCCCCAACGAAGCTGGATGTCCAACCAATACTTCTGAGTCGTTGTGTTGTCCATTGTGTCCTTCGAGTCGGCGAGAAGACTTGGACGCGAAACGTTCCACTTGTAAGAGGCAAACAGCAGAATGTCCGCACACGACGAATTCATCTTGTAGGACTTTCGCGGATGAATTGTTTCCTTCTGCACAGTTTCCACCTCCAATGCGTCCAGTTCTTGATCGAATACCTACACAGATTCACAATTGAGTAAATTGTCGTTCCATCGGAAAAGCTATGTAGAAATACCTGACACAAATCCATGACAACAGCCTCGTGAATCTTCTGCCACAAATGAGCACGGAAGATCTGAATCAACGAGATCTTTAGCGTTGGAATCTTTCCGTGCATGAAAATTCCCGTGAGATCAAGTTGAACCTTAAATGAAAAATTCATAGATACATAAATACAATTGAAAAATACACATGAAATAAGTCAGTCCAATAAAATTTACTAATTCGGTACAGGATATGAAAAACGATGCACAAACCTGGAAGCCAACATATACGTTGGCACGATTGATCGTCGGCGACCACCACAACGTGAATCGACGATTCGGAATTTGATTCAAACCAGATCTCTGGGCGTTCGTCAGCTTCTTGTACTTCATCGACTCTTCGAAACCTGATGCTTTTTCCCTGCGAAAAATCAAGTCCTAATCTGGGTTCAGCTCTTCTCGAATTTAATAGATTCATTTCTCACCAGAAAAGACCTTCCCACGTGGGGAAATAAGTTCCTTTAAACAGCGTATGTTCCAAGATTCCTTCCACTCCGCCTAGTGCTTGTATCATGTCCGTTCGGTAGTTATTCAAGTTCCACAATTTACCGTCGTGTCGCTGATGAGTCCACCAGAACGGGTTTTGCTTCAGCACTTGGTAGGCCTTGAACTCCGTCCTCACACGCCAGCCTTTATCATAAGCCAGCGTATGTCGATCCTTCAGAGAAAAAAAAAATCATTTGCAAAAAGTGCCAAAAGTAACTTCCTGATTCCATTTTACAACCTTTTGAAACAATGTGTTGATTCTAGGAATCCCACGATCCCAACTGTCCTCCAAATCCTCGAGGGTCAAGCGCCGATTTTGTGAATTTGCTTCTTGCCGTTTGAGTGCATATTCAGCCCAAACTCGCTGTGAGTCAATGAATTCAGCTTCCCAAGGTTGGACATAGCGGTACAAGTTGGGAATGACTTGATCCTCGTCGTGACTCATTCCGGACCGGAAGTGCGTGATGCCAACATCAGTTTGCTTCGACCACCGCAGGTCACTCTAAAAAAAATCACAAATTTTACATTTCCGAAAATAAACGCAGGCCATAAAAAAAAAGTTAGTACCAACCTGTGGAATAAGCACGTGGCCCATAGACAACATGCCTAGACCTCCCAACTCCTTGGGCGTGTAGAACACAACGGGAGGGAACCTCGAAGGCATTTTTGAGTTCAAACCAATCTTAATGCGAGTCTGGATCTTGTTCTCGCACTTGACCAGCAAATCCAAAAGTTCTTGCGTGCTCACTACCGATTCTCTGAAGTACGTCATCAACCCAATCAATGCCGTGTTCCACTTATTCACGATCTTCGTGAAAGTCGTTGAGCCTGAGGCCATAAGAATCTGGCGGACGCGATTGTGGAATCGGCCCATCGATTCATCGTCAACTCTCAAAAAACATTGCGCAGTTCTTTCCTTGGTGATTTCATTTTGAAGATTCCACACTCCATCGCGATGCGTGAACTCTTCTTGCAGCGTTCGGCACTAAAATTGAAAAAGGCGAGCATTTCTACAGCGACACGATAAGATATGTACTTGATCGAGGAACTTGTAGCTTGCACTCACAACAAAAATCAATTTTTTTTATAATTTAATGAGGTGAGAGTGAGACCGATGATTTAGTTCATACATGGATCGACTCTATTCACGTCGGAAAAATGAACTAACTTTTGGCAGGATGCGACATTCGAAACCAGCCATATTGAAGAGGAGATTTGGATTATCCTTGGAGTAAACGCTGACAAATGAGTTCTCCCAGGCGATCGTGGTCACGGATCTAGGCAATCGATTCTTGATGTCCCAAAAGACGGCCCGTCCACTGCAATGCACGATGAGAATGACACTTTTACGAAATATGAATGCATGGTATTACTCACAGATTCACATCATGCTTCATCAATCGCATACGGGAGTCACGAGGCCAACACTTTTTGTTGTTGTAACCAACAATGTTTTCGTTGTTCGGATCAGGATGCTCCGTCAAATACCGCTGGATCAGCTCTTTGGCTTCATCCGCAGTGAACCTGTTTCAAAAACAAAGCATTCACAATAATTGCGTTGAAAGAATAATGTGAGCTTCAACATCGACGGGAAGTGCGTTACCTGAAGAATAGATGGATTCGATCTATGTAACGACTGTACAGTCGAATAGGATGCGCCACTTCCGAAACCGTGTCTTGGAAAGTCAAGAACTCGTTCGGCATTTGTGGAGGTCCAGCGACTTCCGAAGCTCTTTGCAGCCCGAGGATCAACAAATCGATCACGAGGCCGTAATATTGAACAATGAAACTGGAAAACTGCAATCCTCTGATGATACCATAACTGTTGGTGTGATTCATGTCCTGTAAATAATTGCACATTCTTTCAACGGAAACAGACGAAGTGATTTGAGAAGCAGATTTAGAGAACGGATAAAACGCGCACATCGAAGCATGAGAATATTCCGAATCAACATCTCAAGTGAACAAAACTCACTTTGTAATTGATGACAACGTTATTCTTTGCAGTCATATAATCGGCAATGTTATGATCGACGATCAGACGCAGTAAACGATTGAGCAGAGTCAAGTCGATCTTCTCGTACAACTTCTCTAGCTGTGTTTCCATCAAAACGTTGCATTCACCGTCCGACGTTTCCCAAACTTCCTGAAGGTTGTTGATTCCTTGGCACCATTTATACACCAACAAAGGCGGAGGTTCCGAGTCGGCCGGCTTCACCCACGGAGGAAAGAGTTTTCGTTTGTCAGCTTCGTACCACAAATACTGATCTAAATATGCATCAGTAATTTTCTCCAACGGCTCCACGTCGTAAACCGGAATCAGGTGGCTGTACAAGTCCATGAACTCGATCCCAGTCTATCGAAAATTTCAAAGAAATAAATCGTTTTGAACGAACAATCCTTTCGATTTCGAAGAAGTTCCACACTCACCTCTTTGAAAGCTCGCTGCGTCAGCAAATGACGCTTGATCCTAGACAAGGCTTCATGAGGGTTATCGTAAGCCTGTTCGATTAAGCCCAACTCCTCGCGCTGACTTTGATTCAACCTCGACTTCACACTGAAATGAAACAAATCCTCGTGAAGAGGGAAACAGATTTATAAGGATATAAATTTTCCGTACCTGTAAGCTTCTTTCAATCGCTCCAACGCCAAAATCAGCAGCTTTGTGTCGTGCTTATAAGACAATGGGGGAAACGGAATCGGTGCAAATCTCCTCGACTCCAGCCAGTGTACAGTGGTTGTGTAGATCGCAACAGCTTCTTCTGGACTGATGTACGGACCATCCTAGGAGTTCAGGAAAACACAATTTATGCAGTAAAATCTACTTACAACGAACTCCAAGGGATCCAATAAAAAAATCGATAAAAATTTCGTTTTAATTATACAATACGGTATTTATGGCTTCTTGAGCACATGGAATTGAAATTTTGTGGGAAAGATATACCTGTAATTGATTTGAAGTACTGTATTTCCACAACAGATTTTTGAAAACTTGGTTTGCATTTCCAACTCCTATCTATGAAATACTGTAATCAAGAAGATTCAAAATGTGAAATGCTATCCTCTTTTTTTACTTTTTAGACCTACCATTTCTCAAATTTTCTAAAAGCACTGTACTGTATACTGATGTTACAAAAGTATAAGCTAAAACAAACAGCAAATATATCTGTAAGAGCATTTACTAAGTAAGAAACTGCATGTTCTCTGAAATATAACAGTGTCCTTCCAAATGTACATTTCTTTTAAGAAAATGAGCATTTTCTAAATCCTAAAATGAAGCTCAACAATTTCGTTAAGAGCTTCATACTTCCTGCAATGCTAAACTTTCTGCTCAACAAGATAAGCAAACAACGTTTCCGAAGGTTTTTCAATTATGCAGAAGTTGGGTATTCCCATATTGTGCGCATCAGTATTGGCTATCACACAGAATCAAAGCAAAGATGCATTATAGTGAGATTACAGAGGAATAAATTCCTCATAACGAAATTTTTATAGCACGGTTCTTTTGACAAAACAGCTGGAACTAAGAAAAAAATCGTAATGAGGAAAAATTCATTATGACAAAATTCGTTGTAACAGAATTTTACTGCATTATCAAAAATTAACGATTTTTCAACTAACCTTAAGGTAATTGTGCTGCCGTTCCTGTTCGGCCTTGAGATACAATCTCGTTAGTCTTCCTAGGTTCTTTTTGCAAACAGTTTTGTCCACGGTCGCCCCTCGACGAATACGCTCACGGTTGTAGTGCGCTGTGTTCGTCCACCAATCCGCCTTCATTTTCACGTAACGCAAAATCATGTTCTCGATGGGCGTTGGCAATCCGGGTACTTTCCAAGGAATGTTCGCCTTCCAGCAACGCCACGCTTCTGACAAGTGCTGCAAGATCGTCTTGGCTTTGTTCTGCTTGATACCCTCGGGCATCATGTCAAGAATGTCGTGCATCACAGAAGCACGAAGCTCCAAATCAAAGTGGGATTCTACACGCTGCTTCGTCACTGTTTTGGCAACACCTTTCGAATGACGACCCTCGAACTGTCGGCTGAGAAGATTTCCAAGCCATCGTTCTAACAGCGGCGTGACTCCGCGGAGGAAGAACAGCCAGACGCGCCAAGCAGGTGCCCAGATCCCACAGCCAGGGCCTTTGCCCACAGCTCCGGTGTTGAAACGATAATAAATCAAGTGCTTGATGTCCTTGCACATCCGGATTTGTCGCATCAACTTGTACTTGTAACGGTACATTCCAGTCAGCTGACCAACATGAGAGAAGATGTACTGGATCCCGTCCGAAAGTTGGAATGCATCCACATTGTTCAGTCGGTATTGAACATGCGCATCAACCAGCAACTTTGTGAGTCTGAGGATTTCGCGACACAGATGGAAAGCTGCAATAAATAAAATAAAGATAGTAACGATTGATTCGAATACTCGAACTCCCGACTGAAGCCACAAGAAGACAACTCGCGACTTACCATTTCCGAATCGGGACTTTTTACGCTCCTTCGTAGTCAACGTTTTGACAGGCTTGAGATTGAAATTGTAATCCAAATGCAGGTAGTTCAGATTCTTGCGATGAATCAGAAGATTCAACATGTTGTATCCTTGTCTGCACACCTGCAGCCCAACTTCCACCCAATCCAACTGGGTTGACTGAAAGAACTTCGTTGCCTTGAACGATCGGAAGAGATAGCGTTTCTTCTGCGCTTTCGGTGGCCGATGCTTCAAAGCATTGAGCACGAAGTATTTCAAAAGCTTCTGATATGACACGCGCACTTTAACAGGCATTCCAGCGGGACAATGTTCCATGTACCACGTTTTGACAAGAGGAACATCCACAGCTCTTCTTGAACGACCGGACCGGAGGTTGTATGGTCGTGGGGCCCAGAGCAGTGAAATTCCGTTAGCCGTGTTATCCGAATACAAGGGAAATTCTTGCATGTAGGGCTGGCAAAATTCTGGAACTTCGAAATCCTCGTCATCTTCAACAACAGGCTCGTACGACTGAAATGCGAAAAATGTGGATTAAGATTAATTTCCATGTACAGTACAATAAATCTCGTTCGAAGGCCTAAAACCTTATTTCAGAAGAGTGCTTATTCAACCCTCAGTCGCTGCTATGCCAGTTCAACACGAAATTGAACAGGCAATAACGGCGGTATTGAGAGCCAGCCAGCATGTCGGCTGAATTCGAACCCCTGCACTTACTCATCATTATTAGATACAAACAGCGGACTTGATAGTTCCCGAACCATGAAAAACACACAAACCTTCACAGCATGACGATGTGCAATCGGATTGATCAATGGATCAAAATAGAAAGCAGGCAAATCAGGGTCCTCCGTTTTGATGTAAACCACATTTGGAGTGTGGTACCACGACAAATGAACGAACTTCGGCATGCTGTTATACAGATATGGAAACGCAATCCGATATTCAGTTCGAACCGGCTGGCGAATGATAATTTTATTGATGTCGTTAAATTCATTCCAGTCTTCATCCCTGTTGAGAAACAAAAATGAAAATGACGTTGGCTCTGAAAAAAATCTACGAGAGCACAAAACTCACAAATGACTCTGATCCTTCACAAGAGGCTCAAACTTGGGTCCACCCGGAATAGCCAAGTTTAGAGCTTTGGCCGTAAAAAACGACTTCACGTCGAAGAGATAGAAGTAGTTCTCATCTACAAGATCAGTCAAGAGCTGGTTTGCCAAACGATACAGAGTTGCCATTTGAGGCAAAGACAACTGCCATCGTCGGTAAGTTGTCCCATTCACAAATCTGAAATTTCAAAATATCATCAGAATGCAATCAAGCCACCCGCTTAACAAGACTTACTTCGATTCCGCCAACGGCTTATGCTCATACAGCCAATCTAAAACAGGTTTATCCTCTTCCGAATCCAATTCCATTTGAATGGCTTCCAGCGGTTCAACGTCGAGGATGTTGTCAGCGTAGTCCAACGGGGGTTCTTCATCGTCAAATGGAGGAAAACGCATTCGCTTGAAATGACGTCGATCACGTTTTTCACGACGCATCATAATCCACATCGTGCCCCATTGAGCGATGTAAATCGGCTCGATCACCCACGGGATTTCGTTCACAAAAGTAATAGCACCGGTGATGTGGTACAATGCACTAACATCACGGATCTGCTCCCACGGCATCGGCATGTTTTCAAGGAGTTTCAGAACAGCGTGTGGCATATATTTCAAGGCTCTGAACGTGAACACATAGCGTCAAGATACAAAATGAAAAAGCCTATCATAGTGTGTTTTTCTTACCCCAAATAGACACGTTTGTCATGACGATACTTGCGCGAACTCATATCCCCATGATCCCGAATAATTTTGCGGATGTGCTCTGGCGGCATATCTTCTTTCTGGGCATCCACGAACCCAAATTTTCTTTTCGTGGCAAAGCGCTTCGAGCGTAATTGAAGCCATTTCTTTGCTGAAAACAAGAGAGCGGTTAATACAGAATCACTTCAACAGTAAGCACATGCATACCTTTTTCTTGAAGTTTCTCTTCGGTCAAGTTTTCCTTTGCTGCTAACTGCTGTGCGTGAGCATGAGCTTGGGCTTGCGCCTGAGATTGGGCATGCCGCTGCACGGCAATGGCTTCGGCTTGCGCCTGGGCCTGAGCAGCGAGAATATGAGCAGCTTGCGCTTGAGCAGCTTGCTGCTGGGCGAGGATGTACGGGTGCCACATGACTTTTCAGTAGTTTTCGACCTAATCAGACGTCTCCGAACGACCAACCCTCTCCATAGAGTTTAGTTTTAGGAAGCCTCAGAAAACACTTCAGATTCTGAAAAGAAAAGGTTCCACTTGAATAATTGCGTAGAACTGATTTCCAGAGACGATTCCGGAAACGCGCGTGGAACGAACACGTATGGTAGGCATAACGTATACTAAAGCTCCAAAGCTTGGTGTGAATTCATATAAGGCATCCAAATATTACGTGTTTGAGAATACGGATTTTTACTGGGAGTCCTTCATCAGTGAACGATATCCGCACAAACAAGGGCATCCGTTTTTCGGCGATATTAAGCTTTAGCGATGTCACCTGGTACGTCACTATCGTTTCTTTGAGCGCGGCCATTTTTTACTCCTGCTGCCCTCTATGTTTAATTTGCTTTCCTACAGTTCCCAATCTTTGGCAAAGAGTGACTTCAAAGCGGCAGAATGCTGATTACATTTTTTAATTGCAATGGTTTTCTTTGTAATTCTGACGAATTGTTCCCAGGCTACAGCCAACACCTTACGGAAGCCACATATATTGCATGGGTAAGATGTCAGTCATATCCATTTTTTGATAATTGAGGTACAGTACAGCAGTATTGGGTACAATCCACCGTACCAAAGAGTGGGGGTCAATATTTTAATGACTGGGAATTCCGTAGGTTTGGAATACAGTAATTTGATTCCCTTTGAAATTCTCCCGGAAGTTAATAATCTTTTCACTTGGACCTATTTTTTGTTTAGAAATAGGTGCTGTATCTTGACTTAAATAAATGGAAGCAACTCATCTGTCTTAGAAGAAGTACAGAATAGAAGTTTCTGTAGTCACTTGTCAGTGAAAGAGAAAGCAGAAAATATTTTTTGAGAATAAATTTCCTGTAGTGAATTGAGAAATTTTGACACGAGACAAGATTGCCAGAATTGCATCCATAAAGTGTTGCCTATAGCCTGGGAACAATTCGTCAGAATTACGAAGAAAACCATTGCAATTAAAAAATGTAATCAGCATTTGAGCGTTATTCATTTCAATTTGTCACATCATGCTTGTTTGGTTCAAAATTGCCAGGTGCAACTGACCTGCGAAGTGTTACGGTTTTCACTACTGTACTGTATGATACAATGATCAAGCATTTCAATTACGTACAGTCGTACACCATGGATTCACTCACATGACTGCCATAGTGCCATGTGAAGTGTGATTTGTCTCTTGTGGAATTTAAATACTGATTGTTGTTATTGATGGCTATAGGCATGCATGTGAGCCCAGTAACCGGAAGGATACTGCGCCCGACGATTTTGCCTACCTGGAGTATTTGGAGCTCAATACTGTAGGTGCTATTGAGCTTTAGCGCCACAAGCCGCCGCTTTGAAGTCACTCTTTGCCAAAGATTGGGAACTGTAGGAAAGCAAATTAAACATAGAGGGCAGCAGGAGTAAAAAATGGCCGCGCTCAAAGAAACGATAGTGACGTACCAGGTGACATCGCTGCTCATGCGAGAAGGGGCCTCACCAAGCGCTTACTGTTCCATTATCTTCTCAGATTATACCGCTGTGCCAATATGTCTATCACGATTCTTGATGGAGGACTTGCTACGTGTATAGAGAAATTGTTTCAACGGCATCTCGGTAACGGTTCTCTGTGGAGTGCGAAAATCTTGGCACAGGAGCCATCTGTGATCACTGCTGTGCACGAGGCTTTTCTTGCTGCAGGAGCGAGCATAATAACGACTGCTACGTACCAAGCCTCCGTCGATGGATTCGAGAAGTTCTTGGGATTGGACCGAAAATCAGCAATTGATGTTATCCGTCGATCTGTTCTATTAGCAAAGACGGNGCCGCTTTGAAGTCACTCTTTGCCAAAGATTGGGAACTGTAGGAAAGCAAATTAAACATAGAGGGCAGCAGGAGTAAAAAATGGCCGCGCTCAAAGAAACGATAGTGACGTACCAGGTGACATCGCTGCTCATGCGAGAAGGGGCCTCACCAAGCGCTTACTGTTCCATTATCTTCTCAGATTATACCGCTGTGCCAATATGTCTATCACGATTCTTGATGGAGGACTTGCTACGTGTATAGAGAAATTGTTTCAACGGCATCTCGGTAACGGTTCTCTGTGGAGTGCGAAAATCTTGGCACAGGAGCCATCTGTGATCACTGCTGTGCACGAGGCTTTTCTTGCTGCAGGAGCGAGCATAATAACGACTGCTACGTACCAAGCCTCCGTCGATGGATTCGAGAAGTTCTTGGGATTGGACCGAAAATCAGCAATTGATGTTATCCGTCGATCTGTTCTATTAGCAAAGACGGCTAAAGGAAATCAGGGAAAAACAGCGGAAGGTAAGGGAAAAAGTATCGAATTACCTTTTACTGTATTCGCATTCATGCGTGAAATTGCGTTGTTTTAGTTTCTATTGCAGGGTCAGTCGGTCCGTATGGCGCTTGTTTGGCCGATGGATCTGAATACACGGGATCGTATCTGAATGATGCGACGATCACAAACGAATTTTTAAAGGCGTGGCACCGACCAAGAATTGAAGCTTTGCTGAGCGAAGGTGCCCGTTACTTTGTTGCGTTTCTGTCTTTTTCACGATCGTTGCAATGACGGAAGTTGTGTTTCTGCATCCTGACGTTCTTTTCCTCATAGCAACCACTACTATTACTGTGGGAGCTTACTGTGTGTTCAAATCATCGATGCTACTGATCTCATACCTTTGAAATTAACGTTTCCCGATACGCGTGTAGGCGTATTATGTTCACACGAGTTAGAATGTACGCGTGTACAACGCCTGACTCTTCGTTTCAAAATCGCAGTCGAATTGTTGACAAAATTTTGATGAATAACAACATAATTGAATCTCTCCTGTAGAATTTGGATGCCGTCACATCGTGGCAGCAAGACTTATCCGCTTATTGTGCTTAGATTGTGTGATTGAAGCAAAGCACACGTTTCCTTCATTAAAGTCCACTTTTTGAAATTTTCCTGTACGATAGCTACAATTTCTCTTGCATTGATTTTTCTTGTCGTGAAACTATTTTTCACTTATTTCAGCATTACAGACGAATGTTTGCATGTTTGTGCTAAAGCATGATTGACAGCATTCGATGAACAAGGTGTAACTCGTAGAAGATCCTTTACCGTCGGTAAAAAGAAATCATCAATGATATGTTCGCTTGCAAGTCACGTGAAATTCTGTGTATTGGGAAGCTTGCCGCTCCAAGATTTTTTGAGGAATTTTCACGCTGCTTACTTCGTTCATGTTATTTTCGTTGACTGATTTTCGCCTGCGTAATTTTCATACCGTGTGATGTTTTCTAACCGCTGAAGTTTTTCCTCGCGTCACATTCCTGACTTCCGAAAATAAGTTTCTCTCCTCTAAGAAAAAAAGCATGTGATGCGTGAGATGCTCTTCATAACTGTTTAGAAACGCGTGTGGGTCTTTGAAACCTCGGATTTTTTACACAGGAGTTGATGTGTTGGCAGTGGAAACGCTTCCAGGGGCCCGGGAAGCTGAAGCCATTGCAGACCTTCTCAAAGAATTCCCTGGTTCCAAAGCTTGGTATTCCTTCTCATGTCGTAGCGGAACACAAACCAGTTACGGTGAAGACATTGGGGAAAGCGTTTCTAGGGTGGTTCGCGTTGGTGGGCCCCAAGTGTTCGCTGTTGGCGTCAATTGTTGTTCGCCAAAGAATGTGACTGAGTCGATCTTGCGGATTCGTGTTTGTGTTGGTCCGGAAATTCCTGTGATTGTGTACCCGAATTCGGGGGAAGAGTTCGTCCCATCGACGAAGACGTTTTGTGGAAGTGCTTTCGACATTGTTGAACTCAGTGAGCAGTGGATCGCGGCTGGTGCCACCTTAGTAGGTGGTTGCTGTAGGGTTTATCCTGATGATATTCGCCGACTTAGTCAGAAAGTCAAGATGTTGTGTTAGTAAACGATATTTTTCAATTTGCAATTATAATAGCGAAAGTTAAAGCCTTCATCTGAATTTTCCGCAAAATTACCGAATGTTTGCCACAGAAAGTTTGATTCATAATTTCACGGAAGTATTTCAACCCATATACAGTATAATCCGTTATTTGCTGGCGGAAACGAAATAAGTGCGACATTCTTGGAGAAATCACGACTTTTCACTTCTTTCAATCTGCAATACTGTTCCTTGTGCTCGTGGCGGATTTTGTGTGTGAAAGTTTCGTTGCGATTAATGCTTTGACTAATCATGTACCTGCATTTTGCGCTTGTCGTGATGCAGTAATTTTACTGCAATCTCAGGGACGGAAGTTTCATGCTGTGCCTCAGAATATCACGTTCCGTATTCCTGCAGATTTAATGCGTGGACATGTTGTGGAACGTTGCTTTTCGTGTACGGAACTGTTCGAAAGTAATCGCGGGCTTTAACCGCCAACGAGCCGGCTTGATTAAATTTGATCGTGAATTGACAACCACTGTTAATACTCCTTGTGAGGTTAAGAGTCCTGAGAATCCTGAGGCTGCTGTGGAAGGATGTTCCGGAGGGAAACGTTTTAAAGTCAAGACTCCAATTGGTAAATCCTTATTAGAAAATGGTTGAATACCATATTTACTTAAGTACCAAACGTACTTTTTTTCCTGAAAATTGAAGTAGGATAAAGGGGGGCGCGTCATAGGCGGGTATAAAATTTTCAAGAAGTTGCTGGAGTTTAGGTGTTCATTATGCAGTCAAATCTCGATTTAGTGCCACCATTTGTTTTGGCACATTTTGTGAAATTGGTTCGCCTGTCAGTCTGTTTTGTTAGAGAAGAGGCCTTAGTAAGTACCTGAAATTTGAAGCTCAAATTTACCGTTTTGATATCGTCGAAGCAGAATATATTAGACTTTCAGTCGTATAATGTGTAGTCACTCCAGTGGAAGAATTTCAAAATTCTTCCACTAAATTGATGGCTGACTGTATTGATTAGAATGGGACAATTTTAATCAATTTTTACGGAAAATCGCGTTGTAATAAAAACAATTGAAAATTGGTTCATGCGTGTCTAAATTCAAATCGGGGTGGTCTTATTCTTGAATTACTTCAGTTTCAGAGACATCGAAAATGTGGTGCGCGTCTTACTGAAAAGTTGGAGGGAAGTCTTGAGTGGCCGTTGCGTAAGAAGTTAGCATATTATTTTTCCAGTTTTGCTTTAAGGTTTTATGTTAATAATTATGCTCCATAGCATCCGCTGAAGGAAGGCTAAAAACAATCAAGTGCTTCAAATAATGCACCCAAAATCATCTTCTATTTTTTTCCGTCTCCATACCGTTGCAGTTATGGAACAGTTGATAACTGGTGCATTGAAGTAGTCCACGGAAGTTCGGGGAAAGAACTACCGTATTTTTGCTCTGTCAGTAGTACAGCCTTTATAATTACGACTTATTGTTCCCTAGATGACCTCGGAGAACAAAGCAATGTTCATCGCGATCAAGAGAAACAGCCACTTCCGGAATTTCCAGATGGCGTGAATCCGAAAACGGGTGAAGTCGGAGGACCGCGAGGTCCTGAACCGACTCGTTACGGAGACTGGGAACGTAAAGGCAGAGTTTCGGATTTTTAGCGTGAAATCCTAAAACCCGAAGTGCAATAGTCATTGAATTTTTCTCTTTCCGCTGTTCAACGTGTGATTTGGAAACTTTCTCACGTTTTCTTTTTTTGGGCCTTGGCCTTCTTGATGCATAGTGAACTCGAGGTTGAAAAGGAATGAACTCTTTCAGGACGTGCTTAGTTTTAAATTCAAATGATCTGAGTGTGAATGATGGCGGCGATCGGATTATCTCGCTTGAGAAGTTTTCGGCCGGTTTTCAACCCGCGGTTGCTTCAGTACAGATCTTCCTATGTGATACTGTAAGTCTGAAGAATTATTATATTTATTTTTCGTGGTGAGTAAATTGTGCATGATTCCGATGACAGAGTACCCGAAATCCCCCCGGATGATGCGACGAACAATAGCCTGTTTCGGTTGGATGAATATCCCGATTTCAATGAAGAACCAGCCACAAAGGCTTATTTTGCCCTTGGTAAACGAATGCTGGAGTTCGAGTCAAACGTTGAAAAACTCGAGGCGGAATTATCTGGTGAGTAAAAAGGATTTTCACATCGACTAATTCAAGTGTGTAATTTTTTTTTCTTGAATTCACCTTCGCCGGATCGTGTTCAGTTTCATGAAGTTATTTCGTGACACTTTTCCATCAGATACGAAGTTGCCAAAACGTCCTGAAACCGTACTTGACCCCTTGGAACGCTTGGTTTGTCCGTTGGATTATGCCTGGAGTGCCGCGAAAAACATGTACATCTGCAGAACGGATCTGATGCCTTCGAGTTCTTATGTTCCGTTGCACGACAGAGTGCGTCGGGTGCGCGCATCGAAGTTCACTAGTTTACCTATTTATCATGCCGTCAAGGTGAGATAAATATCGGATTTATTTTTATGGCATCGTTTTTTTCACGAATAATGTGCGATCAGGAGATGAAAGCGGACGAGGATGTACTAAAATTGACAGACTCGCAGCGACGTGTCGCGGATAAGTATATACTTGAGGCGAAGTTGAATGGCATTGAACTGAGTGGGAAGAAGAAGGATCAGCTGACTGGAACCTTGACTAAGTTGGAGGCTGCCCGGTCAGACTTTAAGCTCAAAGCACAGGTTTGCGGAGGATTATTTTTCTGGTTTTGGTTCACAATTTCTCTCCGTTTGTATTGCATTTCAAGTTTTATAATTTTTTTGTGGGTTTTAGGCTGCCCTTGGTACGTTTAAGCATTACATCACCGATACGTCGCTTGTTCGAGATTTCCCTGAAGACTTGTTGAAGGCAATGGCTGTGAATGGGTGAGGAACATCGGCTTTGAAACTTGAATACTGTACATGACTTCTTTACCAAGTTTCTCGATGTAGTCTCCCGAAAGGTTCCTTTTCATAGTATCCCTTTTATCCCGTAAGGATCTAGGACATTTCGAGACGGACAATTGGAGGCAAAAAAAAAAAAAAATTAAGACAGATACGATTTGAGACAGAAACATTTTGAGACATGTAAAATTCGAGAAAAAAATTGCAAGACAAATATGATTAATTTTTTGGTAATTCGAAAGCATGTACTAATTTTGCTCCACTGACATTGGAGAAGTGTAGTATTATCTGCTTTCATTCCCTCTTTTTGACCTGATTATCCCTGCTGAGAAACCATTAAATTTTCAGGAATGTTTATGATATTTCTGGTTATGCAATTCTTAACTTGTAACATTAATTGTATACTGCTATTAATTCATGGTACTGTCTTATGTTCAACAAAGGCACTCGCATCATCAGTCTGGATAATTGTTAGAGTATTTCAGTGGGAACCTCACTCTATCCAAACAAGTGTTTTACTGTACTGCACAAAAAACCTCTCGTGAATCTCTGATTTTTACGGTTTCTAATGGCCCCGTCTGAAATTTATCATTTCTTGAATTTTCTGTCTCAATTTACCTGAATCTCTTTCTGAAAATTTTGTTGTTTTTCTGAAAATTTATTGAGCACTTTTCACAAATATTAACTTCAATTTTGCAATTATTTGTGAGGAATTGCCCGCATAGGTGGAAGAAATCTTGTTACAGCTTCTGAAGACATTGAATCTAAGAGATGATTCTGTGTTGCATTGCTTTTTAACGCTGATTGTATTGCTCGTAAAATTATATACTGTAGTATAGCTCGTAAAATTGATTTCCTGTATAATTTCATGCGGGTGACAACGAACCACTTCCTCAAATTGTTAATTGAATTGGAATTTTTTATCTTCCCAGGGGCGATTCGCCTGAAATTGGACCTTGGAAAGTCACGCTTCAGCCGGTAATTTACAATAGGTTCCTGGAATATTGTCCAGATCGTGTGCAGCGATGGAATGCGCACCAAGCCGAAGTCACCTTGTGTGCGGCTCACATCAATCAAGAATTGAATCATTCCATCACACTGGAGGATATCCGCTCTCATAGGTAAAGCTTCGTGTGATTCAGGCTAGATATTTCGAAAATTTCTTCGGTGGGGGTCTTTTTTTCTCTTGAAACTTCTGTTTCTTGCTCATTTGAACCCTTTCGTCACAGCTCGGAAAAATTTGAATGATACAGTCTCTGAAGAAATATTTTCTCAGTTTCATCGAAAAGGGTTTGCGTTTCTCCCGTAGCGGAGTGACATTTGTTGTGACATTTTTGTGCATTCGTGCACGTTTCTTCATGGAGATAACATCGTTTTCGTAGACATAGAGAATGACACACGTTATATAATATTCACGTTTTTGTTCGTTGATCTGTGCATGTTTGTTTTTCTTCGTGATTTTGGATTTTTCTCGTCGTCTACGCTTTTCGTTCATTCTTATGTTTCACTTCGTGGGTTCTCCTGTTTTCAGGCGGGATTTGGCCAAGTTACTGGGTTACGAAACATACGTGGACATGTCGATGGAGACGAAGATGGCTGGTAATATGGAGACAGTGCAGTCCATGATCGCGACTCTTCTACTGAGTGGTACGAGAAATTCTGTCTTACATGAGAATATTTTTCAATCTTGATTTTAACGTGCTCAATTGCAACATTAGCAATATATTGAATATTAGCTTGAAATTAAGTGTACATTGGTGTTTACGAAAAGTCGTTATTTAGCGAACGTGCAGAAATTTCTGATCTCTTCGTAAGATTTATCACCAAATTTGACGCTCTCTGGTTGATGGAGCAGTACTTGAGAGAATTTATTCTTTTTTCTACGATCTTCCTCTTTCAGATTTCGGCTGATCATTCACTGGCAAAATGTTCTCTTAAAAACCACGAAATTCCTTTTGCCTGGATGGAGAGTAGTTGTGTTAAGTTTCTCGTGGGAACTACTGTACCTGAAATTAGAAAATTGTGAAACATACGGATGTTCCTCGACATCGAGACGAATTTCAATTGCAACTGTTCTCAATTTTGTGTACGTCTGATTTTTGAACCTAAAATTTTTACCTACAACAAAAATCAGATGAAGCTTTCAGAAAGAGAAGAATTGGGTCAAGGGTTTCGAATCTGTTCTATAATTATTCATATTCTGCATATTCATATATAGTACATATATGTATGTACAGTAAATACAGTATTTTTTCGCAAGAATTGCTGGAAGTCATGATTGTATTTTTTCGTGTACTTTCTATGTTTCTATGTATTTTTTTTTCAGCGAAAAGTGCGCAAGAAGAGGAATTGGACAGCTTGACGAAGTTCGCATCTGATCGTGGCTTCAAATCACCACTGGAGCTTTGGGATGTTCCTTACTGGCGAAGGAAACAGAGGCGAACGCTGACTCCTAGGTGAATGAAAATCAAGTTAATACTCGAGTCATGGCCTGAAACTCAAGTTATTGTACGTTTTCCTGCAGTGTTGGGGACGTGGAATCACTGAAGGATTTCTTCCCGCTTGAAGTCGTCTTCCGCGCGGCACTGAGTCTTTGCCAAGACTTATTCGGTGTGGTTTTTGTAGACGCGACAGAAACTGCGAGCGTGTGGAACCCCGACACTAGATTCTTCAAAGTCATTGACGAAGCGTCTGGACGGGAAATCGGTGCTTTCTATTTCGATCCGTATATGAGGTTAGTATCGTGGAGTAATTGAAACCTTGCGGAGAGACGAGAAACACTTGGCTGTGGGATTATTTTTCGATGTGAAAGGCCGGGTCAAAAGCTTTACACGCGGGAGGATGCGTCCTGGATGATCGGCATGCGTCAGAGAAGCGACTTGCTGCGAACGAAGCCAATCGCATCGTTGATTACGAATTTCCCCAAGCCGGGAAATAACCCGTGTTGTTTGACGCTTCAGCAAGTCGAGCTGCTTTTTGAACGTGTGAGTAATCGTGATAAAATTGACCCTCAACGTCTCAAACCTCCTTGAGTCGAATATTTTTCAAGTTCCCCTCTGAATTTCCTCAGAAACAGTGCATTAAAAATCTCCCTAACTCGAAGGCTTTTTCTCTCAAATCTCCTTAACACGGATTTTCTGAGGCCTTTTGGCTAGTGTTTTTTTTGGCATAGGAAAGGAAAAAAAGCAATGTGACGTAACTTTATGTGTTTTGTAAGGAAAAGGAAGACTAATCGTGCAAATTAAGCCTTGCCTCCCACTGCAGAATCTTCCAACTAATTCAAGGCCCAGAATATCACTATTTACAATATCCTACGATTCTTATTCCTTTCCCTTTGCAAGGACGCTTGTTTCCCAAACTCAAGACTTATCCAACTCAAATTCTTCTTATGGCCCCTTGAAATTCGTCCTGAAAATGTTTGACTATACTGTACATGTGTTTTCCAAAGGGAGTGTACTTGCTACAATCTAAGCCAGGTACAAGAAAAGGTTGAAAATATATAATATTGCGCAGTAACCCTTAATTTAGTGCCACCCTTGCATTGTGCCACAAATTTCCCTGGCACGAATCTCCTTCCATTTTGTTCTTACAGGAAGCCTGATTTAGTGCAACTCACTTAGTTTCATGAAAATTTCTTGTCATGGATGAAAAATGTGCCAAAATCAAAGAAATCGTGGCATTTAATTCGAGGGTTGACTGTACTGTAAAAGGATTTGAGAATAACAGGCTTATTTGTGTCAGGTCTTGATTGTAACAAAGAACCTCGAAGGGAAAGAAGGAGTCGTTTAAATGTTCTCAAAACCAAATTTTAACGATTTGACAGCGATGTCACGTGCTCCTATCTTTCATTTGCTGCCTTGAATCCTCAATCGAAATAATCTTTGTGTTATTTTTTCAGGAGTAGTTCCGGGTTATTTTTCACTTTTTTAATTGAATAATGTTTGAGGCACGCGAAATTAATTTGCTAACAAAGCCTGGAAGATCCTCTTACCCCATGTAGTCGAAGTTGCTCGATCTGTATTTTCCGGTGAAATTTTTCAAGGGAACGCGCGTGATCCCCCAAAGTCAACACGGATATATTGAAAGATGCGTCTGAAAACTGTGCTGGAATTTTATTTTATGAATGAAACCTGCTTTTGAGAAACTTGAAACGAGCATTTAGAAGAAGAGGCTGATCAGGAAAAAAGTTTAATGTATTTTGGTACGTAGAGCAAGTACCGTATGTACCACGTGCATTTTAATCTTTTGGCATAGAATTTGCCTAGAAACCTATTCCGGTGCAAGGCGCGCACCGAAGTTCTTCCGGGTGTAAAATATCCCTTTTTCTTCAAATTTCGGTGTTCAACTCAATAATGATCATGTGAATTGTCATAATAACGAGAAGCCTTGTAACAGAGTAAGTGCCAAATGTAAATTCCTACTCATAATTTCTCGTACGCAGCTCCCGTATGACGATAGCACCACTGATCGTTTCTTTTCTTCAAGAAAATTTGTACCTGCGTACCATTTCTGTTTTAGTTTTGCAAAAAAAAGGTGCGTGTGGTACTTGGGTAAACACACGTGGACTCTTTACGACAAAATTGTTTTTGATCACTTTCTCTGTACATATAACGCATTCATTTTTGGCACCAAAGAGTCCTCTCCCGATGTTATAGCGGTTCTCTGCAACGAATTTTTTCTGGTACCTTGCATTTTTTTGTAGAGTCCACCTGTACTTTTTTGAAATACTGTACTGCACGTGCTGATAAGATCTTCTCGCCAATAATTTAGAAGGATCGAAGGAAGTTCGCGCATAAATTCGAACTCCGCGTTATTGCACCACGATTGATGGAGGCATTGATTAATCATCAAGTCATTATTGTCCTTATTTGCAGTTGGGAGAAGTATTGCAGCACGTTCTCACCGAAGCCTCGTACAGCGAGGTTTCCGGCACCAATAACATTGAATGGGACGCGGCGAAATCGGTGCCTGACTTCTTCAAGCAATGGTATGATCGAAGTGCGGGTTTCGTTGAGTTGTGACGTGATACGATTTGAGCTTCAACAGGCTGAAAGAACCGCGTGTTTTGCAACAAATCAGCTCGAATGTGCAAACGGGCGACGGTTTGACCTACGAGCAAGCGGAAGAAGTGGCAAAAATTTCGAATTTCATGGCTGGTTACGATCTCACTCGCGAACTGTACATTTCCACGCTGGATCTGGAGATGTATTCGACGTGAGTTTCGTCGTGGTTTTAAAAGGAAACTGCTCGTTTTGGCGATGATCTCTCTTGACTTGTATTATTTTCCTTGGTTTTTCTAGGAATGAATTCTGGATTGACGTGGTGCGGAGGCTGTGGCCAAAGTTCTTTCCGTTCGAGCGAATGAAGAAGGACGTTCACCCGTGTTCCTTGTACGCCATCTTCAGCGATGAATGGGCAGCCGCTTACTATTCTCACATCTGGTCCCGCATGATTGCGGCCGACTCTTTCAATGCTTTGAAAGAAGTTGGACTCGAGAACAAGGACGAAGTCCGACGGGTTGGCAGAAGGTGCGTATATTTCTGGAGTAGTACGGTATTTTGTTACTTTGCTATGTTTCTTTGAACGTTTTGCGTGAATATTAAGGGCTCACTCAGAATCTATGCACACTTAAAATTTGGAAAATTTAATTGGGAACTATGATGCCCCCATTTTTGGAAATACTGTACTGTACAGTCAAAACCCGATATAGTGGCATTGTTTGTCCAGGCACACTTTGTGGCACTACATTGGGGGTTTTGTATGATAAGAAAATTCATTTGAAGGCCTCTAAAATAGGTAAAACTGCATTGTTAGCAGAATTTTATGTCATTGAGTCTGTTTTTTTTTTTTTCAGAAGATAAACCCGCTCAAAATAATTTTGGGTCAAGTGAACTGTTTTTATTGCATTAAAATTAATTTTTAGAGCATAATACATCCGATATTTTACACACTGGGCCAAGTAAAGAGTGGAACTTTTTCTTGCAGTTTTCGATCAACCTTTCAGTAAAAGCACTCATTTCCAAGATCAGGATTAGTGATTTTCAAATATTTCAAGAGACTTCCTGTTTTGAGATGTTCTTTGCTGTGGAGTACATTCAAATTAAGCTGCCCTGTTGCATTTAAATTCAGAAATATATTTTTTTACTTATCCTGAGAATGGGCATGTGATTCTCAGTAATAATAGCCTGATAATATCCCTAGAAATATGTCTCAATTTCTCTGATTTTGACCCATTTATCATCAATGACAGGAATTTTTTGTGACACTAAGTGAATTGGCACTAAATTGGGGCTTTCCTTAAGAACACAATGGAGGGAGATTTGTTCCAGAAAAATTTGTGGCACTAAATCAAGGGTTGACTGTACCATATTTTCTCAAGTACTAAGCACACCTTTTTCTCAAAATTCAGACAAAACAGAGGATCCTACTAGAAAGTTGATGAAGTTTTGATGTACCGTATTATACAGTACAGTATTTGATTTTACAGTATTGGGAGAACGTTTTGGATGAATTTTCGGATGAAAACTCTTCGTAGTGGAAATAATTTAAAATTACTGTAATTTAATTCCAGGTGATTCATGTCTGAAGTAACATTTGTGTGTTCTCGGTTTTTTTCAAAATTTGCAGCTTTAAGGTCACTAAAAATAGGATATGTGTCATACTTGGATATAAAATTATGCACACATATTTTGACAGAATATTCCCGGTGTACATCTTACTTGAGGGCCAGTGGTACTCAAGTAAATTTGGGGTAGATTATGACAAAAGTATATCAGGGTAAGTGGAATGAAATCTGAGAGACTGTACTGTATTTATTTAGGATATTAACAAAGCGTAAATTTGTATTCCCAATTGATCTTTTGTTTGTCAATGTCAGAACGTTCTGCTGCATAATATTATTCCACGTTTCACTCAGCATAGTGAGGAATCTTTTTTTATTAAGATGCCTGAGACAAAGTGTTCACTTCAGATATTTTTATTTTTTCGGAAGCACAAGATACAATGACATTTGATACAGTTCATTCTTCTGAAGTTTGCTGCAAAGTAATTAGATATTGGTAAATTTCACTTTTCACCTAAATTTTAGTGATTGGGCTCTCAGGCATTTTGGGAAAACTGGAGATACATCATGTTTTAAAGGGAACTATTTCCTGATCAATATAAATGATGAGTTTTCTAAACTGAAATTGTTTGATAATTGAATTTTACTTTTCAGATTTCGGGAATCGTTTCTAGCGCTGGGTGGATCGTGTCATCCTAGTGAAGTTTTCAGAAGATTCCGCGGCCGAGATCCTTCCCCGGAAGCACTCTTAATCGCATTGGGATTGAAGAAATTAGAAAGATCAGTAAATTGATGTTCGTTGTTGAACGGTAAACGTGCAATTGTTGGTACTGTATTAGTGGTTTCGAGCGTCATGTAGGACATGTTTTTGTCCTGTATGAGTCACAATTTGATTTGTGATAAAAATGCCTAAAGCTGTCGGAGCGCGTTGGTCTGTTTAATGAAAAGATTTTGTGGAAAAATTTTTACACCTTTATTGTTAGACTAATTGCACCTGCATGAAAGCCCAAAAGTTGATTTCGACGTCATGACGATTTCAAATCCCTCATTCTCCATTACTTAAAGGGCACACGCAGCATTAACCAAGAAACGGGTTCCCGATTTTCGCCAACGTCACCAGTGACAATTGACTCCCTTCATCTGTCATTCCTTGAACGTAGAATTTCTTGAAAACCGCGTACGAGGAATTGGCCCACAAAGATGTAGTGTTCTGGTCGACATCATCCGGCAGGTCCGTTTCCTTCGATATCACAGATATGCCACAGAGGAAGGACATCGGGTAATCTCGATTTGCTTGCAGACGGGATCTGCTCAGGTCACACATGACCGGGCTTCCCGGCGGGAAATTCTGAAGAAAGCATTATTGATTTACTGATTACATCATCAGGCACAATCTGACTTTGGGACACGTTAAAGTCTAAAAATCTGTCCCAACATAAGGACAACGTCTCGAGATACGGACATTTTACCATCTGTGGACCAATGGATTCATTTTCAACATTTTGATATTTCTTGAAGAACTGAGCTTGGTATATTCCCAAATAAATATGTACTGCATTTTATATCATAAATTAAGCACGTATTGAGCAGGCTTCTTTTTTCAAAATTTATTCAATCATTTGTGCACATTCTAGAGACTTCTGCTTGTTCGTTTCTTTTTCGGATCCAAAAAGATAGATTCAATTATATTTTCTTAGGTAGTGTCATTTTCTGTTACTTGAAGCTGAGAAAAAATATCTTATTCAATTGTTTGGGGACTTCCTCCAAATCTTAAGCAGTAATTTCAACCGGAGGACCAATCAAATACATGTATATTCTCATGGACGTTGAAGGGTAAACGTGATTTGATGTTCCAATGTAGGGGCAGGGTCAAAGCACCAATTATGTCCGCATCTTGGGGCCCTATACTACACTGTAACAATCTGTATTCAAGTTTTCATTCAGAAAAATTGAAGCCAGGCTTTTATGATGATGCTGCAGATCCTGTCTCATAAGTATACGTAATAGCGTCATTACTGCTTGTTTCTGCATAAATCCCAACTCCTTCTCTCACCTTGGTACAAATTCAGTGAAGGATAAGAAAAAAGGATGCAAAATACGTTTGAATATTCAAAGTGGGAGGATTCTCACCAGCAACTGAGTACCGTACATGTGCTTTGCACATAGAACTTCGTTTCTGTCAAGTCCCCAAGCAGGAAGATCAAACATGGAGCACTTGGAAATTTCCATGATTTCCAAAACCCCCGTCATTATTTTTCCGTTATCTAAAGTTCCCTTGACGGCGACCATGGTTGCAAACATGCCTAAAGAGCATTGCAAATTATCTTGAATGACGTTTGGATCATCTTTTATCTTCAACCAACACACACACAAATACAATTTTCAAAAAGTCCAATTTCAGCATCCGTGAAGCAGCACAAAAAACAGTGCAAACAAAAAACTACAGTGTAAATTTTCAGGTTGCAGAAACATTTCATGATGTTCTTTCCATTGATGCTGGAAGATTTGAAAGCAGCTAGAAAATAAAGTTTAACCCCAAAACTCATACCTCCTGTAGTCAAATACTTCCCTGCATTGCATTTTTTCAAGTCCCAGTCTGAATTCCCATAAAAATGCGTTAAGAATCTCCCTAACTCGAAGGCTTTCACCTCAAACCTTCATGTATCAAATTTTGTGGGGACCTTTTGGCTATAATTTTATTGACACAGGAAAGAGACAAGCAGAAAAGTTAGCAAAGTGTTTTGAAATGAAGTGAAAGACTAATTTGGCAAATGTACCCTTGAATTCAAATTCTATTCAGTATACTGTAAACTCATTTAAGAAGCAATTTAAGGTCTAGAATATTGCCAATAACAATTTCCAGTAATTTTTCCGTTTTTCCCAAACACAACTGATTGTTTTCCCTAACTTGAGCCCTGTCTAATCTATCTCACATGTTCTCCTGGTCCTTTGATTTTTGACTGTAGTTTATTCTGATCAAGAATCCAAATCCAATCGACAGAACCAAAGGTTGAACTTCGCTGTACTTCAACTGTTACCGTAATTTCCAAAAATGTAGTCATGCGATCTTACCAGTGAAATTTTTTGTTTCCGGATAATTTACGGGGTAAGCTTCCGAAGAAAACATGATCGGTTGTGACAGTCTCAGCACAACGCTCCTTTTCCTCGCCATGTGGGCTTCTCCCCGCACCAAGTAGTTGTATCTTCAAACCAAATAATTAATCGCACGATCGTCACAAGACTAAAAATCGGGCGAAGGAATTCAAAAGTTGTTACAGTACTTGACAGGGGAATGGAGGAATGAACTTGGATGAAAGTCAAACCAATCCACCACGTCTACCGCGTGCCAGCGCAAACTTGACCTTGCCTCCACTTTGTACGAGACCTGGGCACAGGAAATCACTGTTGAACCTCTCGATAATTTTTTTCCCCTATGGCTAATTTGTTTCAAGTCCCTGCCTGACTTTTCTTGGAAACAATACGAATCTCGAATATTGGCTCTCAGACCCCCATCAAGTGTGTGTGCTTTTTCCTTTTTCGAAGTTGCTTTTTTCCCCCTACAAATTGTCTTTGCTTCTCCCTTGAAATTCGACTGTTGTTGTGTTTGATGACGGAAAAGTTCACGTCATCACTCACTTTCAGGTGCTGGGTGCCCTGGGCAAATTTCTCCATGCATTCCCTCAATGTGAGCACTAAAGTGTCCGAAAGAATAACCCCTGCGCAGCTGACTGTCACGGGTGGCTCAGAGACTCCATGACCCACAAGAGACGGGATGGCCAAGAACGGATAAAAAATAGGATCTGTCCACACATTAAAACTTCAATCAAGTAAATGCTGAAAGTCGGTCGCGAGCCATCCTCACATGCCTGGTACAATCCGATTCATACCCAAGGGTGCGGGGCTGCCAATTTTTCCGCCATCATAAGATCCTAAAGAAAGATGCAATGCTTGTTACGATGGATAACAGGGTTTGCCAAAATATTCCTGTGCATTGTTCCAGGTGCGCACACGATACTACAGTATACTGTACAGTACAGCAGTAATCTTGCACACATCAAAGTGATCCAGAACCCTGCTTTTAGAGGCCACGGTGTACGATAGAAAGAAAATGTAATTTCAACTGCCAGTGACATCTACCGAGACTCGAAAAATTTGCCACCAGAAACCGACCAACCTCCGATCATCCGGATCACAAATTACTCACAGCGTGGTAATATATCCGAAAACCAAGCCAGTACCTTTACTCATTCAACAGGTAGGAGATTCTGTCTCCTGTAAATTCCGAAGATGTCAAAAACTTCAATGTCAAAACCATTGAGGTACTTTTAAGCTCGCTAACAGCACCTCCATCGAGAAATAAGTACCGTCTTATGGCCAAAATCGCACTATAAAAGTCGAACATTTTTGTGTGGAAATTTGCAAACAGGATATAAACGAACCGCAAGCAATTCTCAAGTTGGCGATTATGGCAAGATGTCAGGCATAATCCTAATAAATCATCAAGTGGACTGAAAGTTATCAAATCCTTGATACACAGTACTGTACTGTACAGTACTTCACTTGAGGATTCGAAAATAACTTCATGCGACACCTATCTGATATTGAACGAAATACAGTTCAAGTCCCATCATCCGACGTCAACATTGACGGAACAGCAAGTTGTGAGCTCATCTCTTACAGGTTACAGGTTCGGATTTACAAAAGTTTGATAAAATTACAACGGATTCCATCGATTAATCTGACGGATAGTGACACGCTCAGAAATTGGCACTAACGGTTGCATTAGGAAAAAAAAAAAGAAAACCTCACTTATTCCGTAACAGTAAAAATGAATGCTCACTTTCTTCAGAACGGATGAAGCTTTTCAAAGTTTTCTTCATCCAATTCAAATAATTGGATACCTTGGTATAAATCCCGGGGGCGTTAGCTTCACCACATGCGCCAGCTTCCGATTCAATCCCGCATAAGTATTGGCACAGCAACTTCTTTGAACTGTTGCCACTGAAAGAAAAGTACCACATTTTACTTCTGATCGAATATGCGAAATAATACAACATTTTTCATGAGAACAAATTAGATGCACAATAATTTGCATCAGAGATACCAGGTGCATGTGTTCACGCACAAGAGTTCCCAATACTATACGAGGAATAACGATTTGAAAACAATAAAATCTCAATTTACTGACTTCAAAAATAAATCAAAGGTTTTCTCGAAATGTATGTAAGACACGACCAAATTTCTGTTGCAATTTGACTGAAAGTAGCGGTACATTATCATATAGATTTTGCTGCATTGAGAAACCGTAAAATTTGAAAATTTCTGTTGGTCCTCCGGGGTTGAGCCTGTTAACTCAAGGGGAGCATACAAATCCCTAAAAATATCCGTTCTCCGAGGTTGATCTACAAAACCTATAATGCCAGAAAATAAAAGCTATTCGTCTTTTTTTGCAAGAATATAGCAGACCTCGCGCGGAAAATAAATCCTATTCCTTATCAAGATGAGCTTGAGCAAGGTGTTGAATAATTATAATAATTCTGAGCCTTGTTGAATAGGAAGGAAGGAGCATTCAAACGAAAAGAAAGCAACTCTCTACAGCATTTTCAAAACGATACAAACTATAGCGTGAAAGATAAATAAATAAGTTTAACAACATGAGAACAAAATTATTAAAAATCTTCAGCACGCAGAACATGTCGAACGAAAATAATCAAAACAAAAATAAATCAATCATAATCTCAAAACGAAAATAAAATCAGTAACCTTCCTTCATGCCCACCTTTCCATTTTTAGAAGACATTCCACTATAGCTGCTTAATTGGATCCTGAATTGATTTAAAAAAAAAAAAGCAGAAGCTTTTCAAATACCTGCCATTCAAGCAAAACTTTGTCGCAAAAATTTGCATGCAAAAGTTTTATGAAAATTTCATGAAACTTCGCCGGTCCATGGAAATTTTTTTTGGAAATTTGCCGGTCCGCGGGACGAAAAAGGTTGGGAACACTGCTCCAGACAACGATATACGGAACTTCCGACAGGCCTCTGACACACGGGAATGGGTGAATTGATGCTCACCCGGAGACAAACCGAACCAACGGCTCTTCGCAAACCAACGGACCCCCAGCATCGTCCTCGCAAGCGTCAGCTCGTCCTATTCTCATATATCCGCCACAAATCTGGTTCTCCGTTATTTTCACGACCGGGCTCTGGCAAACTGCAGTCGGTACAATGGGGACTCGGGCATTTTTCAAATACCTCGTTCGAGAACCATTCTTAGCTGCACTTCCCCAGCCGGAAGAAATGGCTCCTCCTTGACGAAGAGAGATACCGAAAGCGGACATTCTATAATGAAAACACTTTCTGAGCATTATTTTCAACAAACCTGCGGAGGGATTCACATTAGCACTGGACGGTAAATTGACCGGCCACACGAATTCGTTGAACTTCACTACGTTGTCCAGGAGAACCAAGGCGATGTCGTTTTGTCGAGTCGTTCTGCGATTTCACAAGATAGAAATCAGAATTAAGCCGTAGAAAATGATTGTTCAGTTATCCCACTTTGTTAGGCTACGTCCGGCACGGTACTGTACAATAAAATCGGTTCGTCATTCTCCAGATCGGTTCGCGCCTTTCGGTAATCAATTCGAGCGTCAACATTTCCATCAGAGCTTCATCCAGAAATTTCACATCACCTGCTATAACTCTGATGTAAAACAACAGCAAGTATCCTGAGCCTCTGTTCCTCTGGATGCGGTTCAGCTAGATCCCATTCCCCAGCCACCGCCGTCAACTTCCCAACGTTTTCCTATTTTAGCACTGCATTCAAGAAAATTCAGTGTTCAAAGAAGCGATATTTTCTTCGTTATCCACACCTCGACATTCCACGGAGGATCGAAACAATGAGCAGCTCCGAGAACCCAGGTTCTCGAAATCAACGCAGCGGCACACACGTGTTTCATGGATCCGTTTTTTCTCTCCAAGCCAATTTCCACCTGATACGGAACATCACCTGCAACACGACGAATATCCAACTGCTCCGAACGCGAACCCAAGTTAGGACCCAAAAGGAATAACCTTTCTTTGCTTCTTCGCCGGGCACAGAGAAAACGGCGACATCCTTCCTGCCAAACGAAGGCACTCGGATTCGGTCACCCCGTCCTCCCAATCCGACTTCCCGATGAAAAAGTTTCAAGAAATTTGCGAATTATCTTTCAAACGCTGGGAATGAGGAGAAGAAGAATCTCCTTACCCGTGAAAATCGCAGATATGATATGAGTGAAGAGCAACGCTCTAAAGTAAGTCATAACGTGCCAATCTAACAAAAACCGAGAAACGAAATACGCATTCAGGTAATTCTCAAGCTTCGGCACGAAATCGGCAACGAAAAATAAACTGAACTGAATGTTCTGAATGACTGGTGTATTCAAGAAGGAAATTTGAATTTTGGAACGTTGATGCTCGAATCCTTTTCCCTCAATTGAGCAAACTGCCGACAGTTGCCAGCGCATAGTTGGTCCATTGACCTTTAAGCGACGGATGAGAACCCGGTATCCAAAACTTTTTAAACAAACAGAAAGAGTCGGGGTTCCTGGGCTTTATCTTGTGCTTTCGTGGAGTCATCCGTTCGGATTCCGTCATATTGTTCGCCTCGCGGCTCATTTCATCCTCGTTATCCGAAGCAGCAGCACCATTCACTTCGCTGGCGTTTTTCGGCTTGACATGGTATTTCTGGTTCGGGGAGAAATCTTTTGACGGGGCATAATTGTTGTTGCTGCTGCCAGCAATTCCGTGGGATCGCTGAATCAAGTTTGACGGGTGTCGATTGATGATTGGATTTTCGCCGGGTTTACGGGTCACTATTCCGCAGAGGAAATTGCCACCGTTCTTGCCGCGACAGATGAGCCCGCTGCCCAAATTAAACTCCTGCATCACATAAACCAGGCATTCATCATTAAAGGGGAGGTAAACTAAAAATTAATCACCAACACACTGCTACGATGTTCATTTTAGTGTTTTCAAATGGAAGGAGGAATTTACGCTTCAAAATACTGTACTATCAAACCTCTTCACGTCAAACTTCAAGGGACCAGCAAAAGAATTCAAGTGAGTGAGGTTTCAAATGGAGAAAGAAGCATTTTGTTAGGGAAAAGAAAGATAAATTATAAGGAATGTAATTGATGATATTCTAGGCCTTAAATCGCATTTTAAATGAATTGACAGGATGCTAAACTAGGAGTTGAGGGTTAATTTGCCCAATTATATCCTTTCAATTCCTTTCAAAATGCACGTCTTTCTGTGTCAATAAAATTAATGTAGTTGAAAGATCCCCAACAAATTTGCGTTGGGGAGGTTAATGATGCATTATTTCTAGAGGAAATTTAGACGGGGACTTGAAAAAAAATAGACATAGGCAGCGGTTCGAGTTAAAATCAACAGTAATGTACTGTAATAATAAAAGTTTACGCCGCAAAGGTGCAAGAGAATAGGATTACTGTATATGATTTCCTCTACATCGTAGATCGTAAAATAAAATTTTCCAAGACTTATGATTAAACTAAATACTGTATAAAGAATACAAAATTGAGGTAGAGCATGACCGTGCACGGGAGTCCGTTGACGATTTTGGCGCAGATCACGTCGTCACTCATGCCCATGGTGGTGTCGTAACCGCATTTGGCCAAAGGCACGATTTCCGCTCTCGCCATCGCTACTCTGTCTGAATCCAGTGTCGACTTTCCGACCACCTCGGCCCACAACCCTGTAAACGCATGAGTCAAGAATAATTTTTAAAAATGTGCGAGTTTTTCTTTTCTTTCCGATAGACCTACAGTGGTTTGTAACAGATCAGAAAATGTACATTTTCGTCGTTCATCTGGAGTTTTTTTTTTTCATTCTCGCTAAACCCCAGTATCAGGATTACGCAAATTTTTTGCACGGTTTTGCATAATTCTCATCGCGTTGACGTTAGTTTAAATTCAGGATTCGTCTGGTTCGAGATAAAGGTGACACCTATCTGACGATCCAGAAATCTCCATCGATATAAAAAAAGGAGAACAAAAGTATCTTTCAAAACTTCCGCTTAAATTAAAAAAAAGTCTATGGTTCTCTCGACACGGGATTGAAGATACAAAATTAATAAAAGTTGCAAGAAGAAACGTAATCGATGAAAATCTCAAAATTGAATAAAATACCGTACTTCTGCGTTCTCGAAATTTCCTCAGACCTTCGCATACAACTAAAAAATATCCGCTCCTCAAAAGTCTAATACAGCAGACGTTATTCAGATTTTCGTAAAATTCTGAAAATCTTCGCAACTTTCTGAACAAAAACTCAAGACTTTTCTTTAAATAGAACGCATATGTTTTTAAAACGACTTTAAAAACGCCTCGGGAGTAGAGATGAATACATTTTCTAATTTCTCATAACTTATAGCTAACGCACATACAGTAATATATAAAAACACTTGTATTCTCGGTAAAGAAGCAGCATTCAAATAAACATAACGGACAACATATGGGAAATCGTTCGAAGATCATCCAAAAATAAATGAGCTTCAAAAGAACAAGAGAAAACATTTGTCAAATAAAATCCGACACGAAGCTGATGAAGAAAAAACCCCAACTAACCAATGAAGTTGGTGGAGCGCGGAAAGTTCACGGGGTAAGCGGCGTCTGAAAAGCTGACGCTGTTCGTGAACTGAAGCACAACGGCGTCCCCAGGCGGCGTAATGGCTCTTGAAGCAACTCTCTTCGTCTCTATAGGACTATAATCCACGAATAATTCAAAATTAAAATGCCTCCTCGTACGATTGACAACTCAATTACAGCTCGGAACGAACGAGAATATAAACGCTTACGGGACATTGACAAGAAGGTTTCATGAACTCCACGACATGAAAAGCTGAAGAATTAACTAGAAAATAATTCAAAACGCAGCAGGAAAAATTAAAAGTTCTAACTTGTGAGAATTTAATTCTTGAATGAGCATAAGCTTGACTGGAAACATTTGATTGCACCGATTTTGAAAGGAAATACAGTTGAACCTCGAGAACACAAACCTCCCATATTTCCAATACCTTCAATGCATGTCAATTTTTCTACTCCCCGCCTGAATTCCATTAGAGTCAATGCTTTCAAAAACCTTTCTGTGTCAAATTAATGTGTTTAGAAAAGGCAGTGAAAAGCTAATTTGACGAATGAACCCATCATGCCTCCAAGTCCAGCATTCGGTCAACTCATTTTAGAAATAATTGAATGCCAAGAACATCACTGATTACAATTTCCCGTAATTCTTCTTCCTTCCCCCCCCCCCCCCCCAACAAAAAATCTCGTTCCCTCATCTCAAAACCTCCCTCACTCGACCTTGTTTTTCTGGTACAGTACCTCGAAGTTTGATTTAAAAGAGGTTCGACTGTATTTTCTGAATGAACGACACTAATACACATAGGAAACAACAGTACTGCAAATGAAAGCTCACTCAATCATATTTCGCAGTATGCCTCATTTTATCATGATGGCCAGAACAATGCTGCCTACGTCTGATCGAGAGAACTTCAATCGCATTTCTTTCCTATAAATCGATCTAGTTTTTCACGTTCACACTTCGGAACTTGAAGACTTTGGTTCGACACTCACGCATTGAGTTGATCCAGAAACGTTTCAGGCTTAAACGCAAACTGATACAAGATATCCATCGCTTGTTGAGTCGTTCTCGAACCAGCTTTCTGATCTCCAAACACGATCTTCGGACACAAAATCATACGTTTCGCTCCACTCGCTCGACTTGAACTTCACCAGGGCTGAATTCTTGACAAACCTTGACCGAGGAATCCTTCCACTTTTCTTCCGGCGTCTGTGGCACGCATCCTGAGGCAGTGATTGCTAGATTACTGCTCAATAAAACTGCGAGACACGGCTTATCGGTTGATCCTCTCGGCAGCGTGTTGCCGTTGTGAACCATTCCCACAAAGGTATATTTGATGTTTGCTACACGACATTCACATTTTTTCCCTTCGTTAAAGACGCGATCCATAACAAAAAAATATTTACTCACGGATAGCGCTTCCATCTTCTTCTTGAACGATGGACGAGTTCTTGTTTACCTGCAGTTTATCAATCTCAATTTGCTCGTCTGATACCCAACGCAGTGACATCAGGAACGGAAAAGAAAAACAGATGAATAACAATATAATTACAGTTGACCGCTGCACAACGGACCTCCCGCACAATGGATTTTCGCACAACAAACCCCCCTCTGGGGTGCATTTTCCCTCCAACGCAACAGGCTAAATCCGCATAACAGACTTCTATTCATTTAAAATTTATGGCAAGAAGTAAAAATTTCAATTTTCTATTACAGTAATTGAATTCGCATAACAGACTTTTCACACAACAGAGTAGTCTGTTGCAAAAATTAAGTCTGTTGAGTGGGGTTTGACTGTATAACAATTTAATACATTGGATTCTGTACACAACAGTTTTGAAATACATGTACAGTAAAATCTTGTTACAACAAACACTCCCAGCATCAGGGACATGTGAAAGGATTTGTTTTAACAAAAAATTTGAAATGCAGGCTTCTTGAGCATGTCGGACTGGGATTCTATGGGCAACAGGAATATATGCTTTAAAGTATTGTACTACCAAAGTATATACTTCCACTGCAGATATGTGAAGAATTGTTTGAATTTCCAACTTCTCCTGATGAAATACCAAACTCACCAGATGCAGTTCTTTCCAACTTTTATTGGCCAGTTGAATTTTCGAAATTCTTAAAAGGGTGACAAATTGAAGATACCAACACATTTATGCAGGGAATGCATCTTTTGAACTGCAGTTGAACCTCTCCAAGTCAAATTTCAAGGGACCAGCAAAAAAATTGAACTTAGAGAAATTTTAACTTATGGAGGTTTTGAGTTATAGAGGTTTGAGTCATGGAACAAAGAATGTTTGCAGTGGGGAAACTGAAGAATTGCACAAACTTGGGGTGGTGGAATAATGTCATAATTTGAACACTGGATTATTGTTGTCAAGCCTCTCCTGAAATTATATTGTGAAAAAATCTTCCCTTTCTGCATAACCGGCCTAACATGGTACTGCTAAAAAATCCTGAAAGTCATCAAAAAATTATAGCTTGAAAAAACCAGATAAATCTGGTACATTGTTGATGGAAAAATGACGTTTCCTAAGAACTGAACAACCTTTTATGCCTGAACTGGACTATTGTTGTCAAGAGAAAAATGGAATTATCTCGTCAATGGTTGTCCTGAAAACGATCTGAATTTTTTGTTTAATGATGAGTGTGGGCGTGCCATCATTTTTTTAATGATTCTGGTGAGAAAAAGGCAAGACTTTTTTTGCCTGGGGGAAGGGGATAGACAAGCTAATGAATAATGGTAGAAGTAAAACTTTGGGGAAGCAACCACTGGCAGAAACGTGGAGATTTTTACCAAGCTAGAGCAAAGGTTGCAGCAAAATTGAAGACAAATTGCTTCAGCAAAAATTTGCTCTTCAGCAAATGCCAGAATTAAAAATTATGCAATAAAGTTCTAGTCTTGAGGACCCATTTTTTGGATAACAGAATATCCTTTAATTTTCTTTGAATTAGGATTATCCTTTTAAAAAAAGTTTCTAAAAACAAGGAATACATATTTTTCTGGTCTCAAATTTAACTTTACTCATGGAGATTTTGTTTAATTTTTTTAATAAACCTAATGCTGCCTATAGATTTTACAGCATTGCCTGGAAAACTTGTGACAAGCTGTCCTGACAAATTTTACCACGTTTTTATGAACTCACTTTCTTGTCTGTCTGTTTGTCCGGATCAAATTTTCAAACTCAAATTTCACTCACTTCCCCACTAGCTATCAAGCTGAAACTTTCAGGATAGCCTAGAAACTGATGACAATGCAATCTTTTGTGAAAAAATTAATTTTAAGAATATTTTTTAAAAAGAATAAAATAATTATAGTAAATTTCTATAATAAAACTTTGAGCAGGTTTTCCTTGGCCCCAAGAAAAAAACCCATGGTGAACTGAATTGGTTGCAGAGGTCCAAGTTCAATCCCACCCCCCGGAACATTTTTTTTTCTAATTAATTAACACGTTTTTATTAACTCACTTTCTTGTCTGTTTGTTTGTCCGGATCAAATTTTGAAACTCAAATTTCACTCACTTCCCGACTAGCTATCAAGCTGAAACTTTCAGGATAGCCTAGAAACTGATGACAATGCAATCTTTTGTGAAAAAATAAATTTTAAGAATATTTTTTAAAAAGAATAAAATAATTATAGTAGATTAAAAAATTAATCTAAAAAACCACGTTTTCAAAAAGCAAAAAATAACCTTAAACGTGGTGCGCATGGAGATTGTTGGGAAGAAGTGAAATACAAATGAAATAGATGCGCACCACATTTAAGGTTATTTTTTGCTTTTTGAAAACGTGGTTTTTTAGATTAATTTTTTAATCTACTATAATTATTAGTCCTGTGACATGAGTGGAGGTGCAGTTCTCCACTCATGAACTTTTTTTTTTAACCCTGTTCCAAGTCTTGCTTGTACCAGATGTATAAGGAAGGGCCAGTCTACATAAGACAAGGTTATTTCATATTCATCATTACAAGGAAAGTCCAGTTTTGCCAGACAAGGTTGTCCCAATTTCAGGAAAAAGAATACTGTATGTTGACAATTTTATTACAGTTTGGCAGAAAAACGAAATTCCCAAATGCAATATTATTCCTGACAACATTTAATCTTGACAACATTATTCCAGTGTGACAAGGTTAGGCCTGGCGACGTTATTTCAGCCACCCACAAACTTGTATACAGTATGTTGATATTGTGGGCCTTAAATTTATTCTTAAACGAATTGAAAGGATGCTGGACTTGGAGGGAGGGGTTCATTTGCCCACATTTAGTCTTTCACTTCCTTTCAAAACACTTCAAATTCTGTTTTCATTGCTTTTCTCTTTCCAGTGTCAAGAAAATAATAATCAGAAGGCCTAAGAAAATTTGACTTACAGAGGTTTGAGAGGAAAAGCCCTTGAGTTAGGGAAGTTTTTAATGAATTGTGTTCTTGGGGGATTTCAGATGGGGACTTAGAAAAAACTTAAGGCAGTACTGTATTTGACTTTGAGAGGTTTGACTCATGGAGGTTCAACTGTATTGAAAGCATTAATAAAAATTGGGATAGAAGTAGCATGGATTTTTTGTTTGAATATGTTCCGAGAAAAATTACACACAAACCCAAATATCTAAACTTCCTACCTTAAAAAGGTAAGTTTCCCCACTCATGAATAGGTTTCAGTTCAAAACATACACAGGATCCTCGCATACAAAAATACCCACACAACAAGATTTTGGGTGAAGTGGAGACTTGGTAAAGAAAGTTTTCCGCATTTCTACATGTTCTATCTGATGCGTGAACAATGTTCTCCCTCAAAACATCAATTCATGCAAGCTTTTCAAGCTTCCTCTTCAGACACAAAAGTTAATTCGAATTGCGGTTCATATGTGCGGTTCTACGCATTTACCAAGAAATTTCAAACCCAAATGTACTAGAAACCTTATGTCCCACAAAATGAATCCCAAAGTTTTCCTTATAATTCCTATTTTCTCAGGAAGCTTGTGGCAATAAAAAGTATTGTACATACAGTATTTATATACCCAACATTTCTCTCCAATCCGCAAAAAAATATTTTTCATTGGGCTGCTTTCTGTTTCCTGTTATTGAAAATTTTTTTCCTACATTTGACTTTTTAAATTTTCAAAGAAGTAATGGAAAAATTCCACAAAGTTTTGTTTCAGAATCACTCAATTTAAGCAACATTTGACACACTACTACTAGTACACCATCTTCACTTTTGTTGGATTAGTTCATCAATTTTCAGGATATAAGATTTCAGAATGTGATTGAACGTACATGAAATGCTGATTCCATTCAACTCAATGCATAGCCCATATTTATTTCTCATGCTGTCACAATGTCTTTTGTCGCAGTCAAAAGTCCAGGATTCAAATTTCAATACCATCAAAACACATTCAAATTTCAAATAATTCCTCTGCAAATGAAATTTGAAGAGGACCTTGGGGGACTATAAAATGTTTTCATACATCAAAGTAGGAATATCATTTTTTTTTATCCAAAAAGAGTTCTGTAAGTACTGCAAGGCAAAACCCTATTACAACACTCCCTATGAAGCGCCATGCACAAAATACTTGGATGAATTCATTTCTTCAATTTTGAATAACCAAGGGGACCATGCCAAGATGCAAACTACCAACATTATTGGCAAAACAAGATTCTCAATCTATTAATTTCAATTTTCCGGATATTGAAAAAGAAATGCTTGCTTCATTCTCTAAATTTTGCTGTACTTCAGATACAAAGAAACATCTAAACATAACTGTATATAAAGTAAAGCATACACAAGTACAGTATAGATACGAAAATAATCTGCTCTTCCCGCTGAAAGAACCATCAGATCAGTTTTCTTTAATAACAGGAGACAATTTCAAAAGGTAGTACTGTAATAATAAAATCGGTCTTGTGTTGATTCTTTCTTTGAAAATACGCTTTCTTCAATCAAAATTGCTATGATACAGAAATTCGAGTTGCCCATTCTTTCAAAATGTTGAGGTTGTTCATGTATATTTCAATCTGAAATTTTTTTTTATTAATCATCAACTTCTTTGAACTGCCCTATTTGCTAGAAAAATTGAAAAGCGTGAAGTACTTCAGGAAAAGGAGAAACACCACAAAATATCAAATTTCTCGTGAAAACGTGTGACCCCTCACAGTGAATTATAATTCAATCAGTCGAAAATTTTGAGAAATATTTCCCAGTGAAGTATACAGAGTCTAGTACAGTACAATACCGTACAACATTTCGGTTCCTTTTACACTTTTTCCTCAAGTTTCAAGGGAAAATGTCATCAACTTCAGCACGGTACTAGGACTCGCACAGAGAATAAGCAATTCGAAGAGCAAACGTAAACGTGGAAAGCATTTGAAAACTTTGGTACGTATGTTAGTACATGAGTATTTCTTCAATAGACCTGGTAGAACTGCGTTCGAACGTCGGATGCCATTTAAAATAAATAGACATACTATTTATTTTTGAAAAATACACGCGAATGAGTAGATACTCACGAGAGATTTTTCCCCCGACACGACCAATCTTTCAAATTAGAATTTTGGTCATACTGTGCAGAACGCGTGAGCTTTACTTTTCAATTTAGTCACTTCTTAATTTTCCAGTTTTGAAGAATTTACGGGGGTTCGAGCGGTTCATGTTCGGATCAATAAATAGCTTACATTCTCAATACTATATTCACTCAAGTACTGCACAACGTTTTTCTTTTTTCGCAAAATCAAGGCAGAAAAGTGAGTAGCGTGTGGTATGCAAGTACAGTACTGTTTACATTTTTCAAAGCAAAAAATAATGAAAGGATTGATGCGAGCCATAAATGTTTATTTTGTAGGTGCAAATAATGAACAGGGAATTTTTAAACTTTTGTTTGACTCAAATTCAGTTAAAACGCATCATTTCACTACATTTATTTACGGAAATACAGTGAGAGACAAAATGGTGCTTGTACTTTGTCCCTGCATCAGACCAAATTTTACCTTAGACTTCAATGGGAACTTATTTAATTTGTTTTCCACTTCATCAAAAATAAGGAATAAATCCCCTAAAAGTCAAATCAAATTTGTTTCAATACTTTCAAAGATACAGAATATAACTGGGCAGAAGAAGCCCCAACACATTCTGATTTTTTTTTGCTTCAAAAGGACCCCAAAAAGCAAGGAAAAGTACAAGCCTTTCTGTGCATAGACAATGAAGAATGCCAAAGAAAAAAGAAGCACAAAATGAACCGTTCTTCGGTAATAAATTTGATTACATTTTTTGTGAATTTTTTTTTACTTTTTGTTAGCATAAATAGTTAAATTATTAAAAGAGATGAACAAAATTTACATACTTCTAAGAATCTTGTAAAAGTGTCTTTTTTTTTCAAGTCCATATGTCAGGGCAGATTATTTGAAGTTTCAAGCGTCCCTAAGTTGAATCGTTCGAATGTCGGGGTGGCACTGTAGTTTGTTCAACATTACAATTTCAAAAAATTCCGACGTTCACCCATGTAAATCCAAGGTGCACGTCATACTTGGATAAATTACGGTAATGTCTCCACAAAAAAAAAAAAGTAATGTTACAGCACATGACTCACTCTTCAAATTCTCCGTGGCATATCTCATGGTATCCTGAATCCATCCGATGTAGTGAGAAACCTTGGCGTAGACTCCCGGATACTTCGGGTCGGCGCAGAACTTACCAAAATTCACCACTCCGCAAAGATAAGGTCGTTCGTGCTCTTCCTTCACCCATCCATCATCGAGGCGGACTTTCACGGTGAACTGCGCAGATTCTTTGCACACCAAAGGGCCACCCGAATCCCCGTGACAGGCATCCACTCCGCCGCCATCGAGAAACCCAGCGCATAAGTGTGCATCCACCAACGGATGGAATGTGGCGGAATACAGTTGCTTGCATTTTTTCGTTTCAACCACAGGAAGCTCTGCTTTACGAAGGAATTTCGCGAGTGATCCTCCCGGGGTTGTTTGGCCCCAACCAGACACAATCGCGTTACCTGCAAGAAAATAAGCAAATTAAACAATAAAAGAACTTAACCCATTAATTTCCAAATTTCCTGCAAACCCATTTTTGCAGCATTTCACCTCATTTACATGTAGATAGACTGGTGACATTTTTTTGAATTTTAAATTCAAATTTTTTTCCTTCAAGTATTTGAATTTTAGTTTGATCCCAAAATGGGGCTCACGGCAGGTCCCATCTTCTTTTATACAAATAAGAAAAATCTTTTATAATTTGGAAAAAATATTTTTTCATTTTTTGGCTAGTTTATTATTTCAAGCTAAATGTGAGTGCAAACATATCTTCTGATCCATTTGAGATGCTCGAATGCCATTTGGAATTAAATGCATAAATATTTTTTTATTATTTTCCAAACATTTCTAAAAATTTTTTGTAAGCTACAAAACTCTCATGAACATCATCCAGGCTGTAAACCAAGTAATTTGCTAGCATTTTTCAGCTGTTAGATGAAGTTCAAAGCCTGAGGGGCATCTTCAAAAAATTGTATCACAAAAATTGTATTTATAACAAATAGAGAAACAATTGATTAAAAATCAAAGAAATTTTGTTTCACATGCTTTCATTATCACTTTTGTTTGCTCAACCCAGCAGTTAGATTTATTCAAGATATGGAACTTTTTTGACACATTTTCAAGAAAATTTGAAAATTATTTTTTTACACCCCAACTGCCATGAGCCCCATTTGGGATCAAGGTTCTTGCACTTGTTGTAATTAATAAAAATTTCAGAAAATTAAATAAAATATGCCAAAGCATTCAGAACTAACCAGGCTACAAAAACAGAAAAAATTTTGAGTTCAGCTGCACTAGAAAGTACTTTTCTTGGATTCCAAAAATCATGTTTCAACTTTCCCAATGGAATTTGAAAGTTGGCTTCAGAAAACATATTGCTGCATAATGAAAATACGCAAATGAGGTCTTGAATTGTAGATAACTTCATTGCAGAGCCTTGGCATATGTTTACATAATTTTCAGTGGAATGGTTCCTGAGTCCAAATGGGGCTCACGGCAGGTGATGGGTTAAGATGAGAACATGGTAGCTATGAAGGTGGCTGTTGATGAAAATGGCAGAAAGACCCTGGTAGACCTGGAGGTAACTCTTGGCATTATTGTCACATCAATTTCAAGAATTCTCAAGAAGCAGCAGGGATAAGCCACAGAATCTGCAAGATGGGCACCTCATCTTTTGAAAGAAAAGCAGAAAGCTGCCAGGAGGACTTCCAGATTTTTTTTTTAAATACGTCGAACAGGGCTGAAACATTTTTTTTCTTGACCCAAAGAATGTTTTCCTGTAAACCAATAATTGTTCTCAAGCTCAATTCTATAATGTTTTTAATTCTATTCTGAAAACTTTTGTCAGGCCCTTCATATGTTTGCAATCAAACCCATCAGTATTTGATGGGGATTTCTTTTGAACATTTAGGTGGTGATACTGAACTTTAACTTAGCTACAGTCAAAACTGGTAAAATCAAAGTTTGTCACACTGCATTTACTTGGGGGACACGCACCCTCAAGTAACATTTGTATCTTAGTTTTTTCACTCAAATTTTAGGAAAAATTCCTTCCCCTCAAAAGACGCGCACCTTAATTTTTAGTTGCCAAAATTCATATTTCAGAAACTTCATTGAATGCAACATTTGAATATAAGCTCGTTCAATAGTTTAAATTTTGATGTTCATGCTTTTGTCTCATATGAGTCCAAGAATGACTAAAGAAGATATATTGGAAAACTTAAAGTGGGGGAAAACGTTTCAAAATGTAAGGACACTTGAAAATGTGTACTTGTGACATGCACCCCATTTTTCACCACAGCTTCTTGGAAAACTGTGCAAAGCACTTGCAGAAATATGGCATTCAGCTAGTTAGGACAGTTCAGTTAAAAATTAATATCTCTCACTTTGCAAATAAAATGAAAAATAAGCAAAGAAAGAATACACGGTTACACTCTCCGTAAAACAAAATTCAAGTGGCCAGAAATCAAATTTCGGGGAGAACCCCTACCACGTATGAGGATCCTGCGGGTAAAAAAAAAATTTTTTTTACATGAAGCCCACATGAAGCCCATGAACAATTTTACCCAGATGTTAAAATGTCACAAAGGCGGAGTCTCTCTACAATGATCTTGTCTAAAAAAAAAATTTCTCCGCATAGTGAATATTTTTTTGGTCCATGGGGTTCTATCCAAATGTTATGAAGGTTGTCTAAAACAAACTTTTCTCTACAATAGATTTTTTTTGGTTCCTTGATTTTTTTTTTCATCAATGGGGGTCCACCCGTATTCTAACACATTTATAAAATAATTTAGGCTTCTACAAAAGATCTCTGTACCTGGCTCAGGTTTTATAAGTAAACAGAATTCATGATTTATTGAACGGTTTTAATTTAAAACTGATATTTTGTTCCCTTTCAGGAATCCTCACATCTCTCACTCGGAATTATTCAAATACAGTATTGATTTTCTTCACAATCCTTCCAAGTGAAGCATAACCGTTTTACCTGGCACAGGTTCTGTCATCTCCCGCAAAGGTAGATTGATAGGTTGAGCGTACTCGTTGAAATCGACCATCCCATCGAGCAACACTAAGGACACATCACCGACTTGAAAGTTGCTGTAAAAAATAACACACATCGAAGGGAAGCGAATGTTCCGATTAAGAGAAACATTCTCCATTTTTAGAGGTGAAAGAACCTCGGACGCCAATCCTTATGCACCAGGGCAGCTCGGATCCCAAACCACTGCTCTTCAGTCTCTGCGACATCCCGGTTCACTTCCCCGACAACAGCTCGCTCGATTTTGCAAGAACCGTGATGGTTGTTCACGAAGCAATGGGCTGCAGAAATTACCCACGTTCTGGACAGCAACGAACCCCCACAGCACAAGATGAATTTTTCTCCATCCCTCAAGCCGAGACCAACTTGGTACGGAATTTCGCCTGAACCATCACAAATAAGAAAGGTCAAAACCTGTACGTCATTTTCTCTTCCATACGAAGTTTTCGTGATTAAAAAAACCTTTTTCAACACTGCCCCCGACAGAATGGCCACTTGCGGAATTCAACAACTCTATTGATTTATTCCCGTCCTTCCCGAAGATTTCATCATGTAAAATGTCCACTACACTGGTACCGTGCTTCTTGAAGGTATCCAAGACTTCTACCTTGGTCTTATTGACGGCGGTTGAGTTCGCTGACGAAGCCTGCCTTTTCTCAGCCATTAACGGAACTTCTGCAAACACATTCCGAAAATTTCAGATGTAAAGCTTTTCTTATCAAGCAAAACATTTCAAAAAAGGACTCACCGGGAGCGACGACATTTTGCCATGTTGAAAGGGCCAAAAGAATGATGAAAAGTTGAAACATTTCCACCGGCATCAGGCATGTGACTGCTGACTGATGAGGACACCGTCGATGAAAAATGCCAAAGCCGCTGGTAAATATTTTTTAGAGGCCAGCGATCTTCAGGAAAACATTGACTCCCAGTTCATTTCATCGTCAAGATAAACATTACAGGGAGGAAAAAAATCTTCAGCTGTTTACCCCCCATCGATTTTTACAAAACGGCATCATCATTTTCTTGAAATAAAACAAATAAAGATCCGGCAAAAGCGTAACAAAGTTCCTTATGTATTCACCAACCAGGAAACATGCCCCATGATCATTGTCGGGACCGTCGAAAAACCCCGGCGGATTTTGAAATTCAAGTAAAACACTGGCGAACAAAAATGAGAACTTCCGTTAACGCTTTCTTCATCCTTATAAGAAGTATTCCACACAAATTATCCGCAATTCTGGGCGCAGATCTGATCAATGCGGTCGTTCGATAAGCCTTTGTCGATTTAGAAGAACTCTTCCTTCCTTGAACTGTTCGGCCTTCTCTCCGACGAATTCATAGAATACTCCAAGCTCTTGTTCGCATTTCTTACAGGATACTGTTCGTACTTTGTAAGACTTGCAAGTACTGAAAACATTACTCTGACGAAGATTCACAGTCTTGTTGAGAAGAAAGGAAGCTTGCGAGTACTGCGGACCGCCTCCTTTGAACAGCTCGTTCCGCTCGCTCACAACTGTGCTGCATTTGCTGCAGCATATGAGGTCTGAAGTAGCTTCTTGGAGAACTTCAATGAATAAACGACCCATCACAAAGAAGTAGCGCCCAAACGATCGGTGACCGATGTAAAAAAAAACCGTCTATTCGGCTGAACACAGGACACCGGAACCGAGCAAAAAATCGTGCATACCTATAAAGTGCAGAAGCATAAGTAGAGAGAGCCACACAATTGAACAGTCACTCCTCTCAAATAACCGGACCAAAACTTTCATCTCAGAACCGAAAATCATCCGTCACGGCGAAATTCGCTTCGGCACATGAGAATACAGCTCATCAACGCTAACAGCCGGCAAACAAACTCAATCCACATGCTTCACGCAATTCAGCGGCGTAAAACTGATAGTGACACACTCGTGGAAGCAACGAATCCTCGTTTCCAATTCTCAAGACCTCTATGACGTGGTTTTCAGACACTCCAGGATTTGTACAGCTTTCCACCCGGTCTCCTGACGAACAAAAGGGGCACGGCAATGGACGATGGAAGGATCAACCATGAAAAGGGTCCAACTGTGTACAGTATATTCGTATGTTTTCAAAAAGGAAATGTTCGGCGAATAGACGTACAGTACTGTACTTGGATCAAGCGCAGGAAAAATCAAGCATTTGGTTCTACAGCTATAAACCTGGGTGCGGTGTGATTGTGTGAACTTCATCACCAGCTGCGACCCCCGTGAAATTATCAACATTGTACGCTTCAATAGCAAAGGTGGAACCAGCAGGGTATTCATAATACCAAACGGGAGTGGTTGTCGGCACAACTTCCACTATCACAAGAAATGCTAATAGAAGCTTTAGTAATGCCAGTCCAAGAAACAAGACGACGAAAATGTAATTTTGCATTATAATTTGAGTGAATGCAAGGAAGACTAAGATGACTGCGCACGATATGGCGACGTAGTCATCAACTTCCATTCTCGTGGGAGTGTACCACAAACCGGTCTCCAAGAATCGGCGATAAATGGCTTCGATTTCATGCACCTGTGGTCCGAAGATGGAAATTTCGGCTGCATCGACAAATTCGATGACATCAGTCCAGAACCGATGATAGCGATTACTGTGCGCAATTGAATAAGTGCGTTCTTGATGACGACCCCATGCGACGACTTGTTTGTTGTCGAACTCGACGTGACTGTAGTCTGTGAATTCTGGTAAATCATATTCCTCCGTCTGAAATGTGAAAGATTTTCTGGCGTGGGTATAGATGAAAGGTTCTTCGGTGCAGCAAAGAATAAAGTGGCGACATAATCTCTGAAACAATCGCTGATGATGTTTTGCACTGCGACGCACGCTGCTGATCGACTCATCGCGCACGCATGCGCAATTTTCGAGAAATCCAGCCGGAAAAATGTATCGAAGATGAGTTACCTCAGGCGTTTGAAAAACAAAGCAGGATTATGTCAAATGCATATTAATGATGATAACGCGAGTCAATTCAATTATATTCCACCTATATAGTGTGTTATTTTGTTGCATAATTTGATGGTTTGCGTAAAATGAGCACAAAAGAAACCTGAATTATGCTTTTCCGTCGTTCGAAATGTTTGCTCCTTTGCTGGGAAATGCGAAGTACTGTATTCGTGCAGTTTTAATTTTTTCCGGGCAAAAACAATCCGAAGGTATAATACCGTATATGCTGTATACATACATATTCGTTTAAATACATTCGAGCAGTACGTTTTTTCTTTCAAGGATTCGTATACTGTACATAACCTTTAAAAATATTTTTCTGTTCCGTTCGTCAGAGTCTTCTTGACGCTGACGAGAATCTTGGATGAGGAGGTGCTGGTTTTATTTGCGGAAATACGGTATGATTTTCAGTACCCGCGTGTGTAGACAGTTTATTGATGTCTCTATATACTCAACAGTGATGATCTTAATGCTTATTCATCTTCAGATGACTGTAACAGAATGTGTTAAACAAGCCTCTATCAATTTTATTAAAATAAACAACGTTTTTGACCAATCTTCAAAGAATCTCGACTCGACGAATTTTTAGTCCTCCAGCAACAGTCAAATTCGTTTTTAAAACTTTATTCTTCATCGCTATACAGTACGAAGTATCCGAAGGATGCTGTACAATACGTCAAATTTGGAAATAACGTAATTGTTTTAAATTCCGTCATGTATATGTGAATTAAATAGGAAAATAGCTGTACATCAACGAACTGCCAGCTCGTCTGATGCGTTAAAATCTTACCTCGATTTCCTCGGCGAAAATATGGACATCGTAGACAATTGCGATTGCACAGATGATAAAAAATTTATTTTTCATGGTATCCTTTATAATTTCACGCTCAGTCTTCAAGAAACAAATATACTCCATGCATTCAAGGGTTAAAATACGAACGATTTCTCCGAAATAAATAGATGCCGTCCTTGTTTATATATCTGAGTCACGCAAAAAGATGTTAGTAGTATTTGGCGGGATATGGAATTATGAAGCAAAATATTATTTCCGTGACATATAATCTGTATTATTGCGTCACATTTCGAAATTTGTTCCAGAACTTCAATGCTTCATCTAAATACACTCCGTGACAATTAGTACTGTGATCCGTATACTAGAGTAACTAGACTCACAGTTCTTATACATAAGCTCTATAGCTACTTTTTCTCTGGAAGCAAGGACAACATTTCATAAAACCACGACTCGGAAACGTAATTTACAAGGAAGACATGCCGAATTAGTTGTGGCAATCGAGTATCAAAATTGAAATACGGTCCACGTACGTATGTGAATTGCATGAAAATACCCGTATTTCTTGCATGAAACCCCTTACTTGGCCTTTGAAAAACAGTCAGCAATTGAAATGTTTACGTATTGATGACAATGCGAGGATGAAATACAGTGATGCAGCACCTGCATTATGCAAATATACGAGAGAGGCACCGTTTTCAGCACGCATTTCCTTCAGGTAAAAAACCACTCATAAACTCAACCGTATTTTTATCTTTCAAACAAAGATCATTTCACTTTTCATCTTCAATTTTCGTCTACAATCCTCGCTTAGATATGTGGCCTGATTCTCGACACGTGTTGGCAAAAATACTGAGAGCTTAAGCAATATATACAGTATTTCTCTGCGTCGCTTTTCAAGCACGAATTAACTGACTTCACCGCCGACGTCGTCGTCGTCGTCGCAGCAACTCAGTGACGTTACAAAGGTAAGATGTGTGGAGAAGCGCGATGAGGGAAATGTATCTGTGTTCTGTCTGTTATTTCGCCAAATTTTTTCTCCTTTGGCGCGCCTTGTTTTCGTGAGAAAAAAAACTGCAAAATTTGTACACACAAAAAATGCGAGCCAAAATTCCAGGCTTTTCCCTATAAAATGTAAGAGTCGATGTTATATATATGTTTCCTCAATTTGTTTTTTGTGAGGATGAGGAGCCATTTTTGAGATATGCTCTTATTTGTAGGAGCCCTTGCTAAATTTAATTAATATTGTGCCTGATATTGGACCTGCTCTATAGGTACAGCAAATTATTGACGCCTTTGTCAATAAACAACAATAATGAGTCTTTTAGATACAACCTTGATTCAAGAAACCAGAAAAAAGGAGGTAGGGAAACAAGCATTTTTGTTGAAGAGAAAGAATAATTATTCCTTTAACATTAAGCACCATAAGACCCAGAATTTAACGAAGAACTTACTCAACTACCCTACGATTAGTACTTCTCCGTTCCGAAGTAAACCATTAATTAATCAGAAAGTGAAGGAATTAAGCTTAGAAACATGTCAAGTTACATTATCATTGCTTTTCTTTTACCTGTGTCAATAAAATGATTGCCAAGGGTACTCCCAAAAATTTGAGTCATGAAGGTTTGAGGACAAAAGTCTTTGAGTTAGGTAGGTTTGTTGATGCGTTGTTTCTAAGGGAATTTGGAAATGAACTTGAAAAAATTAACATGGGCATTGCAGGTGTTTGACTTTGGGATAAGGCTTGAATTATCAAGTTTCAACTTTTTTTATGAGAAGCTTTCATTTCTTGAAGTACATACAAGGGTTCTAACAAAAGTTCTTGGAGTAGCAATGAAAATGGCTTAAAATTGAGGTGAAAAAAATTTATTCTTTAGGGAAAACATATTCTGTGGCACACGAAAAATATCAGCTGTGTTTGACAAAATTTTTTGAATTTTTTTCATAATTCACCCTGGTAAAGTTTTGCTCTCCCCTCAAAAGATGAGGCGCCCTTTTTTGTTGTAACCCATCTCTCCCCTCAGAATTTTTGAAATCAACTTGGCATTCTTTTTAAGGGTTGCCTCCAGGTCATCCAAAGCAATTCCGCCATTTTCTTCAACAGTCGCTTTCACAGCCGCCAAAGTGGCCGATCAAGGTTCAACTTCTTTTATGATGAGAAGCTTTCATTTCTTGAAATACTGTACATAGGAGTATACTCTTGAGTTTTTGTGAAACCAGCAAGTCCCTGTATGGCAAAAGAGTCACAGAACAAAAAATCTGAAATTATTTCTGGGAAAAAAGGGGCTCACATACAGTAACAAAATCGCTTCACTGGACGAAATTGTTTTATTGGAAAAGACTCGACTTTGGGCAAGTTTTGGACGAACAGTTTGGAATTTTTCACGATAACCAATGAAACTTATAAAAATAAGGTTATATATTTTTTACTCGTCTTGTCTGTCAAATTTTTGATATTTAGAACTATTTTAGCACAAGCTTGTCAGGGTCACTCAAATTCCACATCAATTCATAATCCCTGTACCAGTGGTACCTCACAATTCAATCATAATCCATTGCTGGACTAGGGTCAAATTGTGAAAAGGTCAAATTGCAAGACAAATTAGACAATGTCAAATGGCATGTTTTCTATGCGGCATTTGAAATTTCATGATCTCTTTACAGGGTAAATTGTGTGCCAGAGGTTGAATTGAGAGTTGACCTCCCAACAAATTTGACTGTCAAATTGCAGGAAGGTTGAATTGCAAGAGGTCAAATTGCAAGGTACCACCTGTATATACAGTGAGACCCCCACATGTGGACACCTCGACCTGTGGACAATTTGAAATAGGG